CTCCTTTGGTGAGACATCAAGTCACATTAGCTTACCACATTGAAATGCTTCTCTGCATTTTCATGTTTCTGCTCCCTCTCATCTGCAGGTAAGGAGTTTACGGTCCGTAAACTGGGATATTTCTGTTCCCTCTGCTCTGTTTTCTACCTGCTTGAGAACGCTGAAGAGGAAGAGCACTGCTGCAGCAAAACGCATTACGAGAACCTGCTGGTAAACACAAATACTAGCTTTAATGCACCGGATACACACAGATGGGAGAAAGCATGGCTTATAAATGCTTATTTGATTTTCAGAGACATTACCAGATGGAAGCAGAGCAACCTTCACCACCTCCAACAAGGAAGACCAGAAGCTCCCGCTGATCCTGATTAACTGGACGTGTTTTACTGCAAAAACGGAGGAGTCAAACTTTAGTTTCCATCGCTTAAATTGTACTCTATCTAAGTGTTGATGAAGGTTCTCAGTCATCCAGGTCATAGTCATCCCATAAAAATTCAAAAAATATCCACTGGACTTGGTTTTCAAGATTTGAAGACGTTTCGCCACCTCTCCAGGAAGCTTTCTCAATTCAAATGTCTGGATCCGCAGTGAGTTTGAGTCTTTATATAGACAAGGCCTTGTATCGCTTGGAAACATGCAATGGTAACCGATGAGTGGGTCGTTAGTTCCATCGTTAGCCTGTAATATCTGAACCTGTCTATGATTCTAGGGGTCGGTCGTTAAAGGGGGGATTGTCTTCTATAATACCTGAAACCTGTCAATCATAGACAGGTTTCAGGTATTATAGAAGACAACCCCCCCCCCCCCCTTAATGGCAATCCCCCCTTTAACGACCGACCCCTAGAATCATAGACAGGTTCAGATATTACAGGCTAACGATGGAACTAACGACCCATTCATCGGTTACCATTGCATGTTTCCAAGCGATACAAGGCGTTGTCTATATAAGACTCAAACTCACTGCGGATCCAGACATTTGAATTGAGAAAGCTTCCTGGAGAGGTGGCGAAACGTCTTTAATCTTGAAAACCAAGTCCAGTGGATATTTTTTGAATTTTTACGGGATCTATCTAAGTGTGAAACTTTGAGGGGAAAAAATAGGATAAAAGAGCACATACAATACCATATATTAGTTTTTTACAGAAAAAAATTTTTAATTGATGGTAGCTTTGATGTCCCAAAAATGCTTCAACACAATTTTTTCTGTGTTTGATCTTTCAAAACCATTTGTCAGACCTCTTAGACTAACGCTTGCTTAAAACTCCAATGAGGAAGCAGCTGGGGTCTCACAGTCTGCTCTGATTGGTCGGCTTCCTCTCAGCCTCTGAAACTTGTTTTAGAGTTAAAAAGGTTTTATGGAACTACTATGTTGATTTAAACTGGATGTAACTAACGCCAGGATGAATATTGCACATTGGCTGTTTTTATATACGATGTGGGCGGAGTTAAATACTAACTATGTAAAGACAGATAGGTGATTAGGGCTGATTCTGATTATTGTAGTGATTTCCTCTTTTGCATTAGTCAGGCTTCCATTGCTCGGCCAAAAGTGGTAGAAAATCTAGCCACTGGTTTTAACTAGAGCTGTCGGATTAATCATGATTGATCGTTTATTGAAATAATCGTCAACTAATTTAGTAATGGATTGATTATTAAATGGAATATAGAGACTCTAAAACATTCCTTTAGCTGACAGAGAAACCCACTTAGAGTAGTAATCATTTTTTTTGTTTAACTGTCATTACACTGTCACAAGTACAGAGAAATGAAATCAACTCTCTGAAACGAAAATCCGCTGTAATTTGTATTCCTTGATTCATTGAATAAAAAAAACAAAAAGGAATAAAAGGTTTTAAAAGGCATTTGCTTAGTCTGAATTTGACCATACATTTGAACATGGATGTGTGAATGCACCACATGAGAAGCATGTGTCATTCTAGACCAAAACAATGATGAAGATCATTGCTGGGTTTTACTTTTTGGTAGAGCTTTTTAAATAAGTACAGAGCAAGGCGTTTGAAGAAGGTAAAGTTAATCTAAAGTTAAAACAATATAAATTTGGGCAAAAAAACTATCTGCTGTTGAGGAGCTGTGAGAATTGGTTTCCGGGTTCAGACCCCATAGCAGGAGCTGGCAGTCTTCACATTTTAGACACAATTATCTTTCAAATAAGAACTTCTACATCTCTAAAAAAATTGGACAACATCCAGTTTCAGGCTTTGAGGTTATGTAAAGGGGCTTTTAAAACAAGCTTAACAGCAGCACTGCAGGTGGAAATGGATGAAATGCCACTTGAGTTGAGAAGCATTCAGTTTTTATATATATATATATTTTTTTTATTTAACCAGAAGAAAAAAAATCCCATTGTGAATAAAAACCTCTTTTTCAAAGGAGTCCTGGCCAAGAGGCAGCAAAGTTAAATAAGAAACAGAGATACATTAAATTAAATGACAGGTACATTAAAAAACATTTCAAGTAAAACAATTACAGATCATTGAGGCTGCTTCAAATTCTTTCAACTTAAAAGCATTTAAAGATAAAAACTTCCAGTTTCTTTGTAAAAATAAATTCCACGCACAAGGAGCTGCGTGCCTAAAGGCTTTCTTCCCCAGTTCTGTGTGGGCAAAATGAACAGTGAGCAACAGCTGATCAATGGATATCAAGGAAGAAGAAGCCATGATTTTTTGTGTAAGTGAGGTACAAATGTAAGAGGGCAGTAATCCAAGACTCAGTCCTTAAATAAACGTGTACCAATGGCACTGCCTTCTATTAGGGAGGGAAGACCATCCCACCTGAGAGCAAAGGTCACAGTGATGTCATGGCTCTACAGTTTGTGATGAACCCTAATAAGGCATGGTAAACAGAGTCCAACATTTGAAGACATGAAGAAGTAGCATATAATTTAAATGAATTATTGGGCTAATTTACAGGGCCATAGTGAAGATCATCCAGCACAAAGCACTTTAAAATCTTGTTGGGGAATGGAGAAGAGGGAGAGTAAAAGCAGTTATACAAAAAGCAATGGAGTTGGAATGAACAGATTTAAAGTTCGGTCCAACAGTACCACTGCCAGCAGTGCCACCTTGGATACTAGAATAGAAAAGGATATAAAATCCCTTTATTGTCCCACCATAGGAAGGTTCTGTTACAGTAGCAAAAAGATTATAGAAAAATAGTCACACAAATGTGGGCTTTATAACATAATAGTGAAGAGTTAAAAAAATAAACAAATGAAATACTGTACTGTAAAGAGTTGTATCAACTGTGCAAAGTCAGCCTGAATGTAACAACGTATTGAGGTGGTTGGGAACAGTGATGGTTATAGAGTCTTACAGCTGCTGGGAGGAAGGATCTGTGATAACGCTCCCTGAACTACCTAAGGCGGAAGTAGATCTTACACTATTAGAAAAGAAAGAAAAGGACAGGGGGTGTCATTTGAATTCACATACAATACAGGCATATATTAACAGTTACTGCAAGATATGAGTATCTGTTATTGTTCCAGAGTTTGATATCATAATAGGAAAGAAGAACAGTGATAATATATCAGCTAGCAATTCTGTTTGCAGTGAAATGGGTTGATGAAATAAGACCATTGAGAGTGGTTATTTGTTCAGATTCATCGTCATCACTAATTAGTTTACAGAGAAGTCTCTCAGATAGAAGAACACATGTTTTAATAGAAATCCAGCAAACATACAGAATTCAAATGATGGGGACAAGAGTCATATTGTTGTGGGTACCAGCACACAGGGGAGTTAAAGGAAATGAAATGGCAGATAAGGCTGCAAAGGAGGCTACAAAAAGAGAAGCCGTCCATGTGTAAGTTAAAATTAGTTAGATGGAAACAAAGAGCATCATCAAACAGACTGAAGGAAAGGTGGCAAAAGCAATGGGAAGAAGAGAGGAAAGGGCAGGGGTTTGACATGATTCAGAGGAGAGTGGGAGAAATGAGATGTGCATTAAGGAATAGAAGAGAAGATCCCATTAGTGTCCCACAATGGGGAAGTTCTGCTGTTTACAGCAGCAAAAAGATTATAGAAAAAATGGTCACACAAAAGTGTATAAGAATAACATAATAGTGATGAGTTAAAAGATAAACACATACAACTCTGTACTGTAAAGCTGTGCACCTGGAGAATAAATAACCAATATGAAAGTATGGACATTTTTACAGTTTTTGAAAAATAGCAACATCAGAGATGTGTAATATGACAGCAGCATGTTATTTAACTAACATAGGTAGAAACTGTGCAAAAACAGCATGAATGTAATAATTTATTGAGGCTGTTGGGAGCAGTGATGGTTATAAAGTCTTACAGCCACTGGGAGGAAGGATCTGTGATAACGCTCCCTGGTGCATTAGGGTAAAGCAGTCTGTTAGTGAAGGAGCTCTCCAGTTCAGCACCAGCTTCATGTGTGGGGTGGGAGACATTATCCAACAGAGATGTTACTTTGGTTAGGATCCTTTTTTTTCCCACATCCTGCACTGAGACCAGAGGGCATCCAATCACAGAGCTGGCCTTCCTGATCAGCTTCTCCAGCTGCTTTCTCTCAGCTACAGATAATCTACTGCTCCAACAGAGAGCTCCATAGAAGATGGCTGATGCCACAACAGAGTCATAGAAGGTCTTTAGGAGTACTCCTTGCACTTCAAAAGACCCCAGTCTGCAAAATATAAGGAAATATAAGAAAGAAAAAGACTTAGTTTTGGTCATAAATGGATTAAACTGTACTTTACTCAAAATAGGTAAACATAACACTGGTAGGTGTGAATACTGTGAGCAACAAGAGACAATTGAACTTGCTATGGTAGACTGTATAATATGAAAGAAATAGGAGGGAAATGCTTCAAAATCTTAAAAAGGAAAGAATATGCTTTAATTTAACAGAAATCCTTAGAAGGAACTCAAGAGATAAGTGTTATGTAATTGTTTTTCATTATCTTATATTAATTAAGGTTTTGTTCATTTTATTTTGTTGATTTTGTTAAGTATAAGTAGTAGCCGTTCAGATCCACACTCCCTACCAGTTGGTGGCGGTAATGGGACATTTCGTTGCGTGGCAACCACCGATAAAGTCCCATACAGACGAAGAAGAAGAACTTCCTTCGAAGGCCTAGGATATACGTACGTTACGTTTTTATATTTTATGCATAAAAAACATTTCGTTTATTTTTATTTTTTTTTGTTGTTGTTGGTTTTATTTTTATCTTCCTGAACGCACAAAAAAAATTTCATTAATTTTTAACGTCGGTTTCCTGTTCATCTCCCTCAATGGTGTTCATTGAACTTAGTGCAGGAGGCTAACGTTAGCTGCTAGCCTGAAAGTGAAACTGTAGGAAAATCTCCTGCATTTATACTAAATTAGCTCCTAATTTACGTCCTCTTACGGTAGTGGGTTTAATTACGCGTCATATATATTTTGGATAAACCTGCCAAAGGCTGATTTGCTCATTTTTTTCTTCTTTTAGCTTCTAAGCTAACATGCTAGATCAGCAATCATAGACTGCTCTTATGTTATTTACTTCAGTTTTATATATTTGAAACATTTCAGCCAATTGTTCAGTAGGAGAAATTGCTTTGGTCAGCCAAAACTGCTTTTAATAACACACAGAATGCTAAAATGTTCATTACAAGTATGAAAATGTCTGTTATAAGTGTGAAAGAAAATGTGTCTTAGTGCTAACTGAATACTGATGCAAATACATAGAAGGTAGGGGCAGTTTATAGCCTTTTGGGCCTAAGTTTGGTGATTATTCAGACTTATACCTTATTCAGACCTTAAGCAGGTGTGTTAAAGTAAACTTACTCCCATCCAATCTAGATTAACTAAACCGCAACAATGTGAATAACACAAAAACATAATTTCATCTGGTTGGTGGGACTTTTTAATTCAATGATGTATGGGATACAATCAAGATGATGCCATGATTGCATCGTATTAATACAAGAGGTGGATCATCTGAGTGAAATTATCCTGATTTCTGAGCTTTTTCAGAAACTTTTTTAATTTTTTTAACTGGAGGTTTACTATTAGTCCCCTATCAGAGCAGCTTCAGTGTAGGGCGGAAACAATTAACCGGATTAATCCAGATTATTGAAATGATCGTCAACTAATTTAGTAATCCATTAAACGTTAACTGGAGTATAGAGACTTTAAAACATTCCTTAAGCTGACAGAGCGACTCACTCAGAACAGTTATATATAACTAAATTGTACAAAAAAATAGTTAAACATTTTGCTTTAACTTTAAAACAATGTTTTCTTCTGTTAATATGCTCTATCCAGAAGTCCTCAAGCGGTAGAGTTTTAGTTTCCCCTGGTTTTAATTCTGTGAAAAATCTTCTTTGAGGATCCTTTGGCTATCCGATTATTAGTTGTTTAATTGAAAAAATAATCAACCGATTTGAAAAATTATTTGTTGCAGCTCTACTTCATTGCAATATCTACCCTTCTCATTTACACTGTTACAGCAAACAAGAAAAAACAGCCTGATTTTTAGAAATTGATGAATATGAAATTTCACAGAAGTCCATATATTGACTAACCTGCCATGGCATAAAATCTTTTTGTTATATATTGTGTTCAGGCAGCATGGCCATACATGCAGTCTGTGATGCAGTGAGTAATGCACTCTCCGAACCACGATTCCAGCTAATTGTCATAGTGATAAAAATAATATTCAGAGCACAAGCACACTGCTCTAACCACTCTCCCAATACTCCAAATTATCTTCTCTCAATTTGCACTCTGATTTTTGTAATATATTTTTTTATTTAGCTTCTTATATCAAATATTCAAGAAACAAGTGAATGCCCAGGGTGTATGAGGACATTATACATTTAGAATACAGAAAATTAAAAAGGACGGTATCTCAAAAAGAAAGCAAAGGAAAAATGAACTACTCGACTTGTCTGGATAATATTTTGTTTTAACCATTTGATTTTTAAGGTATTTTATTGCATTGTTGTTGTATTGAACGTTTCTTTTTCCCTCTGAATTACATCAGGTCTTCATTAAAAGCTCATGTCATTGTTTCTCGACCAGCTGATGGGCTGCTGGCTGGACCGTTTTCTAGGATTCAGGTCAATCCTGAAAGCTAGCCTGCCCTACAGCAGGTTTGCTGTTCCCAGTACGTTACCATGGTGACTAGCTTCGTGGTACTGGATAGTCAGGGTTGAGGCTGAAGTTGTCTCTCTAGCCTAGTAATCCAGCTTCATGATGCAGGCCTCTGGTCTAAGTGGTTTTCAAACTCAGTCCTTAGGATAACCTGACCTGTGTGCGTGTTTTAGATGCGTCTATAAAAGTGTATTCGGACCGAGTGCAGCTGACCAGGTCAAGATCCGCGATTTTAATCATACCAAACAAGCAAATGCAAAGAATATGATTTAATGTGGGAACTACTTTCAGTGATATAAATCGTGTTTTGTGAGAAAAAAATCCTCTGCTTTATGTAAATAATGTCTTAAAGAAGCAGTATTTGAAATTTCTTGTAATATGGCGTGCATACTTCATTAATTCTTTGAATTAATTAAGTTTTTAATTATCAATTTTGTTGTTATCATGGTAGTACACATATTCATCAGTACAAAGTACTAGCATGACGTGTCTCTGCTCCAGCACTCCCCCCTCAGCAACCCGCTAAGGCTGCAGGGGCCTGCAGGTGTGTGAAAATCATACAGGATGGTTGGTTCTGCGGACTGAGTTTAAAAACCACTGGTCTAAATGACCAATAATCTACATTGTTAAGCTGTTTGTATGCACTTTGATGATCATTCATTTCAACATTATGTATACTTTTACAGTGATCTGTTCAGTTGGTTTTGTAATATGCTGTCAAAAACTACTGAGGTTGAGAAGTGGAAGATAAATTAGGCTCTTTAAAATAAAACCGAATGTCTATAAACTGTGACATAAAGCTGCCTGTTTTGGGGCTTTTTTTCTCCTGACTCTAAACACCTGGCTTGAATAAATGAGTGATTAACAGACTTAATAAATGGCATTTAATTCTGATGTGATGGAGCACAGATTTTTCTCTAAAGGGAAATGTTGCATTAAGGAGAAGGAGAAAGGTTGGGACGTGGAGAATTAGGCCTTGCACCTATGTGGATGTGCGTTTCCTTGCTTGGAAATAAATTTTCATCCAAACCTTTTCTTTTCTCTATGGTTAACTTGATATTTGACTGGAGGTGCAGTTAATATAATAATGAGGATGTATGGAACGAGTTAAAGAAAAGCATGCCTTAGTCATGCCTGGGTCATGGTTACCACAAAAACAGGCATAAATTGGAGGCAACTGGACTTTCATGCAGTATTTCTGAGAACATTTTGACATCTATCCAGGAGACTTTGCTCTTGTTTTCATGCCTCTGCTGGGGTTTGCTTTGCTCCGTTACTTCCTTGTTTACTCTGGTACAAGCCGACAGAATAGACAGTCCATCATCAAGTGTAAAAAAAAAAAAAAAAGGAATATCAGATGCCAAGAAGGAAGTGATCTGAGTTAAATAAGAAAGTTGGTGTTCACTGAACCTGGAGCTAAGGTGGAGAACCTGCCAATTTGATGGATATGCAAGTACTGCCAGCAGATGGTTATGGCATACCACAGTGTTTTCTGTCTGCTGATTGTGCTCTTTTGAAGCTTTAAAGGAGTTGGTCCCTTCTGCAAAAGTTGTTCACATGTAACTTTTTTTGTTTAGATTTTATTTTTTTATTTTTTTTAAAAATTGTTGGCCTAAACTAAAGTCATAAATTGTTGGTTTCAAAGCAGGACATCCCTGTATATAAATCCTGTAAAGGGCCTTTCTATGTGAGCATCCAGTCCAGAAGTTGTCAACAATTGGCTTTCTTAACTAGTTTTTACGTTTGAATTGTTTGCGGCTGGTTATTTATTTATTTTTAGGTTTTTACGGCACTAGTGACTCATTTTTAGTACAGTGGGCTCACAGGAAGGGGCTATGAGAGAGGGGGAGAGACCTCCCGCACACACTCTGGTGCACCTCTCCAAAAAGGCCTCTGATTGGTCAAATCTAGATCTGCTCTGCACTATACATATTTCCTGTTTGGTACATTTATTGGCTTGTTTTGTTTGTATGACCACCATTGTGGAAAACGACTCGTGAAGATGGACCAGCTATAAGACCGAGGAGCGCGAGAACCCTGGGACCCTTCTTTCCACCTGGATCCCCGCTCCTTTTCGCCCTCGTTGTCCCTCCATTGTCGCACAAACTTGCCCTCTGCATTTTTCCACTTCCTCACCGCCTTGGTTACCCACGGCTAGTTCGTGATTGTTCCTCTTGCATTGTTGCGTGGAATAACATAGCGCAGACCACTTTTCAATGTTGGGCATAAATCAAAAATATCTGCGACAAGCCCACTGTGACACACTGCTGCAGGAGTATAACCAGCCCTTAAAACCTCCAATGTGTCGTGTGTGCCAACCACTGTGCCACTGAAGCATGCTCGCGGCTGTTTTGTTTCTGTCCACACACGCCCTATTCCTCAACACAATGGATTGACAACACCTTTGAATCAACTGTGTGTTCTGAATGTAACGTACTTGTAATTATCTTGAATGTCTCTTAAACCAGGTTGTTCTTCGCCTTTTTCCCAGACTTTTGTTGAATGTCGACTGAGGAAGTGCAAGAATCTCGAATCTTCTGCATTCCTGTTGCACTACATAAACGACTGAGGTGAGTTTAGAGGATGTGGTTCCAGGCCGACCGACGCTCGTCTCTTCAGCAGTTTTTCTCTTCGGAAAATTCAAGTCATTCATTCAAGTTTGGTGTCTTACTATATGACCACTATATAATGATTATTTTGTTGGATATTCTGTTTCACATTTTGGTCTTTGTCATTGCGTATTCTTGTGTAAGAAAATATTTTTTTTTCTGTTTGGAACTATTTCATCTTTAACCCCTGGTTTCTATCTTCTACCAACTCTGATGTGTCACTCTCTCTGTTTTCTTTTGGTAGTGGACAACTGAACTCTCTTAAACCTCGGAAGACGGTGAAGCTTCTGAGAGGCCTTAAGACTGTCCTGGTGATGGCTTAAATCTTTGGAGGACCAGTTCTACTCCATATTCAGAACACATTTGCGTTCAACATTTTCTTTTCTTTTGCTTTTGGACTTATGTCTCAACTCTCAGAGATGTATGGCTACCCCCAGAGAGATAATTTTTTTCCCCCCATGTGTCGTTTAAACTGAACATTTAGGTAGCGCTGATGCAGGTCCACAATGCGATGGTGGTAATACATTAACTATCTGCTATCCAATTTTTAAGAAACTGACTTAGGCACCACTCTGCTCTTCTGTGGGGGGGCGTTAATCTATTGGTATTGGTAAAACCATGTCATTACCACCGTTTAATCCCTATAATTCAAGGAATCAAAATCCTACCCAAGGTCAGCCCACTAGGCCAATCTCTAGTAGATATTCAGAGATGGACAACTGGAGGGCACAGCGACTTATTGATCCTGATCCAGAAAGGCAGCGTTCTCCACCATCTTTGGAAACTTCAGGAAGAAGAGTCCCTCGAATACTAGATATTCCAATGACTTATAGGTCTGAACAGAGAATGGTGATGTCAGAAAGGGACTTTGAAAGATCAGCTGGGTTCCTTGACAGCAGAATTCGAGAGGACACTGTAACTCCGCCTTTAAGCTTTTCATCCACCACCAGAAGTGTGCCATCCTTTGATGATACTGACAGAGATGGAGAATCTGATGATGAAAGTGACAGCAACTCTTTGAGTTGGTTGCAGATTTGTAAGATCCCTTCAGAGGGTAATCCTGGGAAATTTCAGCCCTCAGTTTCATCTCACCATCCCAGCACCAGCGATGGTAGGTGTTTTTCTGGCGAGAGACAACACAATAGGGAATCTCTGTCTGTAGCAAGAAGTTATGATAATCCAACTCCAGGCAAACAGAGCAATGAGGTATCTCAACTCCAGTCTACTTCAGACCTTGCTGGTGTTCTCCTACAGCGCTTTGGACTTGAAAAAGAAGACTTGGATTATCTCCTGATGTTACCTGAAGATCAAATAAATTCTGATAATATCGATATGATCTTGAAACAGATCATCCATATGAAGAAGAAAACATCTTCAACACAATCCTGCTCTGACCCCCAACCCTCCACAAGCTTTTTTGGACAGGACGAGCCTAAAGACACAAGAGAGCCAGAGATGTTCCAAGACGATATCTTTACAAGGTTCTTGAAACCTGCCAAAGTGATGGACTATGGACATACTAGGAGTTATACTGTGGTTGGGGAGAAAAATGAAAATGTCATCAGTCATGAGACTAGACGTAAGAACGATACCTCTAGCAGAAGCAGATCTAAAGAAACATCGGGAAAAAATACTACCGAAGTGAAGACCAGCTTGCCAATTCCTTTACTTGAGTCGACAGATTTTTCTTCAAGACTGACATCTACTAGCAGGTCTGGGAGTCTTCAAACCAGAAATCTACCTGGTAGGCCACAGTCTCAACCAATCCAGGCTTCTCAAAACACCCCTAGCTCGTTGATTACCCAAAATAAAAACACAGACCCATCTATGAGGGGACTAAACCAACCAGCGTTGGTCTCTAAAAAAAGTTCTGCCTCCTTTATTCCACCAGAGGCAGACGGGGATGCTCCTAAAGAGCCGACGACCCATGCAGATCCCATTGAGCCATTGCAGAGCCAGAACCAGGCACCAAAGATTGGTTTCATTCCTTTTATTATTTCAAAGCAAATTGCAGAAGAAAGGAAAATATCCAATTTGTCTTATAGACACTATCGCAAACCGGGTACTCCACAAGTGGAAGCTCAAGATTCAGAAAAATCAAAACCACCTAACTCACCACCAGGTGAAGGTGATGGTAAGCAAAGTAGTCCTACTGATGATCCGAGTAAAACCCACAAACATCCTGCCGGGGTAGCTAAAGAGCAGGTAAAGGAAAAACCAGCACCAGAAGAACTAAAGCAAACGTCTCAAGGAAGTAAATTAACAACAGACTCCAAGAACACCGACATGATGAGGCAAACTAAATCCCAAGAAGAGGCATTACAGCCATATTCTTCATCCGCGGAACGCAGTGCTTCATATGCTTTTGTTTCTAAATCACTTGCTCCTCCTCCACGTCGGTCAAACACTGAAGCAGATAAACGCCATAGTTTGGTAAAGTCTGCTTACAGCGAATTGGATCTAAAGAAGAACAAGGTTTTCAAGGGAGTACCAAGGCAGTCCAAGATCAATGACTATTTAGATGTCACGCCACCAGGCTTTCCACATCGCTGCACTCTTTGTAACGTCTCATCTAACAACGTAAAGGTAAGTCATTAAGGGTGTTCTATTTTTGATTTACTGGTCTGTCTTTTTTTGTTGAATATTTGATTGAAAGCTCAGACTTGAATGAGCATTAGCTTAAAACACCTGTATCCGTCAATCCCTAGTCTTAAGCTATTTTTTAACCATTTCAAACATAAATGGTGTTTACGATGTTATGTTTTTTCATTGTATTTGTTACCCATGAAGTAGACTTGTTTTTCTCCTACAAATTCTCATGAGAACCGGTGTCATGTTATCCTTGTCTCCTCATCCTCCTGCCCTTCACTCATTGTCCTGATCAAGTCCCACTTGGAAAACCATTGCAAAACATGAAGATAACTGAAGAGAGCTACCTCAGACCTGACCACAGCACAGGATTCCTTTTCTTTGTTGTTTTTATTCTGTATGCTGATTTTAATTTAAAAAAAAAGAAATGTTAAACAAATTTGTTCGGTGTATTTTTTTTTTTAAGTCTTTGAAAAAAGGTAATTTAAAAAACGGCTTACCCTCTGGAAACTTCTTAACATTTTTTGTCTCTTCTCACAACCAGGAATTGGCTTCCCATCGTAAGACCACCCTCCACCGCGAGAACTGCAAGTTACTTCAGAGAGAGTTAGTTTTTTCTTTCTCCAGATACATTTACCTTTCTTATTATTAATAAATGGTGAAAACACTGGTTCTCCTTATCAGGCAATTCATTGAAAGACCACAACCTTCGCTAATAGTGTATTAAGTTAATCATATTTCCAAGTTGTAGTCTGACTTTCTTTTTTCTTGAGCCAAACAGCAGTGTGTAGGAACTGCCTAGAACAGTTAGGCACCATTTTGATACAGATTATTGATGTACTCATTTTTTGAGGAGAGAGGAAACCTTCATGTTGGGATCGGACAAGCTGTATAATGGCTATATTATAGCTTGATATTTTCAAAGGCATTCGCAAGTTTAAGACCCTAAACGCATTTAAGAGTTTTACCAGAATTTTAAGACTTGGATATTTAGAAAAATATTAGACACCTGGTTTCACAAACTAATCAGCTAATTAAATCAAAACACATGCAAAGATCAGTTTAGTTCTGTAGGCTACACAATCATGGAGAAGAAAGCTGCCTTGACGGTTATCCAAAAGGCAAGCATTGCACTAGAAGGGCAAGACATTCATTGCTTAGGAGGCTGGCTGTTCAGAGGTATGTATCTATGCACATTAATGTGTGTTGTGAAGGAAAAGATGTGGTATAAAAAGGTCTACAAGCAATGGGGTTGGCTGCACCTCGCAAGGATTGTGAAGCAAGACCTATTTAGAAATGTGGGGGAGGTTCACAAAGACTGGACTACAGCTGGAGTCGGTGCTTCAAGCAAGACATGAGTTATATCTGCTGCATTCCTTGTATCGATCCGCTCTTGAACAAGAGACATCGTCCCTGTCTTTCCTGGGTTAAGACAAAAAGGACTGGACTGCTGCTGCGTCGTCCAGAGTTTTCTCCGATGAAAATACTTTTTGCATTTCCTTTGGAAAAAAAGGTTCCAAAATCTGGAAGAAGAGGGGAGAGATGGAATCCATGTTGCTTACTTTCCGGTGTAACATTTCCCCAGTCAGGGATTTTATTTTTATGCCGTCTGCCCGTGTTGATCAATTGTGTTTTCTGAGGTCCAAGGTCACTGCAACCATCGACCAGCAAGTTTTAGAGCACCTTATCCTTCCAGCAGCCGACCGAATTTATGGAGATGTAGATTTAATTTACCAATACGTCTTGAAACCTGCACACTGTGCCAAAACTACCACGTCATATTTAGGGACCATCGTATCACTTTTCTGATTCGGTCAGAAAACTCAGCGCTTCACAGTACCCCATAGTACATCTATGGGGTACTGTGAAGAGGATGTTCTTTAGGTGTAATAATCCAGGCAAAGGGAGCCCCAACAAAGTATTAAGTGCTGTACAGACTCATACTTTTTGTTAGGTTGTTTTTTTTTTTAACATAAACAACTTTTTTGTTGTTGTTAATGTTAATACTTTTTCAAAATTGGCAAAGAGTTTTGTAAAAGTTTTTTCTATTTTGGTCTTAAGTAATATAAACATTTTCTAAAATACTGACTTCTGGGTTTTCATTAGTCATCAGTTGCAATCCTAAAGATTAATAGAAATAAACGTATATATAAAATATATAAGTCTGTGTGTAATGAATGAATATAATCCAATTTTCACTTTTGGAATGAAATTATCAAAATAATTTACTCTTTCATGATATTCTTATTTTATAGCCAGTAGCTGTAAAAAGGGTTGAAAATGGCACAGAATGTAGGAGGAATTTGGCTATTAATGCAACACTCCATTAAAGGGTTTTCTTAATTGAATCAAGCTGTGCGGTTTGTTTTTGTAAACCTCTTAGGTGTTTTATGAATGCCTCTCTCTAATGCAGAAATCTTTCTGCTGTTAAACTCTGACCCATTTCATCTTAGGTAATTGTTTACATGTCTATATTACAGATATCCAGACTGGCATCACGGGAAACAAGATCAAAGGTAATTGTCTATACTATTAATTCACTATTACACTACAAGTATTGTCTGTTTTTGTTTTTCTAACTGTATTGTTTTTTTGCAATTGTAGAGTCTTGGATAAAAAAGCTAAAACCCGGAGTAGGAGCCGTTCCCATTCACACGGTTCCTACCACCGTCACAGAGACAGGTCCAGCAGCGGCTCCTGTTCTCGCTCACGCTCCCGTAGCCCACAGCGCAGTCGTACAAAGGAAAGACGCACCGAGAGCAGCTCCCGTAACCGCTCAGGCAGCCCACAGCGCAGTCGTACAAAGGAAAGACGCACCGAGAGCAGCTCCCTTAACCGTTCCTGCAGTCCTCGCCATCAACATGGCTGCAGGAGTGAGGAGAGACAAAGGAGGGGGAGGTATGTGAACACAGGAAAAAAAAAAAACTTTCTCAATGCACCAAAATCCAGTATCCATTTGCCTAAGTACTTTTTAGATCATTGAAGTTTAAAAATTATGCATTTAAAAAAAAAAGATTCTTATGGTTTTCCACTTTTTTTGTATTAAAATATAATTTTTCTGATACTTTTTTTTTATCTGAAATTATTTACTGGCTTTCAGGTCCCGGTCTCGTTCCTCATCTCCATCACACAAGTCCCGCTCTTCTCATAATTACCGTTCACGTTCAAGGAGCTCTGAGAGAAAATCGAGAAGAAAACAAGAAAGACGATCATCATCTGAAAGATCAACACCCAAACGCAGGAGGTCTACCAGTACAGAGAGACTTGCAAAGAGACTGCTGGAGGCATCAGGTTTGACTTGATATTTTAGATTTTCAAAATGTTAACCAGGACAAAAAAAAGTCTGACTTTACTCGCTATATTGTCTAACTTAAAATAATCCCAAATATGTATTGCAACACTTAGCTACCCATCAGTGGGTCACAGTTCGGTGCCTACCTTGGTTTTAAGTTTGTGTTTCGGTACTTTTGCAGTTCCTTAAGGGAAGAAAAAGTAAAACATAGAACTACTTATTTTTAGCGTAAACATGAAAAGGTTTAATTTAAAAGGACAGCAAAAAAGATTGCTTGCCATAGATACAAAAATCAAAGTGGAGATCATTCAGGTAGATCAGGGTCTTCACAGCCAAGCATTACCGAAATGCATGATGGCATTTAGCCTGGCGTTGCCTGGTTAATTTGCTCCAGTACATGGAAACATGTCTAATTCACATTTTTATTGACCGTTGAAAACTTGAGATTAATGAGTCGGTTCTGAAACAGTCTGTAGAATAAAATAAAACTCTACAGTCACTGGAAACAGGAAGCACTTTACATGAATGTTGAAAATGACTAGAGGCTATGGCCTTCCGTCAAAGGTCACTAACAATCCAAACAAGTTATTCCATTTCATCCATCTTTAGGTGTCCAGTCTCTCTCAAACCCTTCGGATTTGGAGGCATTGGTAAAATCTTTGACACCTACTTTAATAGCTGAACTAAATAAAGGGAAGCCAAGATCCTCTTCGCCGTCCTCTGGGTCTACTACAGAGACAGACTCTTCGGACACTGAGGCAAGTTATTCTCCATGCTAATTAAATGGCAAACAAAAAAAATATATGCAAGTGACGGAGATAAACTACCGTAATAGTAGATTTACCACTTTAGCTCACAATACTCTATTAAAAAGAAATCCTGTATTTACTCTTTTTCTGTTTCTGCCCTCTGTCCAGGATGAGTCCTCATCTGAAAGGTCAGTGAAGCTCAAAGGGATCCGATGCTATAACTCATACAGTGAACTCTCCACTGCCCTGAAGTCATTTGGGAAGATCGAGACGATTTTGCTACGTAGAGCTCGACAAAAGGTATGTCTAAAGACTGAACATAAAGTGTTCAGGACAAAACGTATGTCATTTGCACACATTTCTCTTAGCTGTAACATCTTGTACTAGGTGTGGGAAAAATATTGATAATCATTAAGTTTTTTACTATTCAACATCAATCCACAAGATCCTCTGCATAATTGTGGGACATTATCACGTAATTAAAGACGTTAAGTAGAGAGATGTAGAAAAATCCCTCCAGACCCTTTTCATAAAACTAGTGTAGGGTGAAAAAACTACAGCTGCTGTCGCAGGAAAGAGTCTTTTATTGAAACAATGAAGGTTTACAATTATAGAGGCTGTTAAGTTCTGATTATTTTGGCAGATTTAAGTTGTTAAGTCTGGAAATAAACCAAGAAACCATGCAAGTTGTAGTTTTTCCTTTAGAGCGGAGGTCTTCAACAGGAGGTCCGGGACCCCTAGAGGGTCCACGGAGGTACTACACGGGGGGGTCGCAAAAGTTTTAGTTGATTATCTTTTTTTTTTATATTCCCCACTGCAATGTTTTCCACTAATTGAAATATCTATATATCACAATTTAGTGAAGTATTTCAAGCTGGGCACCATTTCATGTTTTTTCTACTTTAATAATCCCCGAGGGAATTTACTTCTCTGCATTTAACCCAGAGTCACAGTCTGTGGGAATGGGGGATCGAACTCACAACCTCATGATTCAAAAGGATACAAAACCTGTCCTGTCAACCAGGAATCGGAATCAGAAATACCTTTATAATCCCAGGGTGAAATTACTTTTAACATATTTCTCCATCTATTATAGAGTGACTATAGTTTGATATACGCAATTTCATACAATTTATATATTTAGGTGGTCCCCGCTCCATCTTGCCATCGGTTTGGGGGTCCTTGGCCTGGAAAACGTTGAAGACCCCTGCTTTAGAGAATATTATATATGCTGCTGCTGATTATGTTAATCATATGAGATTAAAAATAATATTTAATCTAGAACTCTAACTATGCTTGTAGATATATATTTATACAGCAATGTTTTTCAGCAGGGCTGCAGCTATCGATTCTTTCAGCAATCAATTAATCTCAATACATTTGTTTAGTTTAATTAATTTAATTGAAAGTCCTTTTTTTTTTAACAGTGTCCTGTCTGGCAATGTGGCAATAAGAATAATTGTCTTGATGCCAAAAAGAGCCCAACAGATTTTACTTTCACAAGTGGAGCGGTATGGCAATTGCCATATTGCTCCACTTGTTTCATGTATATAAATTGCTTTATTATAATTATGCAGGGAGTTTTACAGTTTATATGGACACTGCAATGTAAATAGAGCAGAAGAAGAAAAGGAAAAAAGAAAAAAAAGAAAAATGAAAGAAAGAAGAGATTGAAAATGTTTTGTCCTTATCTCCTTTCTGTCTGCTTCATCACCTGTAACGAGATGAAAAAAGAACAGCACAACCGAAAGACATGGTACGAGATATACAATAAAGCAACACCTTTAAACTATCGCTAAAGTAATATTATTAAGTCTGACATGTACTCTGTGGTGGAAAAATACTTTCAGTAAAACATTTATATTTGGAATTTAGAAAAAAATCTGTGTGTATTTATTTCTTTTTTTTATACTTTATGTTTATTGAATGTGTTTCATTTATCAATCACATACAGAAAACAGAACAGAATTACTGTCGACAAGAAGAATTACTTACATTCTGACAAAGATGAACAGATACAGGATGAAAACAGCATACAATTTTACATTTCAATCTTGGGATTTTTGAGCAGCTTTTGAAGTGACAGTAAAAGTGACCTGATTCAGTTATTGTTTTCTAGAAATCTAGTCCATTTGCTCCATCTCTTTTTATAAAGATCCGATTGCAGTCTCAAATCTGTGTGTATTTTATATGCATTGCAAATGCAACAACTCTTACAAAAAAAATTACATGTAATAAAATATTTATACAATACAAAGCTTTTTAATCCTAAAGGAAAATGTTTATATTTGTATAGAGTTTTCTTAATTGCTGCTGTAGTTTGATTATTCTTTCAGCAGACAGCCTTTAGGATGACATATTCCAATATTAGTTTTTTGCTTGATATTTGGCCGATATCTAATATAAATGTTGGACCCTGTCAGAAACTACCAGATACCTTTTTTCCCTCAGTCTAACCTTAAAGGAGAACACGTTTGTTTTTCACATTGGCCCCTTGATTTTATGATATTACATCATGTTCTACTCACCCTTATGAGTTTTGTGTCATTTGGAGCCGTTCTGAAGATATTCTGTTAGGTTATATCCAAGTAACGTTTTCCTGTGGGCAACGACTTGAAGGCACAAACTAAACTGTTCATAATTTATCATTTATGGTACGCCAGCATTCATAACATGTAGGCAAATCACAGCGTGGATGGTAGTGCTGGAGTGCATCTAGCGATCTATACCAACTATAAAAAGGCAATCTTTATGAGATGGTTAAACATAAATACTGCTCTGCACATCATCATCTGCCATGGTTGCTGTTGTTCTTGCCGTTTCTTCATGGCAAGACACAGAATAGTGACCTTTGTCGGGTATTAATGGCGTTTAGGTCGGATGAATGCGACCTGGCCGTTCAGACACAGGTCGCTTTTGAAAAGATCAGATTGGTATCAGATTTAGTACCAAATAGCCAAGTGGCCTGGGTTGCATTGGAAAAAAATCGGATCTGTGTTGTCTAGACTGCCATGAAAAGATCAGATAAAGGTCACATATGGGCCAAAAAATCAGATTTGGGTCACTTCAGGCTGCTGTGTGAACTGAGCCAAAAGGAATACAAGTTTATCATGTTTGCTTTATTGTAGGCAAAGGTCATTTTCAGGGAAGTGGAAGCTGCAGAGAAACTCCGGCTCGCCAAGGGCTTCGACTTGATAGCAAACTATATTTCTGTGATTCCTGCTTCCACTCCTACTAAAGAGCAGAAGACCACTCCTCCGCTGTAAGTCATAAAAATATCTGTAGAATTGCTGCTATTTAGTTTTTTTTTTTTTTTGTTTTTTTTTAACATCCAAGCAATTAGTCAAATTTGAATATATGTTGTCGTCTCATACCTTTATCCTTTTTCTGTGCAAAGAAAATCTGCTGACGATGATGTCACATCCCGAAAGAAGGAAACTGCTTCACATTCCTTACCTCAAGAGAAAACTACAACCGGCACGAGTGGAAGGGCTGCAGATCAGAGAGATGACACTGAGACAAAGATCACCAGCCTCAAAGAAGAGACGGCTTCAGCCCCAGCGGAACCTAAAACTAAAGCAGACAGTTCAGGAACCAAAGAAGCCAAAGCTGTAAAAGATTCAGAAAGTGGGCTTTATGCTGGGGAAGATGTCAATGAAGAAAAACAGGCATCTGTAAAAGATTCAGAAAGTGGGCTTTATGCTGGGGAAGATGTCAATGAAGAAAAACAGGCATCTGCAATAGATTCAGAAAGTGGGCTTTATGCTGGGGAAGCGTTCAATGCAGAAAAACAGGCATCTGCAATAGATTCAGAAAGTGGGCTTTATGCTGGGGAAGCGTTCAATGCGGAAAAACTGGCATCTGCAATAGATTCAGAAAGTGGGCTTTATGCTGGGGAAGCGTTCAATGCGGAAAAACTGGCATCTGCAATAGATTCAGAAAGTGGGCTTTATGCTGGGGAAGCGTTCAATGCGGAAAAACTGGCATCTGCAATAGATTCAGAAAGTGGGCTTTATGCTGGGGAAGCGTTCAATGCAGAAAAACTGGCATCTGCAATAGATTCAGAAAGTGGGCTTTATGCTGGGGAAGCGTTCAATGCGGAAAAACTGGCATCTGCAATAGATTCAGAAAGTGGGCTTTATGCTGGGGAAGATTTCAATGCAGAAAGTTCTGCAGAGGAAAAAGCTGAGAAGTCCATAAAACCCAGTGATGCTCAGCTCTCCAGTCCAGCTGAGACCCCACCTGCTTCATCAAAGCAGGATCCAAACTTGCCAACTGAAGCTGATCCTAAAGGTGAATATTTGACTTTCTATACTGAGGTTTTTAAGGGATTTATTAATGGAAATGAGCAGAGTTTATAAAGCTAAGTTCAAAGAAGGTCTATTATCATCATTATAAAGCTGGTTTATATCCAGAAAGAATCAATCATGGTTTCCACTCAGTCTCTTTGGATTTTTATTGGGCTGATTTGACTGTTCATCTCTGAAGGCTTGTTAGGGTGGATGGCGCCACTTTTTAAAAATAGACAGGTGTAAATAAATTAAGGAGGGAGAAAAGACTGAATGCCTCTAAAAATCTAACCATGGATGGCTGAATATGATCTTTGTCTCACATATGGCTGGGAATCTGGGACACAGCCAGATGTGAGACATGGCAGGACTGCTTTGCTAAATGTAAGAGGCTCTTCCACCATTTAAAGAAACGGCTTGTCGTCTTGGTTACTCTATTCAGGTTAACTGCAGTAAATATTGCTGTAAAATAGACTAGAATCTATTTTAAATAACAAATCTATCCCCTCTAAACAGTGGTGTCAAAAGTACGCACATTTATACAAGTATAGATACTGCAGTTTAAAAACACTCTGGTAAAAGTTGAAGTATCAACCTAACCTCTTTACTCAAGTAAAAGTGAAAAAGTATGTGTTCCAAGAACTACTTAAAGTATAAAAGTATAAAGTAACCTTAAAAAAAAAAACCAGTCTCCATCTCCTGATACGCTCCTGCCTGTGTCCAACCTTTCAGACATTTCAACATCTTTTCCTGAAGCGAACATTGTAGCATGGCATAGACAATTCACAATTGCAATCTGATGATTTCCTTTAGCTAACCAATGAGTGTTTGCGATATATGACTCATCCAGTTACACTAGTTTTCACTAGACGTGGATGAGGCCAATGATCTGCATTGGATGGCGCACATAACATGGAATAAATATTTATCAAGATTAAACCGAAGCCAAGAGTAAGGAGTAATGTTCGTTTTAAATATTTAAGGAATAGAAAGTACAGATAATTATGTGAAAATGTAATGAGTAGAAGTAGGAAGAAAAATAAGTATTGGAGTAAAGTATAGATACTTAAAAACTGTACTTAAGTACAGTAACGAAGTATTTGTACGTATTTGTTAGTTGACACCTCTGCCTCTAAAGTTTAATTATTTACTAATTATTATGTAGGCAGCAAAAAGCCCTAATCTAAAAGAGGACAACTTAGGGATGTTTATCAGTGAATAATCCATAATAATGATCTACTGACTTTATCTATTGGATCCTCAGAGCGCTTTATTGTCCCAATTTAATGTCAAAGCAAATTAATTCCTTGTAGATAAATCTACAAGGAATAAACTTAATTCATTTGGCGTTTAGCAGTAATATAATACTAGTATCAATGTCCTGCATAACTACAGAGTTGTGCAGTTCAGGTAAAACCTGAAAAAAAAGTTTAATCTGTTATTAGATTATGTGTAAATCACTAAAGCTTTTTGATCCCAAAGGTTCAGAAGACGTTGGCCCTGAAGAAGCTGAAAAAGACTCTTCAAAAGATGTTCACGACACACAAGTCATAGATGGAGACAATTTAATGGATGAGACCATAACAGAATCTGAAGGTCCAGAAACCGATGCCCCAAATGAGCTGGTTTCTAAACCTGACGGTGAACACAAACCAGAGGAAAACGTTGTTCACCAAGGGGTGGATTCTATGGAGGTTGGATCAACAGCAAGAGAAGAAGAAATCCGGGCTGAAAAAGTGGAAGAAAAAACAGACGATTCGACAGCCTTGGGAGACCCAAGGCCCAGAAGAAGCCAGAGAACCAAGATGTCTAAGACTGAGGAGGACCCTCCAAAGAAGTTTATGTCAAGAGCAAAGAACAGAAAAGCAGAACAAGAGGCAGAAAAAACAGAGGAAGCTACTGCGGCTTTAGATGCTGCTGAGAAAGAGGTGACTGAAGAAGATGAACCTGTGATGCAGCAGAAACCCAAGAGAGGGAGACCAAGGAAAAGCAGCAGGAACACTAGAAACCAAAAGGCTGCTTTGAAAAACAAACAGCCCTGCAGTCCAGCAGCTGTGGAAGAAGATTTACAGGACAATGACTCAGTGGTGGAAGAGAAGGTTAATGAAGCTCCTGGAGGAGAGACAAACTCAGCAGAGCCTCAAAAGGACGTAGAAAAGACAGTTGAGAGAACAAGCTCTGCTAGAAATGAGGAAGAGGAGCTTCAGGCCGTCACATCTCTGGATGCTCCGGTTCAGGAGATGAAAGTGGAAGAAACTAGCAGCCTGGAGGTAGCAGGAGATGAATTTAGAAGAGAAACAGATGTTCAAGATGAAGGAGAAAACCCAGCAGAAGTGCTGGTCTCTGAGGAGCAGAGTCCGATTCAATCGTCTGGGGATGCTAAAGATGCTGAAGGAGCTTTATCTGGTGCAGACGGGTCCAAACAGGAAGTCTTAGAGGAACCGAGTCTGAATCCGTTAGCTGATCCTTTAAATCAGGATGGACTTTATTCTGAAGGGACAATTCAAGACTCCTTAAAGGAAGAGAGTCTGGCTGTGTCTGACTCTAATGTAGAGGCTTCACCTGAGGAGTCAGCTCCTCCAGAGGAACCTGCTGCAGGAGAAACCACCCCACCACCAGAAAGCAATGAGTGGGAAAAACCTACAGCTGATCTCAACGAAGAAAAATGTGTCTCCTCCATGTCTGAGGTGAACATTTGATCTTTTGGAGCTTATCTGTGCAGAAATCAATGAGGTGACTGAATGGCTGATTTGTTTTTTTTATAGATCACATCAGAGGTAAATGAAGCAGGTGGAGCCGAGAACAGATGTGACACTGAGGAAGGAGAAACTCTGAGATCTGCTAAACGCAAACATGATGAGAGCACAGGTCTGAATGCTTCCAGAGTTATTTTCAAATATTCATTATTGAGTTATGACTGCAGTTAGCTATTGCAGCGGCAGAGGAGGGCAGTTTTAAGTTTGAAAGTCTGACTTGTGTTTTCAGATGAGGCTGCGAATATTGTATCGGCAGAGGAGGAGGGAAAAGCAGATGAAGACGAAGATAAAAAGGAAGTTAAAACTCCCAGAGGCAGAGGTCGCCCCAGGAAGAAAGCTAGGAAGACTCCTGGTAACACAATGACTGAGACACACTGAGGTTAGGGTTCAAATCCAAAGATCACTGAGGTTTTCTTCTTTGGCAGTGAAAAAATCTACCCGAGGTCAAAGAGCTGAGGCTGAACCAGAGAGAGAAGAAGAAGAAAAGGAGTCTTTCTCTGCTTCACTGGATTCTTCCTCTGCTTTGGATAAAGACTCGTCTGCCTCTTCAGGCGCCGTCCAGACAGAGACCAAGCGGACTGTGGAGGAAACAGACGGTTCTTTGGTCTGTGATGAACAGCAGCTCCAGTTTGAGGATCCTGATGGAGAGAAACAGGAGGAAGGTTTGAAGGAGGAGAGAGAAGGATCTGAAATTAAAGGTAAAACATGCTGCCTTAGAAGAGTCTTAGAGGAACCGAGTCTGAATCCATTAGCTGATCCTTTGAATCAGGATGGACTTTATTCTGAAGGGACAGTTCAAGACTCCTTAAAGGAAGAGAGTCTGGCTGTGTCTGACTCTAATGTAGAGGCTTCACCTGAGGAGTCAGCTCCTCCAGAGGAACCTGCTGCAGGAGAAACCACTCCAACAACAGAAAGCAATGAGTGGGAAAAACCTACAGCTGATCTCAACGAAGAAAAATGTGACTCCTCCATGTCTGAGGTGAACATTTGATCTTTGGGAGCTTATCTGTGCAGAAAATCAAGGAGGTGACTGAATGGCTGATTTGTTTTATTTTAGATCACATTAGAGGTAAATGAAGCAGGCGGAGCCGAGAACAGAGGTGACACAGAGGAAGGAGAAACTCTGAGATCTGCTAAACGCAAACATGATGAGAGCACAGGTCTGAATGCTTTTAATTATTGAGTTATTATGACTGCAGTTAGCTATTGCAGTGGCAGAGGAGGGCTGTTGTGAGTTTGAAAGTCTGACTTGTGTTTTCAGATGAGGCTGCTAATATTGTATCGGCAGAGGAGGAGGGAGAAGCAGATGAAGACGAAGGTAAAAAGGAAGTTAAAACTCCCAGAGGCAGAGGTCGCCCCAGGAAGAAAGCTAGGAAGACTCCTGGTAACACAATGACTGAGACACACTGAGGTTAGGGTTCAAATCCAAAGATCACTGAGGTTTTCTTCTTTGGCAGTGAAAAAATCTACCAGAGGTCAAAGAGCTGAGGCTGATCCAGAGAGAGAAGAAGAAGAAGAAAAGGAGTCTTTCTCTGCTTCACTGGATTCTTCCTCTGCTTTGGATAAAGACTCGTCTGCCTCTTCAGGCGCCGTCCAGACAGAGACCCAGCAGACTGTGGAGGAAACAGACGGTTCTTTGGTCTGTGCTGAACAGCAGCTCCAGTTTGAGGATCCTGATGGAGAGAAACAGGAGGAAGGTTTGAAGGAGGAGAGAGAAGGACCTGAAATTAAAGGTAAAACATGCTGCCTTAGAAGAAAGTTTGTGAACTTCATTCATTTTCTGCAGTAATCAATGTGCTGCGTAACTACAATTATGTGGTTCAGATAAAACCTGAAAAAAGGTTTATTTTTAGATTATGTGTAAAACACTAAAACTTTTTGATCCTACAGGTTCAGAAGACATTGGGCCAGAAGAAGCTGAAAAAGACTCCTCAAAAGATGTTCACGATGGTGAAAGCATGGAAACAGAAAGTTCTGAAGATGAAAAAGCTGAGAATTCCATAAAACCCAGTGATGCTCAGCCCTCCAGTCCAGCTGAGATCCCACCTGCTTCATGGAAGCAGGATCCAAACCTCCCAACTGAAGCTGATCCTAAAGGTGAATATTTGACTTTCTATACTGAGGTTTTTAAGGGTTTTATTAATGGAAAATTGCAGAGTTTATAAATCGAGAGTTGCGCATCTAACTACGGTTCTATGAATCCCGGATGACCGCCAGAGGGCGGTGCTGAAAGCACTGAATGTTCCCTTCGGGCATGCGCAGTTCGAGTAATTATACCAACAGTCACACCTGTGACACCGGATGACCACTCAGAAGCTATATAGCCTGGTGTCATCCTTTGTTCTGCTCCTACAGAATCTTCTCGCAAAAGCAAGGATTCTGAGTGACAGAGAAGCTCTGGCGGTCATCCAGGTTTCATAGAACCGTAGTTGCATACGTAACTCTCGTTCTATTTCATCCCTACTGACCGCCAGAGGGCAGTGCTGAAAGCACTGAATGACTAATGCCGACGATGTCGCAAGGAATCCTGAGCACATACCTCACTGAGGAGGCCCAGCAGAACCCTGTAAAAGGAGCTGACCCAGGGGATGAGGGGCAGCCACATTGACACTGTAGAACCTGGTGAAGGTGGTTGGGGAAGCCCATGAAGCAGCGGCACATGTTGCTTCTAGTGGAACCCCTCTCAAAGCCACCCAGGAAGCGGAGACACTCCTGTTGGAATGTACTCTCACACCGACTGGCAGGGAGCAGTGACCTGCAGCGTAGGCATGGCAGATGACACTCACAACGCTGTTTAGAAAGAGGACAGCCTAACCTTGCACCCCCATAGCATAGGAAAAGGTGGTCCGAGCGTCTCAGATTGGCGGTGGCTGCAAAGTATGCCTCCAACGCCCTTACTGGGCACAACAACTCAAGACTCATACTCAGTTGCACCTGGCTGAGGTTTAAACTGAGCCAGCCGCAATGGCTGGTTACGGTGAAAAGGAGACGATACCTTAGGCACAAACCCAGTATTGGGCCACAGGGTAACACCAGAGCCATCTGGAGCCCACCTGATACACATAGGTCTGACAGAGAGAGCATGTAGCTCGCTGACCCTCTTAGCTGAGACCATAGCCATCAGGAAAGCAGTCTTGCAGGAGAGCCACTTGAGTTCGGCTTGTGACAAAGGCTCGAATAGATGGTGGCACAGAGCTGCGTGAACCAACGGCAGATCCCAATCTGGGGCTCATGGATCCGGCCACTGGCATAACCTACGAGCACCACGTAGCATAGTAAAAGGTGGTCCAAGCGTCTCAGATTGGCGGTGGCTGCAATGTGAAAAAGTGAAACCAGTTCATGGTGCCCCACTGTACGGTTGTCGACAGATCGGTGAATACACGAAATTGCTGCAACATACACTTTAAGGGTTGAAGGACAGCAACCCTTATCAAGGAGAGACTGGAGGATCTCTAAGATAGTGGGCACCGAGCAGGAAACCGGGTTCTCATTGTGGGCAGAGCACCACTGAGAAAAGAGGCGCCATCTGTTAGCATACTGCAGCAGAGTGGAGGGCGACCTAGCACTCAATATGGTGTGTCTCACGGTGTCTGAACACCCAGTAAGCCTCCCAGGGGCCATGCCCAAAGCTGGAGACGTTGAGGGTTGGGGTGCTATATCTGTCCTCCCAACTGAGACAGCAGATCCCACCTTGCTGGAAGACGCCATGGAGTACCGTGACACAGACTCCAAAGCACCGGGAACCACGGCCGCGCTGGCCAGAACGGAGCTACCAGCAACACTCTGTGGCCCTGCTCGAGAACCCTCCGTAGAGTCGGCCAAATCAGCGAGAGGGATGGAAAGGAATACAGGAGAACCTGCGGCCATGGATGAGCCAGTGCATCCTGGCCCAGTGCGCCCGCCATCCCGGTCAGGGAATACTACAGGGGGCAATGGGTCTACTCCCCTTGGGCGAACAGATCTACCTCTGCCTGCCCAAAGAGGTTCCAGATTATGCGCACTACGTCGCATAACCGGTGAAGAGACCACCCTGGAGCAGGTGCCTGGCAACCTGGTTCTGCCGTCCTGGCAGATACGCTGCACGCAGGGTACTCAGACGTCTATTCCAGGAGATCTCTCGACACCTTCAAGAGACCTGCTGACCTGGTGCCTCCTTGGTGGTTTATATGATAAACAAAAGAGATGTTGTCTGTTCGAATCAGCACATGCCCTCCCTCTAGGTGGGGCATAAGGCACCTGAGGGTCATGTGCACAGCCAGCAGCTCCAGCACATTTATGTGTTCGGTGCGCTCCCTTGGGTCCCAGAGACCCCAAACATCTCTGTGTTGCCACACGTTACCCAAGCCCATGAGGCTGGCATCCGTGGTGACCACTTCCCTTCGACACACCACCAGTGTCCTGAACAGATGCAGAGAGGGCTAACATGATGTGCGCCAGGGAATTACAAAGGCGGCCAGCACGCACTCCTGCATTGTACGCCTTACAGAGGAGGTCATCTGTAACCCGACATTGAGTCCGCAGGCACTGGACACTCAGGACGCAGGGCTTCATCTGGTGACACAATCAGTGAAACAACAGCGGGTTCAATTGCTGGCATATGGTCCAGTGCCGGCCTTCACCGACTCATGCTTGGCAGCTAAAAGGCAACCATCTTAGGAGAGACGTGACAACTCTCTCGGTTCCCGCACTCGGTTCCGGCTCTCGGTACACACTCCCCTCTCCGGGAGAGGGGCAGAGATGCCGTGGTCCCATCACGGCGCTTAGAACGCTTGGGGGGAACCACCTGCCCAGAGGGCGAAAGGTCCGAGCCCTTCAGTGGGCACGACTGAGCCAACCAAGCCACCCTCACTGCATGGGGCATAAAGCTGCAGTTCCTGGAGGAGTTCTCAGACAGCACCTTCAAAACGTGCTCATGTCCAAGGCAGGTAGGGCACAGGTCTTGGCCATCCTCTGCCTGCAGGGCAGCCCCACAATCCATGCAGCTATGAGAGCCATCCATGTCGAAGGCCGACAAGGCTTTAAGAACAAAAAATTATCTAAAATCGGGAGAGGGGGCGCAAACACAGTCATCACAAATTATAGCAGAGAAACGAAAGAGGCTGCGAACACAAGGCAGCCGATAGTGGGAGAGGGGGCGAGAACCGCTACCGTCACCAGGTATAAAAACCAATAAACCAAAAAAGCTAACAAGCTGTATGGTAACTTAAGTTGGGAGTAGGAGCGAAAAACGCTGCTGTCAGCAATTAAAAGAGCAGACCAACGAAAAGGGTGCAAAAAAGGTTGATATTGGGAGAGGGGGCGAAAAACGCTGCCGTCACCATTTATAACAGAGTGGACCAACGAAAAAGGCTACAAACAAACCAAAAAAGGCTAACAACGTTAGCCGTCTCCAACTTCGGCAAGTGAAGCTGACCACACTTGGTTGGGAGAGGGAGCGAAAACTGCTGCCGTCACTGATTATAAAAGCGTAGCCTGGTGGAAAAAAAGGCTGCAAGTAGGGCATATACTGGGTGAGGGGGTGAAAACCGCTGCCGTCACCAGGTATAACACCAACAAACTAAAGAAGCTAACTACGTTAGCCGTATATAACTTCGGCAGTGAAGTTGTTCACACTGGGAGTAGGGGCGAAATCGCTGCCGTCACCAGTTCAAAATAAAACAGCACGAAGCTGTACATAAAATGTTAAGAAAAAGCCGTGAGCTGGGACAGGGGGCGCGGACGCTACCATCACCAGCAAACAAACTAACTAACCCTCCGTAATCTTCAGAATCGACCCGTTGCAGCCCTGGGAGGGCGGAGAATAACCGCAACTCCAGTCAGCAAGAGACAGAAGCTTTAAACAGCGGGTAGGCTAGCGAACCGCTTGCGAGGAGAAAAAAGGAGCAGAGCAAAGGATGACACCAGGCTATATAGCCTTTGAATGGTCATCCGGTGTCACAGGTGTGACTCTGTTGGTATAATTACTCGAACTGTGCATTTACCGAAGGGAACGTTCAGTGCTTTCAGCACCCCCCTCTGGCGGTCAGTAGGGATGAAATAGAACCACTCAGAGTTGAACACGTGAGTGACAAGTATGAAAAGCTTTTGTCAATGGAGCCCCAATTTGACGAGTCACCATGACAACAGGCAACAGGAAGTGCCTATTTCACTCCACTAGAACTAGAGATTTTAATTAAGAGAAAAATAGCACTACAGCTGCAAAGGAGAGGAGGATGGAGAGGAAGATGGCAAAGGAGAATATTGTTGCTCCAGTTAATGCACAAGTTTATATGAAGTAGGCTATGGCAGGCCATTTTTACATTTATTAAAGCACTCTCCTCTCTGTTGTTCCATTTGCAGATCACTAAAATAAGATTCTTCCTGATCAAAATCACACCTCTAGACTGAACTGTAATAATATATTTTCTAAATTATGTTTTTGAAACAGAAACTGAATTTCAGAAAGAAAAACACAAGCAAAATTATACTAGTAAGAATTAAGAATTGGCTGTTTTGACATTTATCAGCTTGACTGAAAATGTATTTATTATATCTGGGGGAAAAAAAATCATAGTAAAAATAATAGAAAATGAAGACCAGTAACAACAGGGATGTGTAGATCTGAAATTAATTTCTAGATGTCCAGAATTTTTATTCTAGATGTGAAAAACGTAATTTTGTTTGAAATGGTCATTTTGACCAGAAAAACTATTTTTATCAGATATCAGGAATACATACTCAGTAAAACTAATACATATCAAAATGGCTCTGCTTCCCTGGATTCTTCCTCTGCTTTGGATAAAGACTCGTCTGCCTCTTCAGGCGCCGTCCAGACAGAGACCCAGCAGACTGTGGAGGAAACAGACGGTTCTTTGGTCTGTGCTGAACAGCAGCTCCAGTTTGAGGATCCTGATGGAGAGAAACAGGAGGAAGGTTTGAAGGAGGAGAGAGAAGGACCTGAAATTAAAGGTAAAACATGTTGCCTTAGAAGAAAGTCTATGAACTTCATTCATTTTCTGCAGTAATATAACACTAGTATCAATGTGCTGCATAACTACAGAGTTATCGTTCAGATAAGACCTGAAAAAAAGGTTTATTCTGAGATTGTGTGTAAAACAAGAAAGCTTTTTGATCCTAAAGGTTCAGAAGATGTTGGCCCTGAAGAAGCTGAAAAAGACTCTTCAAACGATGTTCACGACGGTGAGAACATGGAAACAGAAAGTTCTGCTGAGAATTCCATAAAACCCAGTGATGCTCAGCCCTCCAGTCCAGCTGAGACCCCACCTGCTTCATGGAAGCAGGATCCAAACCTCCCAACTGAAGCTGATCCTAAAGGTGAATATTTGACTTTCTATACTGAGGTTTTTAAGGGTTTTATTAATGGAAATGAGCAGAGTTTATAAAGCTAAACTCAAAGAAGGCCTATTATCATCATTATATTCATCTCTGAAGGCTTGTTAGGGTGGATGGCGCCACTTTTTAAAACTAAATAAAGGAGGGAGAAAAGAGTGAATGGCTCTAAAAATCTAACCATGGAAGACTGAGTATATGCGTCTAAAGAAAAGCAGTCAGAGATGTGGGTACGGTAAGGCTCTGCTCGCCCTTAATGGACGTGCAACAGTGAGAAAAGAGCTGCTTTGGTTTAGAAGGGAGGAAAAACTCTGAGCACCTCTGTGGTGGAGAGATTTTATTTCACATAAAGGTATGAGTTGGACGCACATTCACTGGTTATGGTTTTTATGGCAGCACTGCTGTTCTAAGTCTAAGAGGCTCTTACACCATTTAAAGAAACAGCTTTGGCTAGATACCCAGCTCCTCTACTTCCTGACCTTCAGCTGCTCCTCTGTTTCCTGCCTTTCATTACTGGACAGAATAATTCATCCAGGTGTGTCTGGCCCTTGTCGTCATGGTTACCGAGATCAAATTAACTACAATAAATAACATTGCTGTAAAATAAGCTATCACCTCTAAAATGTAATTATTTACCCATTATTAGTGTTATATTGGCAGTAAGAAGCCAGAGTTTAAATAGGTGAATTTCACATTAAAAATAATAAATTAAAATATTGCTTCAATTGTCGCATATTGGGATTTTTTAATAATAGTATTTTAATTATTTTCTGTGATTTGGTTATTTTTTTTTTTATTATATTTTGATTCAACAGTTATTTAATGTTTATACTTATTTTGTGTGACTTTGGGAGTTTTATCAGTGAATAATGCATAAAAATGATTTGCTCACTTTATTGGATCTCCAGAGTGTTTTATTGTCCCACTTTATAGTCAAAGCAAATGAATTCCTTGTAAATGTAAACCACTGCTACTACTAAACTCTCCTCTGATTCTTCCTCTGCTTTGGATAAAGACACACTGAGGTTAGGGTTCAAATCCAAAGATCACTGAGGTTTTCCTCTTTGGCAGTGAAAAAATCTACCGGAGGTCAAAGAGCTGAGGCTGAACCAGAGAGAGAAGAAGAAGAAGAAGAAGAAGAAGAAGAAGAAGAAGAAGAAAAGGAGTCTTTCTCTGCTTCCCTGGATTCTTCCTCTGCTTTGGATAAAGACTCGTCTGCCTCTTCAGGCGCCGTCCAGCCAGAGACCCAGCAGACTGTGGAGGAAACAGATGGTTCTTTGGTCTGTGCTGAACAGCAGCTCCAGTTTGAGGATCCTGATGGAGAGAAACAGGAGGAAGGTTTGAAGGAGGAGAGAAAAGGACCTGAAATTAAAGGTAAAACATGCTGCCTTAGAAGAAAGTTTGTGAACTTCATTCATTTTCTGCAGTAATCAATGTGCTGCGTAACTACAATTATGTGGTTCAGATAAAACCTGAAAAAAGGTTTATTTTTAGATTATGTGTAAAACACAAAAACTTTTTGATCCTACAGGTTCAGAAGACGTTGGGCCAGAAGAAGCCGAAAAATACTCTTCAAAAGATGTTCACGATGGTGAGAGTATGGAAACAGAAATTTCTGCTGAGAAGTCCATAAAACCCAGTGATGCTCAGCTCTCCAGTCCAGCTGAGACCCCACCTGCTTCATCAAAGCAGGATCCAATCCTCCCAACTGAAGCTGATCCTAAAGGTGAATATTTGACTTTCTATACTGAGGTTTTTAAGGGATTTATTAATGGAAATTAGCAGAGTTTATAAAGCTAAGCTCAAAGAAGGTCTATTATCATCATTATAACAACTGGTTTATATCCAGAAAGAATCAATGATGGTTTCCACTCAGTCTCTTTGGATTTTTATTGGGCTGATTTGACTGTTCATCTCTGAAGGCTTGTTAGGGTGGATGGCGCCACTTTTTAAAACTAAATAAAGGAGGGAGAAAAGAGTGAATGGCTCTAAAAATCTAACCATGGAAGACTGAGTATATGCGTCTAAAGAAAAGCAGTCAGAGATGTGGGTACGGTAAGGCTCTGCTCGCCCTTAATGGACGTGCAACAGTGAGAAAAGAGCTGCTTTGGTTTAGAAGGGAGGAAAAACTCTGAGCACCTCTGTGGTGGAGAGAAATTATTTTAAATAAAGGTATGAGTTGGACGCACATTCACTGGTTATGGTTTTTATGGCAGCACTGCTGTTCTAAGTCTAAGAGGCTCTTACACCATTTAAAGAAACAGCTTTGGCTAGATACCCAGCTCCTCTACTTCCTGACCTTCAGCTGCTCCTCTGTTTCCTGCCTTTCATTACTGGACAGAATAATTCATCCAGGTGTGTCTGGCCCTTGTCGTCATGGTTACTGAGGTCAAATTAACTGCAGTAAATAACATTGCTGTAAAATAAGCTATCACCTCTAAAATGTAATTATTTACCCATTATTGGTTTTATATTGGCAGTAAGAAGACAGAGTTTAAAAGAGGTGAATTTCACATTAAAAATAATAAATTAAAATATTGCTTCACTTGTCGCATATTGGGATTTTTTAATAATAGTATTTTAATTATTTTCTGTGATTTGGTTATTTTTTTAAATTATATTTTGATTCAACAGTTATTTAATGTTTATACTTATTTTGTGTGTTACTCAGTGAATAATGCATAATAATGATTTGCTCACTTTATTGGATCCCCAGAGTGTTTTATTGTCCCACTTTATAGTCAAAGTAAATTAATTCCTTGTAAATGTAAACCACTGCTACTACTAAACTCTTCTATGGTTCTTCCTCCGCTTTGGATAAAGACACACTGAGGTTAGGGTTCAAATCCAAAGATCACTGAGGTTTTCTTCTTTGGCAGTGAAAAAATCTACCGGAGGTCAAAGAGCTGAGGCTGAACCAGAGAGAGAAGAAGAAGAAGAAGAAAAGGAGTCTTTCTCTGCTTCCCTGGATTCTTCCTCTGCTTTGGATAAAGACTCGTCTGCCTCTTCAGGCGCCGTCCAGCCAGAGACCCAGCAGACTGTGGAGGAAACAGACGGTTCTTTGGTCTGGGCTGAACAGCAGCTCCAGTTTGAGGATCCTGATGGAGAGAAACAGGAGGAAGGTTTGAAGGAGGAGAGAGAAGGATCCGAAATTAAAGGTAAAACATGCTGCCTTAGAAGAAAGTCTATGAACTTAATTCATTTTCTGCAGTAATATAATACTAGTGTCAATGTACAGCATAACTACAGATTTATGCTGTTCAGGTAAAAGTTGAAAAAAGGTTTAATCTGATATTAGATTATGTGTAAAACACTAAAGCTTTTTGATCCTAAAGGTTCAGAAGATGTTGGCCCTGAAGAAGCTGAAAAAGACTCTTCAAACGATGTTCACGACGGAACAGACGGTTCTTTGGTCTGTGATGAACAGCAGCTCCAGTTTGAGGATCCTGATGGAGAGAAACAGGAGGAAGGTTTGAAGGAGGAGAGAGAAGGACCTGAAGGCGCTGAGATTAAAGGTAAAACATGGTGCCTAAAGGGGGGATTATACCACTGCAACAATGTAAGGTTGGATTTTTAGGGATGTCCTGATCTGATATCGATGTCGGAAAATTGGTTCAGTATGATTTAAAAAGTTAATATTGGAATAAATCGACCTGCTTCTAAATTCTCAGATACTCCAGAGCTCATAGAAACACTGCTTTTCTTTTTAAGTTTAACTCTTTGGTGAATAAGAAATGTTGTTCATACCTGATGTTATTGATAAATTTGGATTAAAATAAGTAACAAAAGCCTGGATGATTAATGCAGATCGAGTTAATATCAGTCACTCAGACACTCGAAGCTGCAGGATCAGTGAAACAGAGCCCTGATGTTTTTAAGCCATAACTCAGTGACGTTCTCCTTTCTCCTCCACTGAATGTGTTTTAATAAAGATTTCCTGATTTTTCAGATATAACTGAAACAGATCTGCTGATAAATACAACCAGTAACTTTCATATTTTTATTTCATTTAAAAACGTCACAGTGAGCGGGTCACAGAATCATTCAAACCAGCATATTGTTTTAATTAAATGTTTTTCCGTTTCGATTAGTTCAGACTGCCAGAGTACCGTCTAGTTTAAAGGTATAGTGGAGGAGTTTCGCACATTTTTGGAAAGACCCGCTCTCTCCAATTAAATAGAAATGCACATGCATAACCCTGTACCCACTCACGAGAGGGAACGTCTATTAATCACGTGCGAGAGCTTGCACGAGCCATTCGTCCTCATGCAAGGTCTGTTTAAAAGTTGCCGTCTGCATTGCTCACACAAGCTTACTTTCCAAAGATTTGCAATTTTTCCGGTATGTCAGACTCGCCACCGGTAAACATATCACCAGAATGATTGACAGTTAGGAGGACCATTTATCCAGCCTGAAACAGAACAGAAATAAAGCTGCTGATTAAAGGACTTAAAATGATTTATTTCTTTGTTCTGCAGCAGAGAGCAAACAGAGAAGGGAGCCGGCCGGACCTGAAGCAAAGAGATCTAGATCTGTCTCTCCAACTGTTGCTGATAACTTCAGGCTGCCTCCATTTGACCCCGATCTTCCTCTTGGTGAGAAAACATTTAATACTATTTTTTTTTTTTTGTTCCAGTCTGTTTAGTTTATGTTCTTTTGATTAAACCAGAAAAAGAAACCTTTTGCTCTGTTAGAACCTTACATCACTCCAGTCACAGGTACTTGTTATTTTGTGGTTTCTCTTTTAAATGATGGTTGTTTATAGACAGTCTTTAGCAAAGAAAAATAATAATCCTAGTATAACCGAACAGTATTTCATAAATGTACTGAAAACAGCATATAGAATATTTAAAAGGAACATTTTCAGTCAATAGCAATTTTACATAAATCATACAACATACTAGATTGTAAAGTTTTGTGTTTAAAGTATTACTGTCTGAGAGATCCTTATTTAACATACTGTGCAGCACTATGGTGAACAGCATATTTTATGATGTGTTGCAACATAAAAGTGCCATACATATTATAAATAGGGCAGGATTTAGCCACCATACTAATCCACCATTTATAAATTCAAAGGTAATTTAAAGATCTTGTATGTAATGGAATAATGGAATTTAATAAAAATAAAATAAAACGCCTATTCTATTCCAGAGAGTAAGAGATGAATGTAAATTTACCTTACATAAAGTAAATCAATATTAGATGTGGAGAACTGCTCAAAGTTTAAGTCCTCTACATCCTGTCATTGTTTAAAAAAAAAAAAAGCTTAGATTTTTTCTTGTATTATTTCTAAATTGTTAAATTAAGTGTAGCTTCATGTTTTGTAAGGCATACATTCCTAAGCTTTTGCTTCAGCCTAATCCTTTCAGCCACAGTATGTAAACACCATTTGTTTTTATTTCTGAATAAACAAAACTAGTAGCTTAATGAGGTACACAGTTGCTTGGCTAGCAGTGCTGGTCTGTTCCCCTCAGGGTTGATCTAGCTCAGTCTGGCTTTCTGATGTTCTTTCTTGGCTGCCACATTTAGTGTATGTGTGTGTATATAAAAAAACACAGATTTTGTATGCTCTCACGTGTTTTATAGGCGTTCCCTCTTGGGAGCAGGTACAGTGGTGTGCATGTGTATCTTTTCAAAAATTTGCAAAAATCCTCCACTATAGCTTTCATAATTTCTCCTTTCATGTCCTACTTGATTTCTTTTTTTTCTTGCTGTCTAACTTCATCATCTACTTCCGTCTGTGTCGATGTTTGTTTTAAGAAACCTCAACAGGTGCAGAAGGATATAGGAGAGTGAAAGTTTTTATCTAAATCACCTTGAGAGAACGGATCACTTCCATTTCTGCATTAAAAATATTTTTTGTAAATGAGTTTAGCAGCTTGACCCTATAGACATTATTGTTTGGTTTCCTCTACAGGTCAGGAGTTCACTGTGCAGAAACTGGCACGTTTCTGTCAACTGTGCTCGGTTTTCTACCTGAATGAGAATGAGGATAAAGACCTGCACTGCTGCAGTGAGGCACACTATAACAATCTGCAGGTAAACAAACAGGAACCAGGAATCATCAGTGTCTCTGATCGTCTCTCGTTGACTCTTCCTTCTCTTCTGTCTTCAGAAATATTACCAGGAGCTTCAGCAGAACTCTACCAGATCCTGTGAAGAAAACTCCCATGGTTTGGTTTCTGAATGAACTGGATAAAAAACACGATTTAAAGTACTTGGTTAAAGACGTCCCTGGATGAAAAACACTGCTTAGAGAGATTAAGGAAACAGATCCGCTGATTAAACTAGTCAATTTCAATATATTTGTTTCTTCTTGGTTTCATTAATAGAAAATAGTTTCTATCTGTAAATGTTCTTGCTTGTTTTGTGATGCTTCCTTGAAAACTACCAGCATTTTATTGCATTTTGAATAATAGAAGTGTGATTTGATGGAAAGTTTTAATGGGACACTTTGGTACCGACTGAACGGCTTCAGAGTTTAGACCTACAGCTTCAGTTATTTTAATATTTGCTATTTATTCATCAATAAAAGAAAAATAAATTGTCAGGCAAATTAAATCAAGCTATTGCCCTGACCATGATCCATCCCCTCAATATGGCAGCTTTTTACTTCAACTTTTATTCATTTTAATCCCCATCAGCTACAGATTAACACTGCTGCTACTTTCCCAGAGTTCATACGAGGAATAAAAAACAAAAATGCTGAAAACTTAAAGGTGCAGTAGATCTTTTCTGATGCATTTTTCACCATGTGGCTTAAAGATCTCCCCACAGCTGCTTAGCAAGCAGTGAAATAGAACTGGAAGTGAAACTAAAATGTTCCCCGCAGCAGTGAGAGATCAATGAATAACCTTAACCAATCACAAAAGAGTTCTACACGAAGATTAACATAAAAAAACATGCAGAATACTTCATTAGTCTGTAACTGTTTCAATAATAAAAGTTGAAATTAAAATCTCAATACCACCCATAAACCCCCTTATAAAACGCTGTCATTACAAATTTACATCGACACTTATAGTGACTTTAATCCTCACTATTTACCAATTGTGAAAATGCCTCCATCCTATATACACATACACCCCAAATATATACAGTGTAAAAAAAAAAAAAAAGTTGTCAGCCACTGATTGCAAGTTCTAATTAGAAAGATGAAGTGTAATTTTCATTGAAGGTTCACTTCAGCCAAGTGACCAAAAAAAAATAAAGGAAATCATAATATTAACTTTTACGGAATAACATAATGTTGGATTTCAGAGTTTATTTGAAATTTAAGCATTTGGTCAATAACATTGTTGGTGATGACAGGTCAAACGTCTCCTGAGGCCTTTTTCACAGAACCAAGATTCAGGGATTCAGTCTCGATTTCCTGCCTGCTTTTCTCTGCTGTTCCTTAGCAGCAGCAACACCAACGTTAGTGATGTGTGGAGCCCATAGAGCATAACACTATTGGTGCGTGTGTCGTTTCAAGAAAGTCATGTGACCGATACAGGACTGACTCACTAAACTGTGTTTAAAAATGTCTCTACTTTTGCAGTTTATCATTAAACTTATCAAGAATTTTGGAGCAGCCTAAAAAGGATAGGAATATTTCAGCGTTGTTTTTATTTTTAATTTCCTTGTCTCTGTTATCACTCAACTTATCTGAAAGTTAATTTCAAATTGACTTAGTTTACAGTTTACTGTATTCATCGTTTCAAAAATATGATTTAAAATCCTAGTACACAAGCGTCCTCATTTACATTTTCTCCTAAATTGTCACGTTATGTTTATATTATTGATTGGCTGCATAAAAAAAAAAAAAATCTAAAGATATAAGAAATAATACAATGTACCGGTAACTTAAATTATATCATTGTGCTAGGTCATCAAATTGAGTTTAATCTGTCAAATAAGCTGCCTGTAGTGTCTTTAAAGGTCCAGCAGGTGTCAGTATTCTGAGAGACAGGATCAATAGTTTGGCAATGTGTGGAAACGCTTCAAGATGCCTCATTAACCATCACTAACGTACGTCGTCCTGTGCTGCCATGTTGATTTTAGCTCAGCAGCTTTTGTCAGCTCTCTACGTCCCCCTTAAACCATAATACTGCTACATGATTCATAGAGCCGTTTTAGGTCAGACTCTGAAACATTTGAACTTGCACATACCATCAAGTATGATAACTGAAGGTGGAAACAATTCCATATCTTCAGTTGGGCTTTATCACATGATCCAGGACACGACGGAAGAACTAAGGCTACGTTCACACTGCAGGCCTTTTTCGTGAAATCCGATTTTTTTGCATTCCCGTTCACATTTCCAAATATACAGGTGCTGGTCATAAAATTAGAATATCATGAAAAAGTAGATTGATTTCAGTAATTCCATTTAAAAAGTGAAACTTGTATATTATATTCATACATTACATACAAACTCATATATTTCAGATGTTTATTTTGTTTAATTTTGATGATTACAAATGACAACAAATGAAAATCTCAAATTCATCATATCAGAAAATTAGAATATTGTGAAAAGGTTCAAAATTGATGGCCCCTGGTGCCACACTCTAATCAGCTAATTAACTCAAACCACCTGCAAAAGCCTTTAAATGGTCTTTCAGTCTAGTTCTATAGGCTACACAATCATGGGGAAGACTGCTGACTTGACAGTTGTCCAAAAGACGACCATCGACACCTTGCACAAGGAGGGCAAGACACAAAAGGTCATCGCTAAAGAGGCTGGCTGTTCACAGAGCTCAGTGTCCAAGCACATTAATAGAGAGGCGAAGGGAAGGAAAAGATGTGGTCGTAAAAAGTGTACAAGCAAGAGAGATAACCGCACCCTGGAGAGGATTGTGAAACAAAACCCATTCAAAAATGTGGGGGAGATTCACAAAGAGTGGACTGCAGCTGGAGTGAGTGCTTCAAGAACCACCACACACAGACGTATGAAAGACATGGGTTTCTGCTGTCGCATTCCTTGTGTCAAGCCACTCTTGAACCACAGACAGCGTCAGAAGCGTCTTGCCTGGGCTAAAGAGAAACAGGACTGGACTGCTGGTGAGTGGTCCAAAGTCATGTTCTCTGATGAAAGTAAATTTTGCATTTCCTTTGGAAATCAAGGTCCCAGAGTCTGGAGGAAAAGAAGAGAGGCACTTCATCCACGTTGCTTGAAGTCCAGTGTAAAGTTTCCACAGTCAGTGATGGTTTGGGGTGCCATGTCATCTGCTGGTGTTGGTCCATTGTGTTTTCTGAGGTCCAGGGTCAACGCAGCCACATACCAGGAAGTTTTAGAGCACTTCATGCTTCCTGCAGCTGACCAACTTTTTGGAGATGCAGATTTCATTTTCCAACAGGACTTGGCACCTGCACACAGTGCCAAAGCTACCAGTACCTGGTTGAAGGACCATGGTATCCCTGTTCTTAATTGGCCAGCAAACTCTCCTGACCTTAACCCCATAGAAAATCTATGGGGTATTGTGAAGAAGAAGATGCAATACACCAGACCCAACAATTCAGAAGAGCTAAAAGCCACTATTAGAGCAACCTGGGCTATCATAACACCTGAGCAGTGCCACAGACTGATCGACTCCATGCCACGCCGCATTGCTGCAGTAATACAGGCCAAAGGAGGCCCAACTAAATACTGAGTGCTGTACATGCTCATACTTTTCATGTTCATACTTTTCAGTTGGCCAACATTTCTATAAATCCTTTGTTTTTATTGGTCTTCAGTAATATTCTAATTTTCTGATATGATGAATTTGAGATTTTCATTTGTTGTCATTTGTAATCATCAAAATTAAACAAAATAAACATCTGAAATATATGAGTTTGTATGTAATGTATGAATATAATATACAAGTTTCACTTTTTAAATGGAATTACTGAAATCAATCTACTTTTTCATGATATTCTAATTTTATGACCAGCACCTGTATGCTACTTGTATGTGATCTCCTGTGTGAACTGCAGTCATACAACGCAAGTGTTCCACATACGCAGTAGAGGACGCAATGACATCACAGGCCAGCGTGCTCTGTGTTTACGGAAGTAAACATGGATGGTAGTACTGGAGCGCATCTTGCAATCTATACCATCCATAAAAACACAATCTTTACGAGATGGTTAAAATGTATACCGCTCTCCGCATCGTTTGCGATGATTGTTGTTATTCTTCCTGCCTCTGCATAGAAGGACCCAGAATAGTGACCTTTGTCGAGTATTAATGGCGTTCATGTTGGATAAATGTGACCTGGCTGGTCAGACACAGGTCGCATGTGAAAAGATCAGATTTGCATCAGATTCAGGACCACATAGCCAAGTGGCCTGGGTGCCATTGGAAAAAAATCGGATCTGTGTTTTTCAGACTGACATGAAAAGATCAGATCCAGGTCGCATGTGGTCCAAAAAATTGGATTTGGGTCACTTCAGGCTGCTGTGTGAACGTAGCCTTCGTCTCTGCTGGTCTGGGAAAGCCTCAGGCGGAGATGGGGGGAGGCGTCTGTGGAAAGGAAAGTCTGGGAGTACCTGGCCTGCCACGGCGACCCGGATAACACAACGATCTTTGAAGTTATTGACAATACTTTGAATTTATTTTGGTCCAGCTGGAACCAGCAGCCCGTCATGCCAGGGCACTGAGACCATCTGAGCGCGGCAGCACCGCCTTCCAGCGTGTTTAAGGGCTGCAATCGGTCTCAGAAGACAACTACTTTCATGCAACATTTAATGGTATTTAAGTACAATACAAACAAAAGAAAGCAATTGTACAATCAGGTAGCAGCTGATGATTACAGTTACATAAATCAACACTTTGAAAGCAATTTATCATTTTCAACAACTGAAATATTGGGGGGAAAAAAAAAAGTTTTTCCAAACTTTGGAAGAAATTTCGTAGAGTATCTGTTAGGGACAAATCAACCATATTACTTCCACAGTAAGTCAACATATGGGGCCCTAATAACGCTCCTTCACTTTAAAGTTTTTTTTTCCTTCCACCCAGTGAGGCTGGAAAAACAAAAACAATTTCTGTGGAAAAACCCTAAAAATAAAAAAACCTAAGCAACAGGGAGAATCTAATCAGTCTGCCTCGATCTTCCAAAAGATAAATAACATTTTGACGGCTGAACGGCTCTGAATCTTTAACCTGATCCGGAAAGGAACACGTTTCTCATTTCCATCTGTGCAGCAAATGAAGAACATTGAATTAGAAAGTATAACTTCCATCCAGCGCCACAATGTCCACTATTATACAGCAACATCTCTGGCAGCAGAAAGGGAAAAGAAAGCAAACTGTGCATCCAGGAGGAGAAGGTAACAATAAGCTTTACAACAGTAGCATACATCTTCCACAGTGCGATGCTGCGGTTGGACACTTGATTGAGGATTACCTCAAAGACGGTCAGATCAGTCAGATGCAGATGTCTGGTAAATCAGGTCGATGGATTCAGTCGTTGACAGCTTCTGGTAATAATTCTGAAGGACAGATGAAGAGGAGCTGAGGCTGAGCTGGTGAGTTAAACCCTGGCTGTGTTTCGATCGTACCTTCAGGCGGTCGTAGTGAGCGCGGCTGCTGCAGTGGGAGTCATCAGCTGTGGTCCCGTCCAGGTAGAAAACGGAGCAAAGGGAGCAGAATCGACCCAATAGAGGCTCCACAAACGCCTCACCTGATTGGACACGGAGACTTAAAAAACAGAACCTGTTCGTCTAAGATCACAGCTTTCAGTGAGCATGTCTCACCGAGGAGAGGTCTGCAGCTGGAAGGGAACAGCTTAAAGCTAAGGGAGACCGAGGAGGACTGGAGGGGAAACGTCTTCAGTCCATCCAGCCCTCTGCTTGGTTCACTGCTGACTGAGGGGAATCAGATCATCAGGGTGAACAACATGAAAGCATTTGACCTGAACACAGATATATTAAAACAAGGAAGTAGTCTGGATTATAAAGAATACAGTCCATGGAAACTAGCAAACGTTTGATCAAGTCTTTTTTTTTTCTGAGGGTTCATATTTTCATGTCTGTGCATCAACCACCTCAGTGGCAAACCAATGTTCAGTCACTCTGAGGGCTACAAAAGGCCCCCTGAGCCATATGTCAGCCAAACAGCAGGGAATTAGTCCCAGCATATTACAAATGTCTCCATCTTCAGACTGGAATCTGACGATTCATTCTAAGTTGGATCATCTACATGACGTGTTGATTACAGACTCTACGGCGACAGTAGTGTTTGGCGTCAGATGAAGGAGTTTGTCCTGCAACCAAAATTGTATATACCAGTATATAAAAAACTGTAACTAGAGCGTGTAACAAAAGTAATTTCCCTCTGGGATTATTAAAGTATTTTCTGATTCTGAACCAGAGGGTTTTCAGTTTAAACCTTTCAGTGTCGTTTCCATGGGTAAGACATTTTATCTGCATTGCCAGCTGATGGTGGTCAGAGGGTCCGGTGGCGCCTGTGTACGGCAGCCTCGCTTCTGTCAGTGAGCCCCAGTGTAGCTGTGGCTACAATGTAGCTCACCACCATCAGTGAGAGAGTGACTGTAGCGTAAAGAGCTTTGGTTGAAGTTTTTTTTTGACTTGACTCTTCATAGGACAAGTTACCGTTTTTTTTATCACTTTAAAAATGGAGATTTATATCCAGCCATTCAGCAAAGATACTGCTAAACAGCTTTACATGTTATTTTGGTATTTGATCAATTGGATGACCCCTTGAATGATATATTACCTATACTAAATTAAGCAAAAAAATTGTTAATTTAAGAAGCAAAAAAAGTAAAATTTAAATGAAAATGTTAAAAAAGTAAGAAAGCTTTAAAGCTCTAAGATAATGCTGAAACAAAAACCTTTTTTTCTTTCACTCAGTGTTTTTTATTCTTATAGAAACACTTGTAATTTTTTGTCAATATATTTGGGAAAGTGGCCCTTTCTTGTCATCACATTGACCTTAATCTTTGCCATCAAAATATCAATGTTATTTGAACGTTACAAAGGTAATAAGGTCCTGCCCTGTCCTCCAATAACACTCTTGGCTTGAAATTGTGATTTATAAATACAGGCCATTTACCGTATTACACACACAACTGTGAATCTAATCCCCAAAAAGTTTGGTCTCCCCTGTGTGCTACTTAGAACAAGCACATCCTGTCCCTGAGTGGTTAATTGAGGGTGATTAACAGCCTTTCTAACTTGTCTGAAATGTTGATCTGCCATCTTGCTGTACAGCAGCTTCACTCTGAGCAGCAAATACGCTCTGAAATCATCTTCATATCGCTGACAGTTTATTCTCTACTGAAGGCGCCTCTACATAGAGCTAACATGGAAATCACTCAGTTCAGTTGCCACATTCAATGTCTCTAATAATTAAAGTCGTAGGGAAGCGGCTGTTCCAACCGTTGCAGTTCTGAATTCTTCAAAGAGCCTGACTTTACACATGTGAATAAAATGAATGTGTTTGGTCGTTTATCAAGGGGGTGGGATTGTTGTGGCGGAAGGTTCGCAAGCATGTTTGGTTGTGGCCGGTTTGTTGGAAGCATCTTGCTAACCAGTTAGCAACTTAGTGCTAGTAGATTCCCAATGGGAAATTCCATTGGGACCAATTAGCACTTAGAAATGACACTGTCAAGGAACGCTATGGACAGAGGAAACATGCAAGAGGAGTAGAGTTTTGTGTCGGAGGTCGTGGATGAGTCTCCTCTGTCATAATTTCTATTTAGAGGAGGAAAGCGGGGACAAAGATGTTGTGGAAGAGGACGCCAGAAGCTTGGTTTGGTGTAGAAGGCTTCCAGCCGTACATGTTTGAGCCCTTGCCTCGCAACGCTGCCAGTTCTGTTAGCTCTACGCCTGCTGAAGACACAGACGTCCATCCCTGTGAACACTGGGACGGAACTCAATGGTGAAATAAATTATTCTTACTTCTCATTTCAACCATTGCCTATGTTAGCTGCGACATATTAATCAAGATGCTATGACCGAAAAAAATTTGATTGACAGATGACCATTGATATAGGATTGGCTGAATTTAGGTGTACAGGCTGACGTATAACTAACTGGCCTGCATAAAATAACGAAACAAAAACAGATTTTAAGACAGGATTTTTTTTTTTTTCTAAATAGAAATTTTCTAACTTTTGGGACAATATGGTCTGATACAGAATACATGTTTAAGTCAAAATGATTTGACGTTTAAATATGACTTCCCTACAACTTTGAGGCCTTTAGTGATTTATTTGTGAAGATCTGGTTTTACCAGATTTCCTTCACAGCAGTCGAGCAAATGGAGCCAAATTCATGGCACACCTCCGATGTATATGAAAATAATTGATCATCACGTTCAAACAGATACAGACCTGAGCGTCTCCCTCTTCCTGCTGCAGATCTTGGACTCTAACAGGAGAATGAGGCGGTTAGAAGTAAACCAGACTTTTAGCTCCGTATGACTTATGAGTTTAGATGTGAACCACACCTCTTTCTGTAGGGTTTTTTCTTGCTCTTCACATCCTTCGCTCTCATCCATGGAACGGAGCTCCATCAGGTTTCTCTTTATTCTAACATCTGTTGCGCTGTCACCTTTCTCTGCTGGATGGATTTCCTCCAGAGGAGTTTTCTCCTCCCTTTGCTGCTCCTCGTCTCCACCAGATGGTTTCTTTTCTTGGTTCCAAACATCTCCCTCAGTCGTTCTTCCTCTGGTAGATCCATGTTCATCCGCCTCCATCTCTTCATCCGTCTCTGTGTTACTTTCAATCCCTTCCCTTCCAGATGTGTAGCTTCTGGTTGGTCCATCGTCTCCTGTTGGTTTTTCTTCATTAGTTTCAGACTCTCTGTCAGTAGGAGTCTGATCCTCCCTTGAATCCATCACTTTGTAAACTCCTCTAAAAGGTTCCTCCTCAGCCTCAGTCAGCAGGTTAGAGGAAGTCTCTAGTTTCTGCACCTCAGTCTCTGTCACTGGTTGATCACCAGCTAGATTCCCAATCCCCTCAGATACCAGAGGACCTCCATGATGGTCGATCGGGTCGTTCTCAGCCATAGGTGTCAGGGATCCTTCATCTTCTTGCACTGGCTCAGTTCTATAGATTTGTTCCTCTACAGACTGACCTCCCTCAAATCTTACCGCTGCAGCTCCAACATTAGTCTTCAGGCTCTGGTTGCATAATTCCTGCTTTCTCTTCTTCACAGAGCAGCGCTTCTGTGATTCTGTTTTTTGTTTGGTTCCTGAGCTGCATACAGTGATGGACTCTGGTTTACCATCTTCTCTGTCCAACAGAAGAGTCTTGGCAGCGGCGGCTGAAGAACATCTTCGTTTAGCAGGGAATGAACCTTGTGAGGTTCTACTTCCTCCCTGCTGGGGCCAGAAAGTCATCCATCCAGCTGCAGGTTTTACAGAGAAGGGAGCAGCAGCCATGTTTGTGTTCACCTCAAGGCTTATTTCAGTGTCAGTGGAGTCCTGCAGACGCTGGTTTAGACTCCTCAGACTTAAAGAGCAGAAACAGGTTTAAATGTTTTTTCCTCTGCAGAGGATGTCCAATACTAAAATAAACAGTGATTTATTTATTTGTTTTATTTTGGTTTCTCCCTCCTAAAGCCGTTTCCCTAATTAAACAGCAGATTTTAAGCTAGTGTTAGATTTTCTAGACCAGGAGTCCACATCCTTTTTAAGGCAGAGGACTACTTTATAGGTTAGTAGGTGGAGGGTGGAAGGGATGGAGGAAGAAAGAAAGGAAGGAAGAGAAAGGAGGAAGAGAGTGAGGAAGGGAGGAAGAAAGAAAGACAGAAATAAAAAAAGAGTGAGAGGGACAGAGGGAGGAAGAGAGGGAGGGAGGGTCAGCATTTACCTTAATTTCATACATAAAACATTTTAATTTCTTTTAACTTTTTTGTGACATTTCCATTTTGAAATCTCTATAAATGCTTAAATACCCTGTATGAGTAAAACTATAAAATGTCATTTTTTAAAATAAAAATCAAATAAAAATGTCAATCTTAGCCCACTGGTGAGTTGAGCTGTTTTAAGCTGCTGTGGGAAGTGATGCACTAAATGTTTAGAGGAAATCAGCCGTTTTTCCAACTACAAATATTTTTAATTGATCTGAACTACAGAAAAAAATAACATTTCAAAGGATGTGAAAAAGAACACCCAAGCATCTCCTATTATTGGCCAGAACGCGAGTCACCCTGCAGAGCAGAGTAGGAATTATCTATTGACTGACTGGCTTTAATATAAGATACTTACGGTTCAATACGTTTCACTTGGCTCCTGTTTGGGAAGAAATAAACAAAAGTCATCAACACCAAGACCCATCTGGGTTCGTATCAAGTTCACTTAAATCCTCTCATACCAGATCTGATGCGTTGATGAAGCGCCCAGTGAAACTTTATGAACAGCTTCTGTTACGCCACTAGGTTCAGCCATCTCCACCACGATCTGACAGGAAACAGGTGGAGGAAATAAAATCAAGAATGAAACTAAAACAGAAAACTATCAACTTTACACTTTGCTCACGGCATACGAGTCAGATATCCAGCATCATTTATTTATTTTTTTCCTCTATTATAATTCATGCAGGGAGTATTACAGATTATATGGACACTGTAATGTAAGTAGAACAGGAAAGGAACAACAGGAAAAAGGAGAAAAGATGATAAAAAGAGGACATAAAAGGGAGACGATAAAACACCTTCAGTCTGCTTAATCACCTGCAAAGAGATCTAAAAAAAAAAAAAAAAAAGAACAGCACAACCAACGGATTCAGTATAAGATACACTAAAGTAGCACCTAGTAGTATTATTTAATCTGACATGTATACTGTGGTAGCTGGAAGTAAATCTCTAAGCACCTGGAACCAACCACCTGTAGTTGTTTGTGAGAGTGCTCTTGTGCATGTAAAGTTTATCCAAAGGATAAATGCTCAGTAGTGGTTGTGAAGAGCCAAAGACCCGCCCCCCACCAAGGGAGGAGGTGAGCAATGTCACACTAACCCATCTAGTCCAACATCATCATCAAACTACATGTCAAAAATGAGACAAGTTGTGATGCGGGTGTTTCGCAGTTACCCGGTTAGCGAGCGGCAGGAAGTTCACAAAAGCAGCAACAGAAGCTACTTCCTTCATGACCAGCATGGCGAGGTGTGGGGACGGTTGGGAGGTCTCCACGCACAGCAGCCGCTCCTCCAGAGACGCCGCATCTGAGACGTGCTGAAGGAACAAACACCTGAAGGTCACCTTTAGCTGCCGCTTCCACTCAGCACTCTGAGAGAGGAAGGACTCACAGCATTGCTCCACTTCATCAGAGCTCTGTACATCGTCTCCTGCAAGCAGAGCAGAGAGTTGTTAGAAATCCTTCCAATGGTTGCTGTTCCCTGTTTTTAATGGAAAATGATCAGGGAGCCACCTGTAAGTGGACCATAGCTCTTCTGCTCATTTTATATTATTTACTCTTGCCATTTGATCCTTCAGCTTCAAAGTGTTACTTTTGCTCTTTAGCTGTGTAATAAATGCTTTTACACAACACATACATATTCTTAAATTTTAGTCAAAATTATTTCTCTGCAGATATAAACAAAAAAGCAAAAGAAGCGCCTTTGCAAACTTGTGACAATTATTTAGGCAAGTTTTTACAACTCCTCTAATATAACCTTTAAAGAAATATTTGCTTTAAAAAATAAATAAATAAAACCCAGACACTGACATAGACTTAAGTATATATAAATATTTAAAATATCCCATCAATGTTGAATAAAATCATAATGTGAGATATTGGGGCTGGGAGATTAATGGATCTTGATCTAATTACATTTTCCATTTATGATCATTTAATTTTTGGAAAGATATTCTCAGTGTTTGCAGAAATGTTCTCCTCTCTGGAGGATATGAGGGTGTGTTAGGACCATGGTGGATAAAATGAACCAAAGTTTAAAGCTCAAATGGAAAGGAGTGCGTCTAGAGCAGTTTTATCATGTGTGATGGTAGATGATCCTTTATTCCGTAAAAGTTCAAAAAATATCCACTGGACTTGGATTCCTAAGATTTGAAGACGTTTCGCCACCTCTCCAGGAAGCTTTCTCAATTCAAATGATTCTTTATTTTCTCTATGTGGCTGGTCTAAATCGTGCTAAAAAAGTAATAGAAATCAAAATAATTTCACAGTATGCTGGACGCCTCTAGAGATCACCAGCTGTGGCGTCAGTGTAGTCAAACGTCGTCTCACAGCATCAGTTGGATTAAATATACCACAGTTGCAGCGGCTTGTTTTCTCTGTTTTATAGCTTTAATAAAGTGCCTGATGGCTATAAAGCTTATTTAAAGCATTCTTTATTTTATTTCATCAAAAAAACAAACCCTAGCTAATTGAACAGTGTTGTATAGCCGTAGCTCCAGATGGATTTCCATATCATTACGGTCCAGGCTCCAGAACAACAAGAGCCGCGACGGATAACAGTCAGCTACTGCAGGTGGAGACTCACAGCTGGAACCCCACTGGCCCGGAGCCATGAGCAGAACTGGGTAAAAACCACATCCGAAGGGCAACGTTTCCCACCCGGACAGCAGAAAGTGTTTGGACCGCTCAAACCCAGCCACCACAGAACCAAGCCGAATCCCAAAATAAAGGTCAGACTCTGGTTTAAACTAATTAAAGCTGGTTCTGTGCTTCAATGTTCTCAAAGATAATGAACTTCCAGCGGTTCTGCATTTAGCAGCAATGATTAAACCAGCAAGCATAAATAAAACCACTAAGACTCTGATTGCTTCGTATTCATCAAAGGATAAAATTTCATCACAAAGGTGAATAAATTATTGACTCGCCATTTAAAATGACTACTTCCTGACATCAGGGCATCCCTCAGTGGGTCATTCTGAGGGATGCCCTCATTTTTTCTAGCCTGGGTGCCATTCCGAACTTAGTCCCGCCCACAAAGTTTGAGGTCGGGAAGTTCGGTCTGGCTCTGCTCCATAGTAGCGCGAGTATTATCGCCCACCCTCTGGCGATCCAATCAAATTGTCAGGGCGGGCTTTATATGATGAGGGACAGATGACCAACAGTAACGTAATCAACCACGTGACCATTGCGCGCATGGGTGACAACAATACTGGCTGCCGCTGGAGAGTTTAGGTGAGTAGATTCTGCTATTAGGTCTGTTCTAGAAGATATCGACAGCAAATTAATTTTAAAAGAGGAACATAGAAACGCGATCAAGTCTCATCTTCTTATTATAGGCGTGCAACTGCACGCTTTGATTTTTGTTGACAACAACTATGCGTTGCTTAACATACGTCACGCACTCCGTTGCTCTTATTGGTTGTAGGTCTATCCAATTGAGTGCCGAGGCATTTTTTTTCCTGGTTCGTTCAAAACACGCCCCATAATCACAGCTCTATGGAGCAGTATCAGACTCATATTCTGACTAGAATTGAGTCGGACTACGTCAGGCTACATTTTTTCACTTGTGATGTATTTAACGTTGTACATACTATCAAATTCGAAACTATAACTATGTGTCTTCTATTTGAACTTTAATATTAAGTTTAATATTAGGAGGTTTTATCCCCCGCCGCTCATTGTTGCAGTCTTCCCCCCTAATGATAAACTGTTTCGTACCTCAGTGAATCCGGGCTGCATGTCCTCTAAGACGAGGTGAACGCTGAGCTTGCAGCCTTTGACTGAAACTGGCTTTCTGATATGATGTTTGACAAAACCCCTGCAGGCGCTCCAGCTGCTAAAAAACACAAACGCCTGAAGTAGAAAGAAAAGAGAAAAAAGTGAGGACAGAATTGATTGTCTAACAACAAAATAGCCAGGATGTGGGGTCTCTACCCTCCTCTGCAGCGGTAAGACTGTCACATTGTAGAACCAAGTGTGCAGGTTTGGTTTGGGGAAGAAATGCCAAACCAGCTTGGCCACATCCTGATGGGTGTAGTTTTTCTGAGGTAAACCGGTCAGCATGACGGTGCTGAACCTCGAGGCCTGGATAGCCACCTTCTGCACAACAACAAGGTACAGAAGCAAAATATTCACCCTAAAAACTCTAAACTGTGCCACATTCATTTACTCCTAGATTCTTATAAGTTTGTCAACATTTGAGTGAAGAGAGCAAAACAGAAATGACCTCTACAGACTCCATTGTTTCGACTGTCAGATAATCTAAGAAAGGAAGAGAGAAAACTGTTAATCTGAGTAACAATAAGGCTCCAAACTGCTTTGAGGGGATTTTTCCTACCTGGAATATTGAACCAGGGAGCGAAGGTGGGAAACACACAGGGGTTGGTGCTCATGGTGATCCAGAACGGAGGAGCGCTTCCCTGAGGAACGCCACACTTCGCAGTCGGGATGGCGGCGCCATCAACAGCTGCATGGCCGTCTGGCAGAGCTCTCTCTGCAGCCGCTGGTGCTGCACACAAATTGACAAAAAGTGTTTTTAATGGTAATGAACACTTAGTTTCACTAACAATCTAGTGATTTAATTTTTGTTTTAACGGAAACTAATAAGTAAATAAACAGTTTTTAATCCTGTAATGAGGTTAAAGCTCTACAATGAATGCTGGTCTGTCAATGAATGCAACAGTCATCAAAGCGGTTATCAAAGGGGAGCCAATTTAAAGATAAAAATCTGTTGTTTTAAAAAAAAAAAAAAAAAATGGATTTATCATAGCTGAATACGAAAATGGTGTAATGGATAGTGAGCCATTTAAAATAAATTGCCTAAATGATTTATTTTTGTAGACTATTTAAAGTAAATTATTGAAAGTGAATTTTCCAAATTGAGAATGTTGATTTTTTTTTCATGGATATTCGTTTTGATTGGCATTGTTTGTTTTTATTTTTATTTTGTTTTAATGCATTTGCACTCTGTAATGTTAAAAGTTTTTGTTTTGTCCCTCACAGGCTGCCGTAGCTAATGAGGCCCTGTAACAGTTGGTAGAAAAATTGTCCCAATGAATGACTTGAACATTTAAGATTTTTTTGTCACCAAGAAAACGACACGTAGTGTCCCCAGTAAATGCAGCGAGGTACCTTTGGTTTTATTGTTTGTATTATAATATTTGTAAAGGTTTTAGTTTCCACGGTGACTAAGGTAACTGTGGTGGCTATGATAAGGATCTTCATTAAATAAAATGCTAAATTCACCTTTCGAGACTGGCTGAATAATTCAAGTGATGGGGAGCTTCTACAGGTTGTTTTCTTGTAAAGTGCTTCAAAGCTACATAAACGTACATGAATCGCTGCTCAGACACAGGTCTACTACTGGCAGTCAGCTGGACTCTGGATCCTTTGGTAACCTGCTGCAGCATTAGTTTTGCTGAGACCTGATAATGACCGACCAATATACGTAAGCTGGGCAAAAAAACCCTCCAACACATGCAGGAAACCCAACCTCTGAGGACCTTTATTTCCTATAGGCCCTGGCGATTTAGACCTTGACGATTTAGACCAACATATGCCTGACGTACAAAACGCAGCGCATGTTGGATAAGTTATGTAGCCTGATAAACCAGACTAAATGTGAGATTAAATGTGTAATTTTTTTCTGGCCCTGATGAATGAAACATTGGAAGATTGTTGATGAGAATAACCTGTTGTCTTTCAAACAACAATGAGGACAGCCAACTGTGACGTAGTAAGTGCGACAGAAAGCTGGTGGGGGAGTGTAAATAAAAAGCTTGTCGGTAAAACGGCGAATACGTCGTCCTTAAAAATGAATGGGCGTAGAGCCTCTTCCTGCTTACGTTTCAACGAAAACCCCAATTCTAATCCTTCCAAAACTGATTCCAAAGCTGAGTCAAATGAGAACTATTCAATAGTTGCTGCCATTTTCCTTGTTTTGCTTTTGTCGTCACGCCCTCAAAACCCCGCCCACTTAGCATAGAGAAATTCAAAACACTGCGTTATGATTGGCCCGCTAGTTCTAGGGCCTGGGGCATTGATCGAGGCTAGACCTCTCGCTGGCAGAAATGACTTCGGCCGTTGGCGGGTGGGGCTAGTTTACTACGCTATAAGTTATGGGTAATTTTTGTATCAGTTATGAGCACGTTGAAACACGTCAACATTTGAGCAAAATTTCCTAACGTATGCCAGTGTATGCCATACATGTGTTAAGTTAAAGCTAAGTCATCTGATCGTCGACATATGTTAAGTGTAAGTTACTCACAAGTTGTGGCGTCTAGCTTGTCTAAAACTTATGAGTAACTTGTGCATATCCAACTCATATCAGCGTATGTGATGTGTTCCAGTCGACCGCTGAACGTGTTTCTAACTTACAGCTACTGTATAATGGCGTATTGGCAGCGTTTTGGTATAAAAGGGGAAACTATCAGTTTTCCTTCAGGCTGCATTCGCTTCATAGGGTGAGCGAGAAGGTGAGGGTGATGGATCCTCCTTGCATCCACACCCATGACCAACAAACTTCCTGATGCTGAATCTGCTGCGACTGCAAACCTTTTTTATTTATTCCTATGTTTTGGGCAGGTGGTAAACAGCAGCTAGGTTAATACTGCAATAAAAGACATCTTTTTATGCAGACAGGGTGCCACCAGGCGCATTGCTGCGCCCTTAAGACACTGGCTTGTGATATTTAATGGGCATTAAGGGCAGATTATTCTTCTGCAACCGCACACCTCAAATGTCGCTTGCGTCTGGCCGTGAACCGGTTTTGCTAGTATGGTTCTGCAACGTCGGTCTGGAATTTCTAGGGATGCACAGCAGTTTCCCGCCAAAGCACAAGGGGGAGCCTATTCAAGAACTCGCGGATGGTCACAAGAACTACTTGGGCAGTGCCGGCGGGAGTGTTTATCTTCCAAAACAACAATGGCGCGTCTGCAGGATATCACAGTCACGGAGATGGATATAGAATTGCGAGACATTGAAGAGAAACAGGTTCTGTTAATGGAGTTGGCAAAAAGACAAAGGAGGACCCGTAGGTGGTGTGTACGCCCCTTGAATCACACCAGGGATGGGACTGGGGAGTTTCGACCCGGCACCGAATCGAGAAGGACGACCACACAGCCAGCCGGAAAGGCATACCAAGGACCAAACACCGCTGCATTTAGGTCTGCGCACTTCCGCTTGAGTGCTGTGCGGGTTTGCGACCGTCCGACGCGCAGTCAGGATTTTTTAGAGGTGCGCGACGACGCTTGGGGACAGCATGGTCGCGCAGAGAGACAGATGGTTGCAGAGGCTATGCGTCAGAAATATAAATTGGCCTTTACGCCATCCGTTATGCATAAATTAGGCTGTCGTTGGACATAAGTTCTGGATTCGTGCAAAATGACCAAAATTGAAAAAATACATGGAAAGTTCAGCATATTCCAGCGTTTTAGGAGATTCTGGGACATCAGGCATACGCTGGATAAACCAGCAAGGTGTAACAGGGCCTTAAAACAGAGACTCACGTGGAGAAACACTGCTGCTTTCAGGTATTATCATCCTGAAGACGTAATAAGGAGGAGAGTCCCTCAGGAAGCTGTACCAAACGCCCAACAGATCAGCCTCATGCCTGGATTCAAATTCAACAAACACCTGAAACACAGGAAACATTCAGCAAACCTCCCTTCACTCCGACAGACAGATGGCTGAAGGTTAAAACCTTTTCGAGGAGCGGCAGGTATCGTTTCACTGAGCCGATCTTTATCAGAGCTTCCTTCAGAGCTCTGATCTCGCTCTGGCAGATGTTGTGGATAAAGATTACCCTTCCTCTGTCAGTCTTCTGGCCCTGTGGAGGAACAACTCATTTTATCCGCTTTCCATCTCCATTTGTTCACTAAACAAAAATGTAAAGATATTTAGACAATAACAGAATTCTGCATTGATTGCTTTAGAATCACAGAGCTCTGAAATAAAACAGTTATCAACATCATTAAAGTTAAAAACGTGTTAAAGATGTGAAGAAGAAATATGGCCATACTTACTGATCGGGTCTTTTTGATCAGAAACGTATAAAACCCAAACTGAAATAAGGCAGAGGAAACTGTGTTACTTCAACTTCTGCTCTCAATTATACAGTTTTAAGGAAAAACAAAAAAAGATTCAAATGTATTTGAAAAAGGTTCTAAAAATAAAAAGATGAGAAAAAGAAAAAAAATGGGGAAGAAGCTCAGACACTGAAAAAACATTAAGGTTTGTTTCTTTTCAATTGGACCACAATTTAACCAATTCATGTTTTCATTTACATAATGGTTAGAAATAGTTTAGCTCTGTATAGATCTGCAATTTTTGATTAATCAGATTTTCCAAACTAAATTCAATAAAATTCAAAATAAATTCTGTCATCTGTCATATTTCCATCTCATTTGGTACAAAGTAATAATATAATGTGTGAATCTTACTGGCTTCATTGAAACCATGTCATGCACAACTCTGACTGAGATACTGGATCCTTTGAAAACGATCTGGTTCTGGTCCAAATAGGCGATGATCTTTCTAACATTTGTTACATCTGGCATCAGGACAAACGCCTAAAAACAAAAAAAACAAAAACATGTTTATAACTGTAGCATCACTCCTAAATTATCTGAACACTAAAGGGCATCACTGTCCATATATCATATGTATCATATTTATTATTTGTCATTGAACCAAATGATTCTTAAATAAACAAGCAAAAAAGTAAATTGTTCCAACCCTTAAATTAAGATACTTTGATTTGTAATAACTTCACTCTTTTTATCTTCTTTTCCCAGGAATAAATGTATTTTAACATTAACAATAATGACTTGCTGACATGTTCTAATTATAGCTCAGGCTCATAGTCATGTTAGAAAATAGTTGTTAAAACTACAATTTAATCAAAACAGCAAATACATCTTAAAGTGACAGAGCTTGATAGTCCAAGTAAAGCTTTGTAATAATATAAAAATGTCTGATTAATCAATTAAAAATGGGATTTCTTGGTTTGCATCTTTTATTACGAAAAAAAAAAACCTTATTTTTCTTCTCCATGTCAACTTAAACAACTCCATCTGTTATGGGACATTATGAGTAAACATGTACAAGCATTAGTGTTTCTCAACATGTAATTTATTAAGGTAAAAAAAGCATTTTCCAGAACTGTTTCTATAGAAGAAAAATGTCTTAGTGCAGATAAGAATTGATGCGCATCAAGTTCAAACCACAGGAAACAACTTCTTCGTCTGGTGGAAAATATTAATACCGTCTAATTTTGTTATTTCCTGTTAAATTGTTTTATTCCAGGCACTAATTTTTAAATCAAATCTGTTAACAGGAAGTGAGCGTGGTATTAGAGGACCTCTCTGGATCAGCTGTTCTACAGTCATGGAGAAGGCATGGGCTTTTCTCTTCATTTATAATACAGGGTTTATTCAGGAATGAGTAACTCAAATTTAATGCTTTTTAATTAACTTTAAATGCTCTTAGAATTTTAATGCCATCAACTTTACCGTCGACAGGCTGCAGCCATGTCCGGAATTGCTCGTTTTCCAGCCACTTTTATTGAAATTTTCATTCTCCCCATTCTCTAGCTTTTTCTCCGTCTCAAGCTTCTTTTCCGAACATACGGCTTTATGATCAACCCGAAGAAGTTCCACGCAAACATGCGGAACCATTTATATCTCATATCTGACGAAAATAAAGCATTTTAAATGCCACGATTGTCACATTTAATGAATTTTAATGCCAATTAATGACTTTGAATGATTTTTAATGACCCGTGGAAACCCTGTAATACATCCAATTCAATGGGAATCTATTGAATGGATTGGAGACAACAGAATGACGACAGCACATTTTTCTCTCCAGGCATATAATACAACAGATGAAGCTAGGATTTTAAGGCAAGAGTGTCTGAAGGAGACAGATTAGATGTAATGTAGACCACTCTGGTGTCACGTTGTTGGGAGCAACCTGCTGAAGCAGGGCTGTGAACATCAGGGGGAAATAGGCTACATTCACCTCTGAGCCATCACTAGCTACGTTTACATGCGCAAAATTTCCCCGATCCGATCCAAACCTTGGTTGATCGGAAATTCAAAATCTCCGTTTACATGGACACTAAATTAAATGATCCGATCATCACGTGTGTATACATGTACCAAGCGTTGGATCAGATTAAATCTTTTAAGCATGCGCAGAACTTCCTGCCAAACTTGGCAGTTCTGTCTGCGTCTGGTTTTTGGGAGGCCTGACAAACGATGCGCTCGGAGCGAGCGGAAAGAAAAAAGGAGAGAGGAGGAAAAAAGCGCTTGGCAGCGAAATGTCCGAGAGAAAATGTAGAGAATGAGCGATTGAACCGGCGTGGGAGAGCGAGTGGGCTGTGGAGAGAGAAAAGAGGAAGAGGAGGATAAATTCCTGCTTCCTGCAGCTTTAAATGAACTTGAGTGTATAAGTCGGCGTTCCTAGACTCCTCCCGCCATGTTGTTCACAGCGAGAGCGACCGGTGGTTTCCTGTTGTTGACAAGGCGGAAAAACGTCACGCTGACGTCGCACACATGCGCAGTGAAGATTATTTTACTCTTAAGATCCGAATGGGTGTTTACATGGACGCCAATCGGAATGGCGATCAGCAAAAACCACCTCTCTCTTTCGGAATTAAATTTATTTCCGATCGGACCGAATCGGATTAGAATCTTCAGTCTGACATGTTTACATGAAACAGGGTTAGGGTTAGGTTTTGATCTGATCAGGCATTCAATCTGATTATTTGTGTCCATGTAAACGTAGATAGTGTTTAACTTATAACACAAATAAAACTGAGGGGATCCCAGGCAGACTGTGCTCACAACAAGGAGCTTTTAGGTTCCTCTATGGAGATATGGTTTGGTGGGTCTACATAAAATAATCCCACAAAGTCTTCCCTTCTTGCGGGCTCCTTCAACTGGAGGCTACTTCAATTCACTTCAGTTTATTTCTATAGCGCCAATTTTACAACATGTCATATTGTTGGATTAATTAATTGTACATAAGTTATTCTACTTCAATCATATTACTTTAATCATATTATACTTACACATTTTGTTATCTCTATCTTACTCATATTACAAAGAGTGTTAAAACATTTAGTTTTGTTTACTGTGTCATTTAATGTTTTGTAAGTATGTCCAGGAGGGGTGCTGACTGCTGAGGTAACAGATGCCGTTAAGGGTGTGGAGGAGCATGGAGAACTGTGCAACTAGATAAGGAGAGGGGTTCTCCTTATCCTATGATGTTGTATGACGTTGTACGAAAATTCTGGTTTCAACTGGGATCTGTTCCCTCCCCCTTTAGCGGTTGAAACTAAATTGTAATCAGGGCGTTCTTTCAATAAAGAGCTTGGAGAGCAGATACTGCTTCAGAGTGGGTTGGAGGTTGTAACTGAATGCAGTTTCTGATCCCCTCTCCTTGCAAGTAAACTATACTCAGTTCTCTGTGTCATTCTTTGTGCAGGTTGCTGAATAAGGTGTTTGGTGTTTAAACCCAACATATCAAGGCACTTTACAGTTCAACCAGATCATCCAGTCAAATTGATTCAAAGTTTTCTATCTAATGAAAACCAATTGATTGCATCGACTCATCGACTAATCATGCTTGTAGCGACAGTGGAGAGGAAAACTCCCTTTTAACAGGAAGAAACCTCCAGCAGAACCAGGCTCAGTGTGAGCGGCCATCTGCCGAGGCCGACTGGGTTTCAAGGAGACAGAAGCAGGGACACAAAAAGCAGTTGTAAAAGGCGGCCCGATCCAGGAAACACACAGCCAGGCAGACGAGCTCCGAGCCAGCTCCCATGCCAGACGATGAAGAGAGCACATCCAGCCAGTCAGAGAAACAGGACTACACTGGAAAAACAGGCCCATATTCAACATCTATAAACAAAGGTGTTGATGGAAGCAGCACAGCTTTAGTTTGATTTCTTTATGCCTTAATATCAAAACCTTCCAACTCCACAGCAACTTTCCCCTTAGCTCTAGGCTGTGATGCAGTTTATCCATGCTTTTATACACATTTCCTGCTTATTTTGGTTTGCTCTAATTATTATAACCTGCAAGCCTGAACAATATTTAAGGGTAAAATGATCAAAGCTATCATCCTCGTCACTCAAAGGTTTCTCAGATGTGACTGGCAATGATTTCTCATATTGAATGTTGCTAATTAATAAAAATATGCAGGAATTGATGTTTAATCGAGTGGTTCTAATGATCTATGTGTGTTTAGGCACCAAAAGCGTTTGGTGAACTATGAGGCTGTTCAGCTGAAAGCATCAAGTTGTGGTTTATGTTCTGGTACTCACCATGCACTTTTGAGGAATAACATAGATGTTGTTCCCCTTGTAGAGGAATCCAAAAGGGCAGAACAGGTCGGCAACATCACTTTCTCTGTAGCAGCCATCGTAATACTTTGGCAGCTTGGTTATCATGAGCAGCTTCGCATCAAGTGTAAATAGCTTGACACATTAGGAGAGAGAGATGATCACACAAGTCTCACATGTCTTAAAAAGATACCATGTCAACAGTTTGGGATTTTTTTTATGTGGAGCCAGTAGGGTGGTAGAAAGAACAGCTCAAAGAGGAAACGCAAACATGAGGGAATTTTTACTGTCTGATGCAACAAACTGGAGCTTATTGTTCATTGATCTTGTTTCTCATGCAAACAAAAGAAAATATTTTTGTTTGGTTGGTAGTCTAACACCGTTCTTTAAGAAAAATTAACAGTTCAGTCAAAGAAAACTCACCTTTGGTGACAAGACTGTTTTCCTGCTTAAACACCCTGAGAACAGAGTAGAAAGTAAAAGTCTGCATAGGTCAGTAAAACTGAGGTAACTGCAGGTTTGAACAGATTTCGTACCAATCAGGTGTTCGACCTGAAGTTCCTCAAACGTCTCTTCGACCATCGGGATGCAGGCAGCAGCTGGAGACTGCTCTCTAGTTTTCACTGCAGATAACAAAATATTTTATTTAAACGCATAACTTATCACCCATCACTGGAAAAAAAAAATTATAACTAGAGCCTAAACTTGATTACATTTACTGACCGTTAATCACATGATTAATCATATCCAACAGTTTTTAGTTTTTAATCAAGACGTTTTTGGTTTTTTTTTTAATGGAGATGTGACAAGCCTCTCTTAAAAGAAGTAAAAACAATGTCCATCTTGCGAAATTAATCTTTGGTCAGTTTATGTAAAAATTGTACATTGAAAAGTTTTTATTCATTAATATGCGTGGAAAAAATCTTTGATTTATAATCATACATCTTATAATTGCTAAACAGCTTTTAAAATGTTTGAACAAACATTTTCCTGATTTCTTCGCGGTTGAAAGGTTTCCATAGCATCACTAATTTTTAGGGCTGAACAACTGCATCTGCAATTTATAAAAACTTTCTTTCAAAATCACAGATACGCAACATTTTTGGTCACTTTACATTTAAGGACAGTAGGAAGCTTTATTTCTCACAGCAGCCCTTAAGGTGGGAAAGAGAATTATACCGTAAGCTATGAGTGCACCTAAGTTGAAAGCCCTTTTCCACATGGCAGGCAAATTCTGTTTAATCCGTTTTAAGAAACGTTACCATTACCACTTAATCAAGCGCCAGTAAAACCAGGTTTCATTTTATACAACTTGATTTTTTAACAGTTTTAAAAAAATCTAATTGTGGGACGCTTCGGTGGCGCAGTGGTTAGCGCACACAACCCATGTACGCAATCTTTAGTCCTCGACGTGGGCAACCCGGGTTTGGGTCGGACCTGTGGTCCCATGTTGGACCTCATCCAGGGTTTTTCTTTATTCTAACATCTGCTGCGCTGTAATCTTTCTCTGCTGGATGGATTTCCTCCAGAGTTTTCTCCTCGCTTTGCTTCTCAGGTTCTGCCCCCTTTCCTGACAGCCTACTGTCCAAGAAACAAGCCACTAGTGCCATAAAAACTCAAAATAAAATTGTGTAAATCTAAAACGGAGTATTAGGGCCAAGCTAGAGATTCTCTTACAAGAAGTACGGTCTTCCATAAAATGAGGAATGTCCAGCATCATGTGAAGTTATGCTTTGGCGTCAGTTTGGCAAATAAGGAATCAAATTGGGCAGCATGTCAAAGTGGACTCAGGTTGTTTGGTGGTGCTGGTCGGCCGGCACATGCTGGTTGGAGCTAAAAGCTTTATTTCTGAAATGTGTTGAGGTATGACTTCTTCGTTTGTTATTTTTTTAACTTTATTCTCGTAATATTACAACTTTATTCTCAAAAAAATTAAATAAAAATATCTAGCCTGGCCCTGTCGTAAATCAAATTAACATAAAAAAAAAAAAAAAAAAAGTTACTGCAATTACACCAGTAGAGGTTTAAACCTCCCCTGGTTTCATGATGGGTCCTTAGCTGGAAACCCGAGGCCATTCAGCGGCTTTCGTTCTGAAGGGGAACTTACTACTACTGTAAATCAATACTGAATAATGCTAATCAGGGTTGTGTTTGACCATCAATTTAAGAGGTGTTAATCAAAGGTGCAATTCAAAAAATAAAAAAAATTCCAGAAAATATTCTACCTATAAAAACACATAAAAAGCAAGAAACTCCAACATATTCTACCTTCCAGCAAGTAGAAAATCCTATCAAGCATTCTTTGTTTTTGCAGCTAAATGTACCTTTTTTCTTTGCTTTTGTCTTTATGTCTCTCAATTTCTGTGATTTCTTTAAAAGAGATGAACTTCCTGGTTTTTGTTGTTTTTCCAAAGCATCTGGTTTCTGGTTCTGGGATGATGAACTGACTGGGGCTGTTGGCGTTTCCAGATTTATTGTCTGAAGATCAGTGGGATCAGTTGGTAAATTCTCCTGTAGATCAACTTCATTTGTGGTTTTAACCTCTACAGGATCTGCTGCTCTTGTTTCCAGATATTTCTGACTTTCAGCATCTTTTAACTGTTTGGAACAGAGATTCATTTCCTCTAGTTCAGCTTGCTGCTTTCTTTCATGGGTTGTTTTTAAGGTTTCTGCCACCGGTGAGGATTCTTGAAGCTGAATTTCCAAATTTTCTGCTTTGAGATTCATAAAAGCAACCTGATTACGCTCTGAAACCTTAAGCAGCGATTCTCTGGTCACTTCTTCCTCTTCCTGCAGACTTCCCAGCTGGGATTTAGGTTTCAGTCTAGTGTCTTCCATGCTCTTCTCTTCGAGTGTCTTTGGAGACTCGTCAGCATCTCTTTGGGTTTTATCAGGATGCATTTGTTGTTCAGAGTCGCCAACATCTCCCCTGTTTGCCGCAAACATCAACGTTGCAGATTCTGGAAGCTTTGAAGATGTCGTTGCAAAGGATGAAGGTTCAGAAGACTGTTGTTTGAAGACACTTTGATCCAGAGATACTCTGAGAAGAGGGGTAAAGAGGAGAAGTTAGTAAAATACAGAGAATGAAAAGAAACATAGCAGCATGTGTCATTCTTCCCAAGCCTGTAAAGCCTCTCTGGGTACTCCAATTTCCTCTCATAGTGCAAACACATGACCGTTAGGTTAAAGGTGCAGTAGGAGATCTTTTCTGACGCATTTTTTACCATGTGGCTTAAAGATCTCCCCACAGCCGCTTAGCAAGCAGTGAAAAAGAAGGTCTGGAAGTGAAACTAAAATAAATGGTCCCCGCTTCAGTGAGAAATCAATGAATAACCCCAAACCAATCACAAAAGACGGTTCGCTGTACACAATTGGTTCCATGACACGTCAATCATGGTCGTCCGCTTGTCCCTCCCCCCTGTGCACGTACACATGAACGAATCAACCCCCCAATGCACGTGCAGGACGCCATGGCTGGAAGCTAGCCACTGTTATGCTACGTTCACATCTATGGTGACCAGATTTGGGTTTCTGAAAAGGAGGACACTTTTTTGGGGCAGTGGGGCTGCTGACTGGACTGGACAGGGAACCCCGGCGCCCGGGGACAGAGCAACCAAACCCGACCCAGTGACGGTATGCGTCCCTCTGCCTGCCTGGTCACCCTATTCACAACTAAAGCAGCAAGAGCAGCAAAAACGCGCATGCCACTTAATTTTTTATGCTTGTACAAGTTGAGTTCTGATATGCGGTGAAGCATCTCTGCTGCTCTGGCTGTGCGGTGGAAAAGTGGTTCTGATGCACCTTGGGTGGAGCTACCCTATCCTTTCTTTTCCTGTAACAATGGCAGCTATATTTGCTTTGATCAGGGGGTAAAGAGTAAATTGAATCTATTTCGAATTAAGAAAATCCGCCTGAAAACATTGTCAGTTCATCCAGATTACCATCCTGCCTTCAAATATCATTTCTCTGTGGGAGCCGCTCAGACCCCCGTACACCGGCGGTGCTATCACTAGGAATCCCATTCAACAGCAGCCTATGACCTGGTGGACTCTTCGCAGTTTGCCACCGAGGCTGGAAGGCGTTCTTCATCTATGTAATCCAAACTGCAGGCACCAGGATAATAAAAGTGAACATGTTTTGCCAGCAGATTTCAACATTTTAAATAAATTTAGGCGTTAATAAACTGTTCAAGAGGAGTGATCATAGCGCTCTGCATCATCAGCGCTGTCTGTCTCCCTGCCAGCTCAGTGCTGCTTCAGCTGCTCTAGACACGCTGCAGATAGCATGCACGTTCATGTGTTTTGAAGGCGTGGTTTCTTGGTGTGGTCTGAAGGGAGAGGCATGGTTGTGTACGTTCAAAAATATAGCTTGCTGGAAGCATTTTTCCAAGATCTCCTACTGCACCTTTAATTGGCGTCTCTAAATGTTCCTTAGGTTAGAGAGATGGATGGAGTATTTGCTTTTCTCCAACTCTGATATTTAAATATTTGATGCCAATTTATATTAAAGCCATTTTTTTTATTTAATCACAAGAAGTAAAGTAGAGTTTGATAAACCTGTTGCAGGGCTGTAAAGCTTCAGTGACAAAGCACTGCATCTTTGGTGCACAAAGACGTGTTTTTACAGATCTTTCCTCCCTGCAGTTGTTCAAGTTTGTATTAATCACAGTTCCCAGCAAATTCAGTAGGTTCTTTATATCCTTGTTGCTATATGCACTGTTTCTACATAGACTTGTTCTTAGTATGTGGTGTTTTTTTTCCTTCAATAGAGAATTAGTCATATTTTCATTTTAACATTTTGTTAAGCATCACCTAAAAAAAAAAAAAAAAAAAACATAATCTATATATCGAGAGAGAGAGAGACACTATCCTTTTACAGCATCTCAGTTCCTATTTATATGGAACCGGTTGCTCCTTTTTGTCGAAAAAAAACCCCCCAGCAATGTTTTCCAATAAAATGAGATCAAACACTGTAAAATTACAAACATATTATAATCTACTTACGGTTGTGGAGTCATTTTCTGTTTTGCAGGAATATGTTTCCTAATGGCCTCATTCTGTAGAATGAAATACTTAATTTGAACTTGCAGGTGTGGAGATGTTTGAGTAAATATCATGAAAAACAAACCGCTTTACTTTTTCTGTGAAGACAGTGACTGATGTTTCCTCAATATCGATGCTCTTCATCTTTTTCACTTTCTCTTCATCTTCCTCATTTTCAAAACATGCGGTTGCCTTGGAAAGAAAAAACAAACTAGAGACATGAGTAAAACTAGAACTACTAATGTGCCACAGCCAAAACAACTATTAGGTTACAAAAAACTTGCCATTGTTTAAAAACATTAAAAAAAAGAAATAACACCATTTATCACAACCCACATTATAATACCAATTATTTAACAGAACTTAAATATGCTGCATTTACAGTTTATAACGGAAAATAAAAATACTGTAATTACTGTTTGGAGCAAAAAAAATAAAAATAAAAAAATCAAACTAAATAAAAGCACATGATTAAATACAGCCTTTTTAAAAACTGCACTAATAAAAGTAGACTTTCCTTGATGGAAGCAATTTAAAGGATGAAGTTATAAGATTGTTTTAAGCAGCAGATGAACTGAGGATACCTTTCGTTTGGACTTCAGCAGCCGATCAGATTTGGTTCTTCCAGATTTCTCCACAGCTGAGACCACATCGCTGTCGGGCAGAGAATGATGCGTCTCTCTAGGCACCACTGAGGAAGGAGGAGAGGATTCGGCAGCCTGATAAAAGGTGGAAGGTAAAAACAATTAATTCAGTTCCGCAACAAATATAATAAGATGTTTTATTCCCTGATAGAAACTTCAAAATGCTGAAGACAAGAATAAGAAAGAAACGTTTTATTTCAATAAGCAGCTTAGCCCCAACCTGACGTTTCCTGATCTGATGCTCAGGCTTCACTTTGGATAACTTTGCATTAAACCTCCTCTTTGTCTTATGGGAGGGAAAGGAGGATGAAGAGGATTTCATGTTCTTCAGTTCAGCCAAGATGAGTGGAACCAGAGTCTTAATCACAGCTTTGAGTTTAGGTTTCTTCATGAGGGATTGAACAGCTGCAGGAAACAAAATCATTTAAGAAGTTCAGTCAGTCAGTCTCCTTTGTATCATAGGGATCTATTAATTATGATAAAATCCAAAGAAAGAAAGAAAAACAAATCACCACGTCAGCTTCTAGCAGTGAATCACTTCAGTTTGACTCCGTAATAAAATGTTTCTAACCTGATTTTTTCAGCAGCCTCTCTGTCAGCTTCTCCACTTTGCTTAACCTCAGTCTATTGGAGGACCTCACCATCGTGGATGATCGCCTCTTGTGCCTCCTGCCTGATGTGGACCTCATCTCCTTCCTCTTCCTGGATGATGACTCCCTCTCATGGCTCCTTAAACATGAACCGTTATGCGATGTTGAAGGAGAGCGAGTTCTGTAGGATGCAAATGTAAAATCGGGAACATTCTATGTAGCTTTGAGGTTTCTACCATCTATCATAAAGAATATTGCTCTCTTCTTCTACAGTATTTCCCATATCTAACTTACCTCTGACTATTTAAATCCTCTCCTGATCTCCAGCCAGCCCCCAAAACATTGCTACAATAAGGACTTGGAGAACGGGAGCGGCTCCTTGGTCTGTCCCATCCATCCTCCACGCTGCTGTGACCTGATTGGCTTTCATTCCTTGACCTGGATCGGCTCCCTGGTCTGATACTGTGATTATAATAATGGAATATCTGAGAGGAGGTTAAAGCATACTGCCTGGGATCTTTATTAGAAAAACTACAACGAGCAGAAAAGAACAAATCAATAAGTGATTTTTTTATTTTTTATTTACCTTTTAAACAGTGGTACTGTACAGTCCCAATTGGGGTATCTGAAAAAAAAGAACGAAAAGGTCCTAGTTTAATACATGTTCCTGTTAAAATCTCAGTATCTGAAAGATTTTAATTTAATAAAGAGGAAACAGGATCTGATTTAAGTTAAGTCGTTTTGTTTTTTCCTAAACCAAGGTTTATCTTGCCCAAAACCTATGAAAAAAACTACAAAAGAATAAACATACATATACAAAATTATCAAGATCTTTATGTTTTACATATTTGTGTGCACTTGTAAAGGAACCAGCGTGAGGACCATTTTTCTGATTTTACCATCACAACGGGGACCGGATGTTGTCCAGTGAGGACATTTTGCTGGTCCTCACAAGCTAGTTTTCTAGTGGTTATATTTAGGGCTAAGGTGTCAACTGCGTTAGGGTGAAGTATGACTTGGTTATGGTTAGTTTTAGTGTTGGGGCTTAGAAAGAGTTGTATATGAATGAAAAATGGAACAAGGGAAGTCAATTGGGAGGTCAACAAATGGTCCTCACTACATATAGCAGAACAAACATGTGAGGATACAGAATATTATATAAATAAATAAATAAATAAATAAATAAATAAATAAATAAATAAATAAATAAATAAAAGCCTAACCGTTTCCGGAGGAGTTTGCAGTTCTCCAGATGAAAGCTGATATTCTGATGGAAGATCCATTCCTAGAAGTTAGAACCAGAAACATTACTGTAAACTGAATGAAAACCTTCGGTCTGTGCAGAGATCAATAAAGAGTAGATTATTGTTACTATATAATATTTTTATAATAAAAATAAACCCAAATAAAGTTTGAGTCCAGCTGTGGTCCAAAATAAGCCACATAAACCTTTGATGAAGGTCTGTTCTGCATGAAGCTTTGTCTAACTGCCGTATGTCTGTTTCTAGAGCAGGTAATGTGATCATAGCAGATTGTTAACTATATAAACTAGTTTTAAAAGCATCATGAGTGAATCATTAACTATTTTTATTCAATTAGTGTGCGTTGCTGTAGATTTTGATAGCTATAGTCAGGAAGGCAGGCTCTTCTGTAGAGGTCTGTCTCACAGCCGATCAAAATAAGCCTTTGACTGAAGACAGTTTTTTTTGGGGCGTGCTTTGGTGGTGCAGTGGTTGGCGTGCATGATCCATGTGTGGAGAAACCCCTTTCCTGTCAGTCTACCATTCATAAAACGAGCCACTAGTGCTATAAAAACTCCCCCCCCAAAAAAAAAAGCTTTTTGAAGAGGATGCCCACTGTTGTTCATGATGTTCCTCATTTTACTGCCGCTTGTTAGCTTTTAAATAAAAACTAAGGGTCCTACGTGGCCAGTCCTTCATGTCCAACGTATTTAATTTTATGTGGAAAAATTGCACAAATGTAAAAAAATAAAGGCACACTTTTTGTTTGTTTTTACATTTTTAAACGTAGTAAATGTAACAATTTGCCCACAAAAATATCTGTTTTGTCTTCATTCAACAATATGTTTTAGTTCAATTTGCACATAGTGATGTTTTCCACTGGCTCAAAGATATGGACTTAGCCAAATATTTTACATTGGCTTACATTGTAAGCCTCCTGAAACACTGATGTTTAACAGCTCAAACATTTTAAAAATAGACATAGCACATTGTTAATGGATTTCATCACAACTTTAAATTCATTGATGTTCTCATTAAAATCAAAGCAACGCTGAAAATTGTTTTGGGGTTTACAAATAGCCAGCTCGCTTGCTGCCTGATCGGATTCTGTCCTTTAAATCTACTGGGGGATTATTGGCTGTGAAACACTGATGTGGAAATATGTTAGGAAAGCTTGCATTAAACTAATAAATTGTGATGTTGAAATTGGAGATGGCCTGGGGAGTTGATGGTGAGCACCAGCGCCATAGGCCAAACAGTAGATTGTCAAATTGACAGTGACACGTCTCCTTTTGGGAATCATGGGTTTGGAGAAACGGCTGAGGAGATTGAGGACATCAAAAAGTCCCTCGACTTTCTTGCTGAGGACATGTCCGCTATAAGTAAGCAGTGACAAAAAAAAAAAAAAAAAAAATGGATTTGGTGGAGATTAAAGTGCTGACGACAGAATAAAGAGAAAGTTATCAATAGCAGAAGGCTATACGCAAATTTCAGTAATGTAAAAGATTTACATTAGTTTAAACAACTATTCAGTATAATTTCTTGTGAAATTCATTATCAGACTGTGCTTTTCCTTGGCTAAATAAAAGCAACAATTGTTCCAGTCTCTGCTGGAATGTAGGAAGTTGAAGCAGGGGTGATAACCCTAACCATCTCTACTCTAGACAAGGATAAACGTCCTTATTGTGTGTGAGGTTCTAACATCCTTTTTTCTGTTGTGAGCGGCAGACAGTTGATGTCATGAAGGGAAAACAGTTGTCCTGAAATATTTATCTGGCTAAATTTATGACTTTGATGAATTTAATTGTTTTCCTTCTTTTGTTCAAGTATATGAGAAAGCTCTTTTGTGCAGGGGTAGTTTCATGGGAGAGAGAGAATGTGCTGGGATTTCTGAAGAGTATAAATGTGCTTAGGATAGTTAAGTCAGAGCTTCTATATACTCTACGTCTCACTAAGGACGTTAAATAAAAACAAATATTATGTCTTGCAAGAATTTTTTTAGACTCAGTTTCCTAACTTCACAAGTTATATCCAAAACCTGGATTAATAAGGAGAAAGGGACAGACTCTGAACTTGATGGATTGGAATTTAGATATATAAACAGGTTAAATAAGAATGGAGGAGGAGGAGGAGTTGCTACATAGGTGAAGATGGATCCAAAATATAAAATAATTGATAATACATCAGTTACTATCAGGTGAAAGATCTTACCTGAATATTTGAACAAACTTGGCTGCAGAGAGAGCAGGTGTGAGGGAACGATCTGGGCGTGGCTGCAGCGTAGTCGTCCATCATGGCTCGAGGAGGCAGGCTGCTAGAAACGGGTAAAAGCCATCCGTCTGAAGCTGGCTGGAACCTCTGGCTGGAGATCACTGGGTTAAAGGCCTCCAGAGGTAAGATTGGAGAATCTGAAACCATCCCGGACCTTACAGGCAGAGCGTCTGATGTTGGTAGTCCCAGAATCTGGTCCGGCTCCCTTGGAGTCTGCTGCTTTGATTTTTTCTTCAGACGCTTTTCTTTTTTCATTTTCTCTACAGCCTTTAACACCTTTCTATGAGTTTTACTCTTTCTGCAGATTCTATTTTTAACCATTGGGTCAGCTTGGACAGTTATGTCTGATCCAGATGGTTGGATTTGAGGAGATAAATTAGCTTTTTGTTCTTTCAGATGAAGGAGTTCAGACTGTTTGGAGTTTGCAGAACGTCCGTCGCTGCTTTGGGTTAGGCAAGGCAACAAGAGAAAGGTTTGTAAACCCTGACATGGTTGGCTCTGCCATTTATTTGAGTCACAGAGTGGGGGCTCCACAGAGGTCCTAATTGGGCTCAAAATGCTAACGTAGCTATTTTGGTCATGCAAAGGCTTCCATTCAAGTCCAGAGTTTCTATCTTTATCAGGTTCAATAGTAGATGGGGTTTTAATTTGGAGAGTCTGTGGACTTTCAGAACATCTCATATCTTCAGGTCCAGCTGAGCTCTTAATGGATAGAAATCCTGATTCAGCAGCCATTTTCTTTCTTTTTAGGTTAGAGAGTTGTTGCAAGATGACAGGCAGGTTCATAGCAGTTACCTCATCTTCAGGGTAGTGCAGGAGATCTTCCATGTCCTCTTTTTCAAGCCCATACCACTGAAGGATCTTAGTGGCCAGTTCTGGAGTATACTCAGGGACAGTGGAATCAGCAGAGGACTGGTACGCCCCTGCAAGTGTTTCACATACTTGTTTCTGTGAGATATGAACCATGATTTTAGGAATATTTGTATTTCCAGCTGTAGAACATGATGGTTTTATTGTGGAAGAGTCTTCTTCCACATCAAAGTTGGTATGTTGAGAAGCTGAGCACAGCTGGCTAATGGGAGCATCCATGACTAAAGATTAAGGACTTTATATGCTTTAAAGACAAGAGCTTAATATTCCCAGGAGATGGAGGACAAAATCTGACATCAGGTCTGAAATATCAGCAAAGGGATGAAGACCAATGGTCACAGAGGATTAAAGGAAAGCATTCTTTGTCAGATTGTTTTTTTGTCAAGCACTGTCAGATAAAGATTGAGGGAAAATGTTAATTATACATTTATAAACAAATATGTGAGAGAAATAATTTGAAAGAGCCTTTTGAAGGCAAACTTGGGTCATAAATGTAAGCGCGAGTAAACGCTTTTTTTTAGGCTAAGCTAAAGGGAAACGTTAGCTAAAAACTGAGCAAACTTGTCACCTAAACCGTATATGTTACCTTTTCTTTCAACAGCGGTATTTACTTACCTATGGATGTTTTTCTTTCGGCTTGCTTATAAAAAAACTTACAGTGAGTCATTTCACTTTAAAGTAATTAACTTAAACTGTTAGCAGGTGCTTAAAAATGGCGGTGCAATCTGGTCACTTCCGGAACGGGTACTAATTTCAAAATAAAAGCCTAGCAGGTGACGAAAAAAAAAAAATATTTGTATTTATTGGTGGCTCACGTTCAACTATTTGCGGAAGAGGATTAGGGCCACTGAAAAAAAAGTTAACTGATTTTAAAATTTTATTTCAGTATAACCTTTTATAGGGGCACTCAGTGAAATACTTAAAAAAATTCAAGCTTATGTTGTTATTGGAATCCAGCACAAGACCTTATTATGATTGTAACATTCAACAAATATCGATGTTTTGATTACAAAAATTAATGTCAATGCAATCATTTAAAACATTTTAAAGTGTTTCTATAAGAAATTCACAAAAAACACTGAAAGTGAAAGAAACACCTTTCGTTTGTTTTTTTGGTACAACCTAACCTTAGATGCATTAATGCAGATACTGGCACTTAAATTTTTTTGTTTATGAACCTAAACATAATTGTTAACTTTGCAATTAGATTTTTACCTTTTTTCTTGACTTAGGGCTCATCTAATTGGTCAAATGCCAAAATAAATTTTACAGCCATATAGCAGTATCTTTGCTGAATAGCTGGATATAGATCTTGTGCTTCTAGACCTCGCTGAGGGACGGGGGACTCTATTTGTAAGGGTGATCAAAAATGCTAACTTGCTCTATAAAGGGATAACATGAGAAAAACGACAGAATTCCGACTATTTTTTCTCAGAATTCTGATTTTTTTTTTTCAGAATTGACTTTTTTCCTCACAACTGACTTTTAATCTTAGAATTGTAACTTTAACCTTAGAATTCCGACTTTAATCTCAGAATTCTGACTTTAATCTCAGAATTCTGACTTCTCAGGTGTTACTGGCCCTCCCAAACAACTCACATCTTTGTCAGTGAAGCTGAGTGCACTCAAATCTCTTCCTTCATGGTGTCCATCTACATTTAGATCCACAATTCTGTAAAGTTAGATTTCTGACTTTTTTCCCCATATTAAACTGAAATAACATTTAAAAATCAAACGTTAATTATTTTAGTGGCCCCAATTTCTCTTCCGTAATTATTGAATCAAAAACATCCAAGTGAATATAAATAGCATTACTATAGATAGACAGCCAGAAAATAGACAAAAATAGTGTGAATAAACATTTTTATCTAAAGGAAACAGTTTCAATTTATCAAGTAAACCATGGTATCTCTACTCATTAATAAAATGGCGAAACATTAAATTCAAACTGCAGGAGTTAAAATACCTAATAGAAAATAAGCTTCCCACATAAACATGTGTTATATTTTATGTGATTGTACACAAACACTTAAACAACCTTGAAACTTTTAATATTCATAAAGAAAAGTGACATGTTTTATTTTGCGCTTACAGAGTATTGGCAATACTGTCAGAGACATCATAATTTTAACTTCAAACTAATAATCTACAGTAAACAGCCTAAATAAACATGTACAAAACATGTACAAAAACATTTTAGAATAAAAGTGATCATACAAAGCACAAGTTTTCATAGAAAAATGAAAATACTGGATAAACTGTTAACCTAGAAACATATTTGTTCAATTGATGATCTTATTAACAGCGCACAAAATTTACTAAAGCTGTTCATTATAACAAAAAAATAATAAAAATACTTGGATCAGTTAAACAGGGTTTCCACTCAGTTATTTTTAGATGTTTTTGAAGATTTCAGCTTCATAGTCGTCTGGTAATATTTCTGAAAGGTGAGAAAAAAAGAAACATAAACAGCTGCCTCAAAGATGCAGTCATGGATCCATTTGTACTGCGTCTGTGTGAACCTGTAAGTTGTCGTAGTGCATTTGGGTTCGGCAGTGCTGGTCCTCTTTGGTTCCCTCATTCAGAAAGGGAACGGAGCACAGCGTGCAGAAATACCCCCACTTACGGCACACAAACTCCTTCCCTGAAGAGGAGAGAAACAAGGACAATGTTTGAGAAGAGACCACAGTTTTGGAAAGTTAGAGAAAAAAAAGTTAGCATTAAATTTGGGCATAAATGATATGAGTGCTTTAGCGCCAAAAAGTAAACAAACAGAAACCCTGATGTTAGTTGCTCTTAGTGGTACGAATATGTAGAACTGATAAGTATCAACAGTAATAAACATGCTTCATATTCAGAAAACATGAAATTGTGTTACTTGGATCTGTCATACCTTACCAAATATACACATTAGCAGTGCTTTGCAATAGCTGTATAGCACATAATATAACTGTAAAAACTACAATTTAATATCCACTGTATTCGGTTACCTCTGAAGTCAAAACTGGAAAAATTGCGGGGTTTGCTAAGTGCTATTATCAGAGACCAGGTTTCTATTAGTAACTAAGTGACAGGTCTGATGTATTTGTGTGTAAAAGTGGAAATTATTGAAAACAGATTTCTGTCCAGAACCCAGTGAAACCTTCAATGTTCCCATCTGGGATCACTTTCTACTATTTTCATTTATCCAACTTGAACCTTGGACTTTCCTGTGTATTTACTGAAATGGTACAAGCAACGAAAAGTTTAAAAGTGCTTTTCTAATGCAGGTCATCCTCCGCTTCTCAACTATTTCACCACTGGAAGATCTGATCCATGAGGGCAATCAGTCTGCATACAGAGGGGAGGCGGATTGTTTGGTTTCTTTAATCTGACTGGAGCTTGACCTGCTCCAGACTGAGGTGACGACAGAGGACTTTCAGGGGTTTTTTATGATCTCCAACCACATTTATGTGCAACTGAAGGCGCACTGTGATGTGTATTGTGCACAGAAGGTCCTGACTGAACACCTTGAATCTGCCCTCTGGTCTCATTATGCGGAACACCAAGTCTTACAACCTTCAACTTTTTTCAACCCTCTATACCAGACAGGAATGATTCCACCAATGACAGAAAGAGGACCCTTTAGCAGTCTCCACTTAGAATTAGACAAGCTGCTGCTGATATTTTAAAAGCCCTGCAGGCCGTGATAACTGCTAATGGGGGGAGAGGCAGAGTTCAAGCCCCACTGTGGGTCCCTGAGAAAAGACCCTTAACCCCACACTGCTCACCAAAGAGATGGGTTAAAAACAGAGAGTTAATTTCGTGCACTTTACTGGTGCCAGTGTAATGGGGAAAAAACAAACAAAAAAGGCTAATTATTGTGCATATTTGACCAAACTGACACATACAAACACATAAACACTTATGACTGATATAAGTGATAAACTTTGCCTTTTAAATACCAAATATCAGTTTCAAAATGTGTTGTTAAACATAAAATAAATCCTTAAATGGTTGGCAGAGCAGGGTGTCTCACCCAGCGGGGTTTTAGGGTCAAATGGAGGCAGTTTGATGTCAGCACTGGCAGATCTTTTTGGTTCAGGTCCTGAAAGCTCCGCTTTCCGTTTGCTAGGAGCTGAAAAGAAAAGAGACTCATTTCATAACAATAACTTAAGAGGCGTTCATTTTTAAAATTCTTGATATATGATTTAAATAACAGAAAGATGAAGGTTAATCCTAAAAAATACCTTTGTCTTTGCTTGTTGATCCTGTATTAAATCTATTTTAATAAACAGAAAAGTTGTAACACAGGTTTTGTTCATCAACACCAAATTAACGTTAATTTAGCGGATATTCATCCATTCGAGTGTTGAAATATAAGTCATCCTTACATCGACTTTGTTGTATTAATTGTATTTAAGTTATTCTACTTTAATCATATTACTTTAATCATATTACACTTACACATTTTGTTATCTCTATCTTACTCATATTACAAAGAGTGTTAAAACATTTAACATTTTGCTGTGTTATTAATGTTTTGCTGTAAGTCTGTGCAGGAGGGGTGCTGACTGCTGAGGTAACAGATGCCGTTAAGGGTGTGGAGGAGCATGGAGAACTGTGCAACCAGATATGGAGAGGGACTCTCCTTATCTTATGATGTTGTACGAAAGTTCTGGTTTCAACTGGGTTCGTTCCCTCCCCTTTTAGCGGTTGAAACCACATTGTAATCAGGGCGTTCCTTCAATAAAAAAAGCTTGGAGAACAGAGACTGCTTCAGAGTGGGTTGGAGATTGTAACTGAATGCAGTTTCTGATCCCCTCTCCTTGCAAGTGAATTATACTCAATTCTCTGTCTTTCTTTGTGCAGGTTGCTGAATAAGGTGTTTGGTGTTTAAACCTAACAGACTTCAAATTTAAAAATCATGTTTTTGTTTTCCTTGAAATCCTTCCCAGTTATTGTCAGGAGCTTCTTTACAACATCTCAAATTTAAATATGTTACAATTTTTAATAACAAATGCTGCTGCTCTGTTTCCTACTTCCTGTTTAAGGGAGCAGTGCTGCATGTCACTACCCGATCCGTCCCAGTAACACGATCCGAACCATCAGCTCATTTGTGCATGTGTAACCAGATATACATCCAGGACACCCTCGATTTTATTTTGTAAAATAGACCTAAATTGCGTTTTTCCCTCCTTAAAAATAGTAAGCGTACTAAACTATAATCTGTTAAAGCTTAATAATGTATTTCCTCAGAAAATAAATGCCTTAAAATCCTTTCTGTTTTAACACTCGTCTGTGACTGATCTGTACAGGAAATGGGATCCAACGCTACTTCCGGGAGCTACATTTTTAGGCTTTGGATTTAAACCTAAATCTAGTCTATTTGAGTGTTATGTTTTCATTTCAGCTAACATTATGATATATAGTGTGTAATCTAAAGAAAGAAACAACTAAAATGCAGATAAACATGCTTTAATCATATATTGTTGGACTACCATTAGCATGTCCAATGATCATTAAAAATCATTAAAAAAGCAGAAAATGTTTGACAAAATGTTCAGATCTTTTAAAATCATAGAGGATTACAGCTATATTACTCTGTTATTGATAGAGTACTAGAATATTTTTGCTCTATGTACGTTAGCTTAACTTAGTTTAAATGCTGCTTGAAGCATTAAAAGATTCTGTAGATTCTGTATCCTTTAGATCGGGGATGTGATCTGCTTACTAGATAAAAGAGAACAGACATCCATGTAATGCCGATTCACTGATGTATGTTAATCTGTGGGGGTTTAATCTGAAACAACTGGCGCTAGGATTGGGGCTCATTATTTGGAATCAGTTCAGCTTGTTCCTGTTCAGGTTCTACTTTCTCTGTTGAGATTCTTCCTGCAAGTAAAGATCTGTGATCTCAACAAGGCTTGTCTTCAGGTCTGGTAAATGTTAGAATTTCACCGACATAAAAGAAAAAAAAAAATCAATAAAGTTCTACCTTTAATTTCCCTACCTTTGTTTCCCTTCATGCATTCTTCCTTTTTCTCTCCACCCAGACATTCTGACTTCATCCCTCTGGTTGATTTCCTCACTGTAACAGAGGACAAACGAAGAGTTTCCTCAGCTTTTATTGTTCTTCTCTCAGAGATGGAGGGATGAAGCTCCGTCCGTCTCACCTGGAGTCAGTTCCACCGTCTTCTTGGCTTGAGCTCTGGTCCTGATCGCTGGAGCTTCCTGTTCCTCCTCTTTAGTCTCTCTGAAGGTAACGTCTCCAGAGGTTCCTGAGGATTTCTGCTCGCAGGCTTTCGATGGGACGTTTTTAGCAGCAGCGTTCCTCGTCCTTGGTGGCGTCTTGACTTCTTTTCCCTCATCTAAAGTTTTTTTCCTTCGTCCTCTAGGAGATCCTGAGGTGATGGTCGGTGCATTAGCCGCTGCTTTGTCTTGTGTTATTTTATCTTTGTTTGATTCTTTGGTAGATCTATCAGAACGTTCAGTGATGGACTCCTCTTGAACTGTATCCTCTGTCTCTGCCCTGCTGTCCTCTGTTGGAGTCTCAGACGGTTGATCTGAACTGTCCTGTTTTACTGCTGGATTCTCCTTTTCTTCAGGGACGATTTTCACATCTGGTTTTATTGTCAAACCTTCATCTTTGACTGGATGCTCTCCTTCTCTCACAGACACTTCATCGGTGACGCTCTCCTTTTCTTGAACAGGAGCACCCGACTCAGTTTCAGTGCAAGTTTTGGCCTCAAGTTCTCCCTGATCTGATTTTTGGCACATCTCGGCCGTGCTAGCATCGAAACCAATATCCTGCTTCTTTTCTTTCTCCGCTTCTTGATCGGTTTTCTCACAAAGGGAATCAGGGATGGAATGATTCTCCTCACCTTGCCTCTCCAACGTTCTCTGGCCATCATCTTTTTCTTTGGTCTTGACTGCTTCCTCTCTCAGCGTTTTCTCTGGAAAATCCGTCTCTGGACTCTGGCTCTGACTGGTCAGCGCCAAGGTCTCTCCATGTGCAGATTGTTCCATTTTAGTGGAGTTTTGCAAACTTAACTCATCTATTTTTACAGCTTTAGTCTCTGCAGAGACTTTAAAGCCAGGTTTGCCCTTTGCGCTTTCTTTGGATCTTGCTATGCGCTTCTGTGCCTGATAAGTTTCTGGACAGATCTTCACACCTGCTGAAGATGAAGGGGTTTGCTGACCCGTAGATGAAGACGGAGCGCCCTGAGTTTTAGCGGAGTCTGATGATGAGGAGGAAAAGGTTCTGTGGTCTCTGTCAGGGGAAAAGAGTTTGGGGGAACATGTGGCATCAAGTGGAAATCTAACTTGGGGGGATTTGGATGGGGTTGATGAAGAGGGTGAGCTTTTGTAGTTTCCAGAGGAACCTGCTGAGGTCCCGTTATCTTCAGGTGGCAACTCTGAGCTTGAGCTCTGCTCCTTGCTTTTCTCTTTATTCTGTATGGATAAAGATACATTATAATAAATAGCAACAGCTAAAACACAGCATCTTACTGGGCAAATTTAATAAAAACTGAAGCAGTGGAATGCTAAACACCAAATTAAGTGTATAATGCATCAGCAATCATTGTGCATACGGGTAGGCAGCAAGATCCTGCAAAATTCGAGGCATCACTTTGAAGAGGTAAACTGACTCTAGCCTTCAATGAGGTAACTCTTTCATACTAATTTTTTTGATCCACATGTAGTTATTAAAAGGACTTCTAGTAAAAAATATTTTCTTTTAAATTATTCTCTATCAGCCAACTGTTGAATCTGAATCTGCAAGAACTGTTTTATACCAAAGAAATGAAACTACTGCATCTGAAATGTTAGTAGGCTACATCCCTTTCAGTACCAAGGACAGCGCCCCTATCGGGTAATGATGGTAACATGGAAGGGGCTCTGACAAGGAGGCACCTTAAAAATATTAAATATAAAGTTAAATTGGACACTTTACTTGCTCACAGACATTAATGTTGTATATCTGGGGTGATATGCCAATATTCAGGTAACTTTTTTAAAAGGCCAGAAAGCGTGAATTTGGTAGAGCACGATGTGGATGTAGGAGAATCTAAACCAGTGTGGAATCCTATTTTTAATTGGCCTATTCTGGGAGATAAAATGTGTTGAGCGTACCTGTTTAAGTAGGAGGAATGATAGAGACATCCTGTACCATTCACTATGCAATGTTATTTAGGAGGACAGAAAGCAGATGCCTCCCTACCCCAGACAAGGGTGAAGGGAAGGTTATGAGAGAAAATGAGTTCACAAAGCCTCCTTCATGCCGTGGTTAAAATTTATGTCCTTGATGAACTGAAGACTCAATGTTCATGTGTGTGGAGTCACTCTATATGCAGGGGTGGGATGCTACCCCACCAGACCCACACTAACAGTTTCAGCAGTATGTGTTGTTCTCCTCTGCAGAGTAAAATATATTTTTTTTCCTCCCTTGCATATCAACTCTCAGTGCTCATTTTACTTCACAGTAGTTAAACAATGTTTTTAGAAAGTCATTTTTTAGAAGCGCAATTACTGAAGCACATAAGTCCGGTATATGCTTTGTAAGAGTTGCAAAGCTGAGTATTTAAGTTGAGCTAAATCTAAAGTTTCCATTCAAATTTTTTATTAACCTTAATAGATTTCAGATAAATCTGTCAGTAAATGTGGTTGTCTAAATGGTTAGCTGCAGATGTCATTGCCCAAGTCAGCACATAAGATTTCTGCATTTGTAATTCATGTACGGTGATGTCATTCATGCTTATAAAGGCACTAGCATCATTATAACGGCTAACAAACAGCCTGGTTGATGACACGTCTGGCTGCGTGCTCTAATCAATGCAGAGGCACTATAAAGGGTGTGTGCACTATATGCAGAGCAAAGGGGGGCTAACTATAAGGAATGCCTATTTCCTTGTTATTAGTGGGTTAAATCCATTTCAAAACTGTTCTAACGAATTATTCTCAAAGAAGGTTTCTGGTTCAGAAAGCATGAGAACAACTTTTTCCAAAAATGTCAGAATTATCAATAAAAATACATAATAAATGCGCAGAACCATCTAAAAAACAGTAAATATGCTAATGTTAGCCTGGATTAGATGCATGAAAACACTATTAGATGGAGTATAGACATGATTATGTGTATATGCTAGGCATGATATGTTTTTAACGAAACTGACAGGAGTACATTAAGTGTGACAAAAATCTCAGATTAGAATATGATCTGATCATGGCCATAGCACAGAATGGATACATACAACTGAGACATAATGAAGTAAACGTTACCTGCAAAGTTTCTGTGGAGCTGCCCTGTTGCCTTCGGAACTGAACAACTAGAGCTTTGATTACATTAAAACTGTTGATGTCGATTTTAGGGAGGTCTGGCTTTTCTCCCACAGGCTCAATTAAACTGGTCTGCATGGGGCTGAACTTTGTTGACTCTTCTTTTTCATCTGTTGTCGTCACAGCAGATAAATTGGTGGAACTAGTTGTTTTCTCAGCTTCACGTCTCTCCTGTATCGCTGCACCACCCTGTCCTGCAGAAGACATGGATGCTGCCGTCTCAGCAGAGGAAACAGATTTAGCAGAATCAGGGGTTCTGGTTTTTGTTGCCTTCCTATCAGAAGACTGTTCTGCCTTCGTCATGGCAGTGGGTTCAGTGTTGGTACCAACTCTGTCCAGTTCTGGGTGTACTGGGATGCTCTTTTGACCTGGTGTTAAAACAGTAAATAAAAGAAAGAGGACTGTGTTGATATCACTGACATTTATAATGTCCTTATTTTATAATGAGCATAAATAACTGATTACAGCTTCATATTTTTGGGGTTTTATAATGGAGAGATACAGCTATTTGCTACCTTTGGTTTTCGTTGCCCTTTTCCAGAAAGCTATAGAAACAATTTAATAACCATCATTCTCCTGCCTTTCTGCTTTCTGTCAGGTAATGACATCTGGAAGGCTGTCTGAATTTATCTCCTTTCCTATTCTAGATAGTCTCCTTACTGTTGTCCATGCTAAAGGTAGGAACAGGAGCTACAATTTGCCAAACCTAGAATTAGCCACAGACAGAGGGTCTGGCTCAATGTTTTAGTAGTGCTAATATATATATTTTTTGCCGTAAAGTCTAAAGTCACAGTGTTTATTTTTTGTTTTTTAGGGCACAGCATCACCATCCTGTGTCATTGTAAAAATGCATACTGTAAAATGAAATGGGTCATTACCAAATAATGTATTTTATATTGGTTTACAGGTAAATTTGGAATATTCTTGAATCATAAGGATAGTGGACCAAAATGGTACCTCCTAATCAGACTGCTTATAAACAACACAAATTAAAAGCAAGACATTGGAAGGACCAAAAGAACTGAACAGTTTTGTTTTTTTATTGGTTGATATATATATATATATATATATATATATTAGTGCTGTCAATCGATTAAATTTTTTTAATCGCGATTAATCGCATCAATGCCTGAGTTAACTCGCGATTAATCGCATTTTAATCGCAAATTTTTTTTCTGATTGAAAATCATTTAAATACTCTCGATGACATACAAAAAATACATACAGGCTAGGTTTGTGCCAATGTTCTTTTTTTTTAAATGAAAACAGGTCACAGACACTGATTTATGCCATAGAAACATATGGCAAGAAGATGGGGAGGCATGTAGCAAAAAATAACAAATATGTAGCCAAAAAAAAGGCCCTGAAAACAGGCTGATGTAAAAGACAGTCTTTACAGTTAATACAGTCTTTTGAACAAAGACAAGCATTTTACCCTACTGCTATAAAATGTAGTACAGTTAACATTAGATGTTAATTAACCAAGATAATAATCAACAATTTTCAATCAATACATCAAAATCAATAGACCGACATCACTAGATGGAGGTAGTCTATGCTCTAGAAAGTTACTTTTCAGCCTCTTAACAAAAATGAGAACACACACACACACACACACCCACCCACCGACACACACACGCGATACCGACCTGTGGCGTACACAGACAGCAAGAGTGCCGTAGCAGATTCCATTTCACCTCAGTAATCTGTTTTCTCAGTGTATTTCAGGTTGCTACTAGTTACCAGACACTCAACTTGTTTGTTGGTGGTGGGGCTTAAAGAAAAGGCACTAGCGTCACTCAGTGTATGAGCGTCTTTTTTCCTTGAGGAGCTCCGCTCTCGAAGCCTATGAGAAATGCATAGACTGGGGGAAAATAGCCCCGCCTTTCCGCAGGCTGCAGCGGGATGTACTTGGAAAATTTTACCATAAAACCACATAGCGTTAATCTCACGTTAAAAAAATTATCGCCGTTAAAATGGCCTCGCGTTAACGCGTTAATAACGCGATAATTTTGACAGCACTAATATATATATATATATATATATATTTGTTTTACCTTTTAAGTGCACTGTTTTTGTTCAATTCATTGTGCACAACCTACTTTAAATTGAAAGGAAATACAAAATATCTTACTCATCCATCTTTTGTACATGTTCGCTGTCAAACAGCCAACGGATCTATGAGCCGCCTCACCTGAACCTTGTTCTATTATCCCAGTTCAAAGGTTAATGGTAACTTCACTGTCTTACCTTCATTCATCACAGTATTGTTCAGCTGGTTAAGAGCCCCATCTTCACAATCCTTCAGGCGCCGTTCTCTGCTCTTTACTCTGAAAGGTCAACCAGAAACAGATGTTGGGAAAATCTGATTTATTCATAAAATATATCAAAACAACATAGAGTGGATCTCAGAAGAGTACGTATTTCTGGCATGTTGCCAATTTTTTACAAAGCAAATCAGTTGAAAATTTATAAATAATCTGATAAAAAAAGAAAAAACTACTTTGGAGATCTGTCTGTATAAATACACATGTATAATGATCTAGCTTTAACCTTTAGTCTTCTTGGGTATTGGGATCCCCAGTGTTTGATTAACTTTAAATAAAGTTATAATTTCCGGGTGGAATTTTCTTGGCTTTTTTTTTTTCATTTATAATCTTTGCAGAGATGTAAACAAATATCCAAATCATCCCTTTACACAAACTGTATTAGTCAAGAGACAGATGCCAAAAAAAAAAAAAAAAATCAGTATTTGCAGAAACATTTCTCATATGTTTAAGTAAAATAAGGACTGAAACTTCCGAAGGATGCCATCGAGAGGCCAACAGCAACACAGAAGACTTCTGGGATTTCGGGGAAATGACTATTTGTTATTTAGAGAATAATGTCCTGTTCATATAAAAGACAGAGACCTTTATCTTAAGCAGCAAATGCAGGTTTGCAATAATATTTCTAAATTATGTAGGTAGGGTTTTCACAACACTAATATTTAAAACTTGATTTTGATCCCCAGGATCATATTCGATACCTGATGCTATTTTCATTACCATGTGGATAAAAGAATGAGGTAATACAGCATAAAATATATATATCATTAACCTGAAAAACTCCCATCTTTAAATCTTAATATAGAAACATAATTTTTTTAACATAATCAGACGCAGGTTAAATAAAATCCAATTAGATGCTAAATTAATAACACATATTTATGCAACAAAATTGCACCTTTTTTTACATTTTTGCCTCATAAACTGGTACATTATTTCACCTGCATTGCTTATTTACATGTTTCACTTTTTACAACTGCTGCTGGTTCACCAAAGGACATTTTATACCCACTTAAACATGAAAGAAAAATAGCTTTACTTGCTTTTATTCTGCTTTTTTGTGGTCCATTTGTTTTATAAATTTTTTTTGCTTTTATTCTGCTTTTATTTTTCTTCTTTTTTTATTATCTAATTCATGTAAAGCACTTTGAATTTACCATGTACTGAATTGTGCTTTATAAATAAAGAGCTTTAAACAGAAACAATGGCTGCCGATGAACTTCTAAACATGCTCAGATATTCTTTTTTGGGTAATTTTTAATCTAAAAATGGATTTTAGACCGGATGTGATCAGCAGACAAACATAGTTGTACAGAGCTGCTATTTGCTGGCAGTACCTACTCACACATCCATTATCTCGCCACCTTCTCAGTGTTCAGCTACCGCCACACAAACACTTCCACACTGGGTTTCAAGTGCTAATTGTGTCTTTTCTCTCCTGTCATTTGGTATTTTACCAATTTTTTTCAACTTGTATTTTTCCCTCTTTCTTTCCACACCTCTACTTGCAACGTTTGGATGATACGCCGTGATAAGGGGTCTTATCATTGTCTTATCATCGTAAACATTGAAAACACTTAAGTTTAGATAGAAATTGATAAAAACGATATGTAAAACGCAAAAATAAACCATAAGCAGCCCACAGGGCGCCATGTTTAATCAGAGTCTCTGTATGTTACAAGAGTACGCTAGTGACAAAGTCACAAAACCTTGATTTAAAACACAAGAAAGTTAAATACTTACGACTCAATGCGTCCTACTTGCTCCCTGCATGACGACAAAACAAAACTCATCATCAGGAGGATGCTCTTATGGATCTGCTATCGAATCTTTGGCCACTGTGATTAAAACTCAAAAACTTACCAATCTTTATACTTTTCACATAATTCTGGCCGCGACAGGTTCTCTACAACCTTTGCCATTTCACTTGGTGTCGTCATCTCGATGTAAATCTGTAAAGAGGCGGTTTTGTACAGAGAAAATTAACAGTCATAGAAGAAATAATTAAAATGGTGCAGATGATCATGAAATCCCTGTTGTCTTTTATGGTTCAAGTTCAGATTCTGGTTTTTGGTAAAAACATAAAAGTGCTGTTTACGTAAGATACCATATAAATAAATATGCTAATTGCTTTGATCTTGTTAATCTTACAGTAGAAAAGATTTTTAACAGAGAAAAGTCAAGAAATCGTCCCACTGAGAACGTTCTATGCATAAGTATGCAGAATAGGTGATGGTCTACCCTGTTGGCGAGAGGCAGGAAGTTGGTAAAAGCAGCGATGTTCGCCACCTCATCCATGACCATCATGGCTATATCCTGGTCCATCCTGGACACCTCCACACACAGGAGCCGCTCCTCCAAACCCCACAGGTCTGAAATTACCTGGAAAACAAGAAACATTCTGGTTTCAGTTCACAAGCAGCCAATCAGAAATGATGAGCTGATGAAAGGAAGGGAATATCTACTCACAGCGTTGCTCCATTTCATCAGAGTTTTGAACAAGGACACCTGTAAAAATGAAGTAAGATCTTTAAAAAAAAAAAAAGAACTAAACACTCAGATGCATGTAACAGGAACTCAAAGTAAAAATAGAGAGGATTGTTCTGCTTGTCATAGAGTATATGTAAACTGCTGTACAGTACTGATCCCCTAAAGGGATACTGAAGAAAAATACTCTCTTATATCGGCCAGATCTCTTCTTTTTTTCTTTACCTTTCATCCATTTTCCAGACATTTTGTAAACACCCATCTATATTCATTCAACTGACCAGTTGTTTACGGCTGTGTTTGAATGAGTGTCACAACATGAACAAGGTTTGTGCATCCTTTGCGCCGAAATAGACCACAGGTAGGGTTGTCAAAAGTATCGAGACTCAAAAAAGTATCGATACCAAAATGTTGTATCCGGATACAATACTCGTTTTTAAAAGTATCGATACATTGCTACAGTGCTTTGTTTCTTAACAAGTTTGGCTAGTGTCATTGTTATGTGTGCAAAGCATAGCCAAGGAAGGAATACTTAATTTTAATTTTGTAAGTTTTTTATCAAGCTTGCTTAATATTGTGCACAGCAAACAACCTCAAAATATTGTTCTCATTGTTTATTGTATTTATTTATTGTATTTTATTTATTAATGAAAATATTTCTGTAGAATTTTGGAGTCTTTGTTTTTATCCTTGTGGTATCGAAAATGGTATCGAGTGTCGAGTATTTTCCTTAGTACTGGTATCGAGTTGAAAAGTTTAGTATCGTGACAACCCTAACCACAGGACATCAGGATACGTTTTAAGTGACGTTCAGACACAACATATTGGTGATGTCTTGCAAGCAATGCAGCAATCTCTTTGTATAGTAGCCCAAACTGAAAATATGGCCTTATTAGTTCATGTACATCGATTTTAATGAACATGGTTGTCCAAAACACTCATGAGATCATGCAAGAAATTATCTGGTACGCACAAGATACTTTCTAGTACGTACGTAAAACAAACTGGTGTGCAGAAGAAAGTTTTTGTTTAGTTTTTTTCTTCAGTGTCCCTGTAGGGGCTCAGTAGTGCAGCTGGTGGTTTTGTAACATTCATTTAGTAAATTTAAAAAGAAAAAAATGGTATAATAATAATACAAAAAAATTAATACAAAAATAATAATTGTCTCCATGTTTTATGTGTGACATTGTTTGGGTTGTTTTGTGCTAGTTTGCACCAAACATGACAAACTAGTTTGTGATGTTTACTAGTTCATATCATGCTTTGCATGTCTATGAAAACAAGTAAGAGTTTTACTGCTGCCAAGTGCTCGGCAAGTAAACACTATTTGTGGCTCTAAAAGTTGTTAAATGACATCATCTATTAATTTGCATATTTGGACATTTCATTTTGATCCAGAATGTAGGGGAGAGGATATCCAAGTTTGCAAGAAAAAAAGGGAGTTAAAAAAATTATCAAAAAAAAAACTATTAATTAATGATGAAATGAAGTTTAATTTGTCTTTGCATTAAATTCAAAAATCTAAGCAACTTGATTTATGCTGTTAGGTTTCAGGCAACTGCAAGGATTACATTTTTTGCACAGTGTCAAGGAAAAAGAAACAATAACATTTATATTTAGAATATCCGTTCACTCGTTTTATAATCGGAGAGTCATTGCAGAATGATTAATTTGTGTTTTAATGACTAGTTTGCCATTTATTTCCAAAAAGTCCACCAAATTGTAGCGGGTCATCTCAATAAAACAATACAACATGATGTCTTAAAGTATTTTGATGTATTCAAAAAGGATAAATATCCCTGACAACATAAGACAATCATCCCCATACCATGATGTCTAAGCCACCATGTCTAACAGGCTTAACCCTCTCCAGGCACATGTTGCAGATTTGCAACAGCTAAATGCTACTTAGCTAATTACTCAACATCCATATTTTAAGAGATTTTGTTACTCAGAAGTACAACAGAAGGACTTAGTTGTGCATTTGCAACAAACAGTTTCTCACTGCTGACTCACTTTCAACATGGCTGAGTCCTTGGTGTCACTGAAACAGATTTTCTAAGCACCAATTTCATGTAAGTATCACTACCAATTTCCATTATTTTGAAATCAATACTACATAAGATGAATCATGAATGTGTATAGATATGACACATGCCAATTAGTAGATTTTATCTCCTCTGGGTTTTTCACCAGAGGCATCTTGATTTCAATGTTGTGGATTCGCAACGTGTGCCCAAACAGGTAGCAATAGATGCTACATGCTTTATCTACTAGTTTGCCTATATTTTGAGCAACAGTTTAACAGAAATGGCCTTCTCAAGAGGTTTTGAGATGTCGGTTAATATCAGATTCAGTCTTCAGTGTTAATTTACCACTCCGGGCCACTGTTGCAAATCTGCAACATCCCAGAATACATTGCATGTGAAGTTCTCTCTTTCAAAAAAAAAAAAAAGTCTGAATTGTATATTACTACCCCATATGATAATTTTCTCCAAATATCAGATTTTTCCTGCTACTACAGTGGCGTTGGATGTAGGAGTTTGCCCTGAAATCGAAGGATTGACGGTTCAAGCCCCGACTCCGACTTTTAGTGTCGTTGTGTCCTTGGGCAAGACACTTCACCTGCATTGTCTCCTGATGGTGGTCAGAGGGCCCGGTGGCGCCAGTGTACGGCAGCCCTGCTTCTGTCAGTGAGCCCCAGGGCAGCTGTGGCTACAATGTAGCTTGCCACCATCAGAGTGTGAGTGTGTGTGTGAATGGGTGAATGAATGTAGTGTAAAGCGCTTTGGTCAAGTCTCCTATCTTGAATAAAGGCGCTATATAAGTACATGCCATTTACCATTTACAACTTAATTTGAACCTGAAAGGGTTAATTGCAGAGCTTGAGGATCATTTGTCAAGCTGGCCTTTTAGACCTAAAAGGAACAATCTAGCCTTTGAACGTCAATAGGCTTCCCTAACAACACTGGGTCCATGCTAAGCTGTAGCCACCATTGTTCAATTTAAAGCTGGAGCTCAGAAAACTAGTGCTGGAAACCGATAAAGCTCAACGAGTCAGGAACATTAGGTGTAATGCGTTTCCTTTGCAAATCCTTTCCTCTAAACGAAGACACACTCAGTAAGTGTGGAAAGAAAATATTTATGAGGCAGAGGAATGCAGAGGATAAATGTCCTTTATAACTCTGGTTGGCTCTCATTTTTAAGATAAACCAAGTCTTTTGTTTCAACTCATCTGTGTGTTTTCATATTTCCACACCTCATCGTGTGCAGGAGAGATATTCTCCTTCACCAAATAGGCAAAAGAATGGGATCCTTTTAAGACCACTGGGTAAATGGGGTGATCTTGAAAAAACCTGGAGAGAGCGACCCAGCTGCTGAAACACACGAAGGCCTGGAGATGAAAACATGAGGAGCGTCAAACATCCAACCGTAACTTATGAGAGAAACATTTTAGAGATCAAACATGGGAGTTTTTTTTACCCTCTTCTGCAGAGGTAAAACCATCACATTGTAGTGGAGTGTGGGAAGATTCTGCTCTGGAAAATACTTAAACACCAGCGCTGCCACGTCCTGGTGTGTGTAGGTTTCATTTGGTAAACCCGACAACATGACTGTAGGGTGAATGAGACCTTCCAGCTTGCATTTCTGCAGGAATTGAGGTTTAAAAGTCAAACAATTATGCAAGAAATAAAACAAAAAACAAACTGCTGATAGTTTAACCTCAGTGATCTTTTATAATGAATGAATAATAAAGGAAACTAACTGAAGAAAATCGTGCTTGCAATATATTTTTAATTATGAGAGCTTTTTTAAATTTTTCATTAAAAATAAAAGAAAATGTGGAGAACAGAATAAACCCTCACCTTTATCGTGTCCCCTGCAAGCTGTTGCCAGTAAGCTAGGAGTAAAAAACACAAAATAAAACATTAACACTGACAGTAATAAGATTAGAAATTTAGAATAACATCAGTCTAAGCCTTGAGATTAAACGGTCACATTTTCAGCTTTTAAATGCAAACCAATATAAAACTCACATCAAAATCAACCAGCTGCAAAGGGAAAATAAAGGGTAACATTTGAATTAAATGAAAAAACTAAAATATGGGTTTAAGTTCTAACAAAGAAATGCATGTGAGGTAAACTAAAAGATTTTTATTTTATAATAAAAAATAAAACTTAAGAAAAGAGAAATCAATGACTTCTCCGGGGGTATAAAGAAGGATTAACACAGAGGGTTTTTTCTGCTAGCCTGTAGGCACAAGACTGGACCAATTTACATTCATACCATAAACTGATGGTAATGGAGGTAAAACATATCCCAGAGCTCGCTGTTGGACAGAAAGTGGCATCAAAGTGCCTCAATAATTACAATTAAATATCATCTACATGCTAAATTGTATTTTAGGAGTTTTGCCAGGAAAAAAAAAAACTTTTCCATCCTGATATAACAAATGTAAACATGTTTCTTTGCTTTGGTCAATTGAGGGTAAGAATGAACATTTCATTTAATGTGGATGAGTGGAAGTGAACCACCTTGTGATACGTTGCTATGACAACCTATCAAAGACCTTAGGACAGTCTGATCAGAGCAGAGAAGATGTAAAAGGTATAAGTCCTCCCAGTTTGATTCCACGCCTTAGAAGATAGACCTAAAGTCTGTAAGTTTCCCTTACCTGGGATGATGAACCAAGGAGTTGCAGTGGGGAACAAGAAGGGTCTAGTTGTCATAGTAACCCACAATGGTGCTCTGCAGCCCTTAGGAATGACTGCCCTGTCCTTAATCACAGCTAAGTCAGGAAAACGCAGGGCTGGCATTCTAGGTGCTGCAGGAAAAAAAAAAAAACCTAATGTGAGGCATCTCTGCTTCTTTTCATATTAAAATGGCTCATATTTAAGCCCCCCTTCTGGAGAGAGAAATAAGATGTAAAACTGAAAGTTGTTCACACTGTAAAAAAATTTTGTTAAATATTAATTACAAAACATAATTAACGGTACATTCCACCAAAAAAGGCCATAAACACTTAATAAATATCAACATGTCCCCAGTTTTTTTTTTAGATAGATTCTACTACATTTTGCAAAAAAAAAAAAAAATATTTTATTATTAAGTATAATATCTTTAAAACTTAATTATTAAACATTATTTGTAGTCGTATATGAACATAAAAACTGTAGGGATTTAAAGTGGAACTTTGTGGCCGATTGTGTTAGAAAAGACAATCCCACCTTGGCTAACAGGACACTGAAACACCTTTTTCCTTTTGCAACAAACCTACCTGTGTTTGTCTGGCTTTTTTAACTTTAAAGATTAAGAAAATAAAAAGTAGAGCCTGTCAACATGTGGACTAACAGCCAAGCCCTCTTACTCTGTTCTTACCAAGAGTTTGGGAAATATTTGTCATTCAGTACAAATATAACAGTTAGGAGAGAAATGATACAAGTGTATTAATAACTGGACAGGAATAAAATTTAAAAAACACATTTTTAAAGTTGTTTTTGTTTCAGTTTGTGGATTTGGTAGCATTGTCTGTTAGTTTGCAAGGTCAATACTGTTTAGGTGGCATTGATGGAAAGTTTGGGAACGTCTGAGTATAAATATCCTGAACATCTGATCCTTTTTGAGCAGGGGTAACCAATGATAAATCAGCAGGATCTGAATAAAGAAAAACAACCAGTAAAGGTCCGGAGACATTTTTCATTTTAACACTGAAATAAAATGCAGGCGTTTATGCATCCGTTTTATACATTTAATTTTTGAATAAAAATTATAAAATAAAAAAAATAGAAAGTGTTTCCATTTTGCAATCTAGATTGTTTAAATCTAGATTTAAACAATTTTTTTAATAAAACACTTAAACTGACCTTTCTTTCTTTTTTCTGTCTTAAAGGGATAGTTCGGGATTTTTGACATGAATCTGTATGGCATCCCCATCACCAGTGTCATGCAATCACACTGACTTACCCCTGGCAGCATCCTGTGAGCAGAGTTCTCGTCCAGCTTTGGTCAAGCCGAAAGTAGTCCGGCAGGTTTGCTAGAGCCAGCGAAATAAAACGTTTCTCTTCCCAAAACATTATGTGTTCAAAAGAGTGATATTTTTGCATCCCAAAAACATTGTAGTGGAAAAAGTCACACGTCGTTATCACTTGGTCCTATTTTCTCTCTGTTCGTATCAGTGCGCGCCGTCATTCTGACAGCGAGCTCAACTTTGAGGAGGGCAGGGAAGTCGCTGTTGTTTGTGATGCAGACAGCAGCTGCTGCAACTCCGACATCCTCATCAATGGAAAGGTTCTGTATCTCGGGCATTACTAAATCCCACTCGTGGCAACAGTAGCATCCACCTCTGTCTGCATTAATTCGCACTTGAAACAAGTGCACCATGATTTGTCGGCCACCCTGGATATCGCAGCTCCAGCTGAGGCTCCTGCGGCTCCGGCTTCAGCCTCCATCACTTCTCTGTCCACCCTCTCTCTTTCTGCCCGATCTAACTCCATTTGTCGAAGTTCATCGTCAGTGTACTCGGGTTCATAAAGATATCCCTTTGGCTCTAAGTGGAAGTCGATGTTTTCCTCGTCGCTCTCGTAGTCAGACATCTTCCCCAGTAGTAAACAATCGCGAATCAAACAGGTAGGCCCTTAACCTGACAACAGCCAGATGCATGCCTCGCTCCGCCCAGCTAGGAGCTAGGCAGAGCGAGACATGCATCTGGCTGTTGTCAGGTTAGTAGGCCCTAGCTGTCAGGTCATGGTGTCGCGCGCACTGATACGAACAGAGAGAAAATAGGACCAAGTGATAACGACGTGTGACTTTTTCCACTACAATGTTTTTGGGATGCAAAAATATCGCTCTTTTGAACACATAATGTTTTGGGAAGAGAAACGTTTTATTTCGCTGGGTCTAGCAAACCTGCCGGACTACTTTCGGCTTGACCAAAGCTGGACGAGAACTCTGCTCACAGGATGCTGCCAGGGGTAAGTCAGTGTGATTGCATGACACTGGTGATGGGGATGCCATACAGATTCATGTCAAAAATCCCGAACTATCCCTTTAATGAGAGCAGTGGGCTTTATTCTGCCCTGCAAGGCTTTAAACCTGGGTTTGAACGGAGACAAAGCCATTCTAAAGCACATATCAAGGTGCTCATTCTGAACCTGGATCCATATTGATTTTTGATTCTGTTCATGGTGGAGAATCCTGCTTCACAGCAGCAGGTTGAGCCAAACACTCTAAATGTGCAGGGTCATATTTGAGCACGCCATTTTACTTTTCTTTCACCAGGTCACCAAAGTTCTTCCAGCAATCCACACTTTCTCTGCTTTCTTTTTCTCATCATCTTCTCCTTCTTTCCCATCGCCTGGCTTGCCACAGGTTTACCTGCTGTGTCTAAAAGTAGCTAACAGCAGAGACCCTGACCGACAGCTCATTGGCTCATTTGGATCACGCTCCGGAGGGCTTTACCATATTAACAGGAGAAGCGGTGCATGTGAAATTAGACACTGTAGTTGGACAACATGCAGTAATTTATAAATGTTTTAAATCAGGTTGGGTCCAGATTAGTGTGAGATGAGACTGTACCTTTCCTCAGCCAAATAGAAGTTACCTTGAACCTATCTATGCTGGAAGTTATGTGGGGAGTTGCGAGTGAGATGACGGAGAGAAGTTGCCTCCTAACTCTAGACAAGGGTGAAATATAGATACATGCCCTTCAAGATCTTTAAGACTCCCTAAGGCTATGAATGGAAGAGACAGCTGCTTTGAAATGTTGTTATCTGACTAGTGAAAAATTGATGTCTTGAATGAACTCAAAGCTGTTTCTCTTGGGAAGACCCGATGTTCATGTGTGGGAATTATCTTTATATGCAGGGGTCGGAGCCCAATCCCGCCAGAGAATCAATAACAATTTAACTGTGAGTGTTGCTCTCCTCTGCGGAGTAAAATAAAACTATTTCTTAATAGCATATCAACTCTCAGTGCTAATTTTATTGCCCATTAGCAAGTAGGTGGCTCCGGATCCGGGTCTACTAATCCGTGACCTCTGCTTTAGAGAATACAAATCTCTGCTCATTCTCCTCAGGAACAAACTTAAGTGAAACAGGTTATGTTTTTTTTTCAGGTTCTCTAAATAAAAACCCTACGATTACTACGGACTATCCAGTCTGCTACTCGGGCAAACCCAAGAAGTGTCCCTAATAAAGTGGCCAAAGACTGCAAATTAATTTTCCATCCTCTCCACTGATCTTGGAGCTTGATAAATAGTAAACAAATGGTATTCTATGCAAATCTGTAAGCTTCAGGGAAGGAGAATAAAGATTGTTGGCTTTTTTTTTGTCACTGAGGCTTTTTCAGTGGGTTCAGACTCACCTTTGGCTCTTAAAGTGGATCCATCCAGCCTGTAAAGGGAGAAAGGACGCCCATGCTTCGGGAAGCTGTGATACACTCCAAACCGATCACAGTCAAAATACGTTTGAAACTCCACAAAAACCTGTAAAATCCAGGACCAAAAGTCAAGTTTTCATACAAACAACCTGTGACCGTGTGATTTGTTTTTCCTTTTTTTTTTTACCTTGTTCAGCAGAGGCAGGTAATTTATCACACTCCCAATCTTTTTTAACTCCTCTCTGAGCTCTTTGGCATCAGTTGCTGAGATGTTCTGGATGTAAACTACTCTTTTAGGATCCATATTTCTCTGTTGATGCAGTGAGAGTAGATCGACAATCGTTGTTGTTTAATACATTAATGTTATTCTATGGTTACCAATGGCAACCACAAAGGAGAAAGTGAAAAAGAGGATTTTACCAAGACAGAGATAAATGTGTCAGTGAGTGAAGTGGAGTGTCTAATAAGTATGTTTGAGTATTTCAGCAGAGAAGTGATAAATAAAGTGAAGTAAATCAAATAGCGACAAGTCTTAATATATGAACAAAGACATTAAAGACTGCAGGCAGTGCTGTGCTTTGCGCTGGCTGTGATATCTCAACTTAATGAATACATTTACAGAGTTTCTTTTTGTTTTTTACATAACTTTAGACATAGTTATTTTTTATGTACTGATTGATTTCTATTTAATCTTTATTTATATTCACCAAAATATAAGATCTTATTTTCTAGAAATCTTGTTAATTATGTTTAACACCTGCCGGAGGATTTGCACTGGTAAGAGCCGATTGCCAGAGACCTCAAAGTTGTAAAAACCTCCATTCAATCATAAGAAAAAACATGGATAAGCAGATAACTGAAAGATAAGATTTAATATTTATACCTTTATAGAATCATGGATAATCTTGGATCTTTAATTAACCTACTGCGGCATGAAGCCATGCCATTTTTCACCCATATAACTTTGTGCTTATGCAAGCTTCATACATAAGACCCCTGATAATGTAAGAGCCTTTATGCTCCCTTAAAAAAATAAAAAAATATGTGAGGAAAGGTTTTCATGCTGACTCACTGCTTTGTCCTGCTTGTTAATCTGTTTTGCCTTAATTTAAATTCTGTTTTGAACTTTGTCTTGTAAAGATAATGGTAGAGTAGGACTGAATTTTTTCTCAAGAACATTCCAAAGATTTAAAACTTAAGATGTGATGCTTGCAACACAAATGGGAAACTTCATCTGAAACACCTAAAAAGTCTGAATTATGATTATTATATATCTATTAGGGATGCACGATATTGGGATTTTGGCCGATATCCGATATGCCGATATTTTAAAACTCATGTAGCCGATAACCGATATCCATACTGATGTTAAAGCTGGACAAAAATAAGTAGTCATTGAAAATAGCAGTTTTGTTATCCATTTCTGACACTTTGAAAAATAATAAACTCAAATATATTTTCATATGCTGATATCAAATTGATTTTTAAAAACGCGGTATCGATCTATTTTACTTTCAAAATCTTGTGAAAATTCATTGTTCTGTTACAAACTCTCGTGATGTTTTGCAAATTCTTGTGAGATTTTGTTAGTAAAATAGATCGATACCACGTCAATATATCAACATATAAAAATATGGCAAAATTTCGTGAATTTTCGAGGGATTTCGTAGCATAACGATGACATATAGCAATATTTCATTAGTAAAAGAGATTGATATGGTGTTTTTAAATGGCAATATATCAGGATATGAAGATATTGTGATATTTTAATGTATCAATATTTTTTCCTTCGTCTTTAGAAGTTTTTAAGTCTGTAAAAAAGAAGTTTTTGAGGAAGAAGAAGAAGTAGTATATATATATATATATATATTTTTTAGACTTTAGAAACTCAGAAGCTGATCAAATATCGGGTTAAATATCGGTGGGGTGGCCGATGTCCGATATTCAGTTTTAAGGCCGATACAGGCCGATACCAATAGGGGGCAGATTATATCGTGCATCCCTAATATCTATATCTCTACTTTAATTTGTCTGGGACAGTTTTAAAAACAAAATCCTTTTATTCTACTAACGTTTAGTACATCATTATTTATTATTACCTTTTTCATTTTTGAATTATTTGAATTACTAGTGTGATTTTATCATTTTATTTGATGGGACTGTATGTACGTTTTCAAGCATAGCTGTATATAAACAAAGAAGAATGTGAGCATCCACAAGCAGGAAACCTGAACTCCATCACCTCTGAGATTATGTCTGCATTGCCAGTAGCAAAGGAATCAGAACATAAAAGTTGGCTGTGGAGTTTGTCTTGTTTCCTCATGCTTTTATTGGTTTTTCTCCAGGTATTTAGTTTTGGACACCATTAATAGAAGATGCTTATAGGTTATATGGCTGCTCTAAATGGAATTTAGGGTTGACAAAATGTACCTCTGACTTCCCTGTGTGTCTAGAAAAAGGCCGAACCTCATGCAGCTGTGCAAGGTTTAAACAGGTGGAGCAAACAGATCGGTACCATGCAGGTGATTGTTATGGTTAAAGAATGAACATATGGAAAAGTAGGAGTTTTAAAGGTAAATAAAGTCTTTTTGAATTTAGCTCATCCATGTGCTTCTTTAATACCAAAATTATCCTGTTTATGTGTGATTTCTGTTTACGGTCGAAATAGTTATGAGAACACATTTATCCAAAAAAGTAGAAAGAAATTAGAATATAAGTCAGAGAGATTGAGATACTTACGATTGTGGTGAAACTCACTAAGAATTTATAAACCTCAACCTGAGAAAAACAGACAAAATTAAGTCATTATCTTATTTCAAGTCATATTTAAGTTTGAGTGAAACTTTCTTATTAGTTTATCTCACAGCTATTGTCAGTTACATCATTGGGATTTAAATGTTCCTTTTATTTAAAAACGTCAATACAACATACAGATAATCAGTGAAACACCAACAATGGGAAATCTGTGTTTCTGTCAAACTTACAATATTTGGGGGTTTAGGGTTTTCTATGACACAGAAGCTGAGCTTTGACCCTTTGAGGAAGATGCTCTTTTTGGCCAAAAGAAACTTCTGCACTTCTTTCATATTTGGAGAAAATACAAAAGCCTAAAAAAGAAAGAAAAAACAAAAAACAAAGGTTGGTTTATTTTTCACAGTGAGGCAGAAAAAACAAACTTAATGCTGAAATGGGCTGGTGAGAAAGACGAGCGTGGCACCTACTGTTCGAGACTGAGGAACGATGAAGACTTTTTCATCTTCACAACCAACACCAGAGTTTTGGAGCAAACTGATGACTTCGGCCTCCGTGTAGCAGCCGTCTCTAAACTCCGGTAGGTTGGATATAACCAGAGTCGCACTGAGAAAAAGAAACTGCAGACAAACAACAGAGTAATGTTATATATTTAGAACTTAAACATAAATGAAATCATTTATGATTAACATAAATTTAATTTAGCATAAAAAAGGCAAACATAGCAGCAATTAGAAGACATAAAAATTTAAGTAACACAATGGCTCCACAACATAGTGAACGATTGACCTTTGATTGACATATTTTGCTGGCCAATAAGATGATATATCTGAAGTGCAGGGGGCGGGCTGAAAACATAGGATTCATTTACCTCCATAAGGAGTGAGAGGAGAACCTAGCAGTTACTCACGGAGTGGACTTTCACTCTTCAAGATAGGAAATATTGTATATAAAAATAAATAAATAGCTTGAATAAAAATTTGAGTAAATCTAAACATAGGAAAGTGTTTTTTATGGTCAAATTAGTCATAAAATTCAAATAATCCATTTTGTAAAATTTGGCCCAAATTTTGCACGATAGTGCTGAATGGATCTTTTACATACAAAAAGCATCATAGTTTCACAATGCTTATGACAAGAGATCTGACATTTTACACAGTGGTTGTCCGCAGCATGAAGAACAAGTTTAGTAAGTGGGAGAGGTCAGCTATGAATTATACAAAAGACATAAAACAATTCTAGGGGTGAAAAAAAAAAGTTTCTTTTGAGACATGTTGGCTCTGGTTGTGTAAAACTGAAACTAGAAGGTCTTAACTTTCAAATGAGATATATTACAAGCACGTGGGATATATAATTTTACTGGCCAGTGGCATTTTTGGTATGCAATAGGTTTGTGCAAATGCCATAAAAATGTGGGTGTTAAGGGGGATTAAACTCCTTCCTCCTAATTCTACACACTAACCCTTCTTCAGTCTTTGGTAGCTGTTCTGTTGCGTTTCTATAAGTTATTTTCTCACACATTTACATTTTTTGTTTTATTCTATTAGGGCATTTGCTAACAAATGTATTGAGTTGAGAAAATAAAATCACAAAGGTGATTAGAACATGTTTGAACTATAATTACCACTAATTAGTTGTGAACTAAATTAACAAAAAAGCTTTAAGTAACAGTTTTTCCAAACAGAAAACTAAAGCTACAATAGGACTGAAAAAGACCTGGATATCGACATATTTACTTTATTCATATTAAACCCACATATTAAGAAAAAAAACACTGTAAAAATAATTTACATGGACCTGAGCTTGTTAAACTAAACTCACTTTTGATGAAGACACAGCCTCAGAGACCCGTTCTGTTAACAGAGATAGAAATTAATAAGAAGTTTAAACAGGAGTGATTTTAGAGATATGGCTGAAATCTGGAGATTTCTTACTGAATGCCGTCGTTGCGTTCAGGAAGATTTCCATCTTTTCTCCAGGAGTTAAACACGTGGCTGCAGTTTTGTCAAACGCACTAACTGGTTTTGTCAGAGACAAACCTCCGTCCGCCTTAGATGCTGATCTCCCCAGAAAAGCTTTAAAAAAAGAAAAAAAATAATATTTTTGTGCATTCTTCAAAAAGCAGATAAGAACCAACGTTAAACAAACTATTCAATTAGGTTCCCAATCTATTAATTCAAAGAGGGGCCATGGGAAGAGAACAAATGCTGGAAGACAAAGCAGAAGGGAGGAAATCAAAGTAACTTGTTGGGAAAAAAACAAACCCTGACACCTCGAACCAAAACAAGCAACCTGCAGCTTCAGCTCATACTAAAGGCTGTGCCCATTTAGACTTTTGTTTTTTAACTATGCAGCACATAATATTCATTAGGGATTTTACTACCATCACTATGATTTCAAATGAGCAGACATTGCAGCACAGTAGACTGGTTGAACCTACTGAATTACATTTAAAAATGGTCAATTAGCATCAACTGTCATTCTTGTTCTACCAATCAGTTGTTGGTCTGAAATAGCTTCCTAAAAACAACCGACAAACTCAAATCCCAGGATTTGAAAAGGTAAATTTCCCTCTGCAGCAGCAGATTATAGCTTAACATCCAACTTAACTTTTGGCACTAACAGAAAAAGTCTAACAGGGTTTTAAATGTAGTCTATTTGTATATCATAATGACTGCATTAGAAATTGATTTTAATTAATAAATCTTAATAAAACATAATGCTGTCAAATATTTATTTATTTTAGTGAATCAAACTAAAATTTAAGACTTACTCTGCATTTTTCCACACAGTGGAATATATCAAGCATTTGTTTCTAATAATTTTGATGATTATTGCTAACAGCCAATCAAATCACAGTATTCAGTTTGTCCCAAAGCTAAAAGATTACATAAAAGAATAAAGCTGACTGACAGCTTTATAGTCACTAAAACAAAGAAGGTTAGATACAAAAATTCATGAACCATAAAAGAAAATTTAGTGGAGGGAAAAAAAGGAGGAAGCAGCTGTTGCCTTTTAAAGGCACACTATGCAACATTTTTCAGTTAATTAATGTGTTCCATAACGTTATGGATGACTAAATGAGTCATTTCAGGTTGAACAAAGGTATTCTCGGCCGCCCTGGTGATCTGTGGGGGAAATACTGCACTTGCAACTGCAGGAGCACCGACCCGCACCCACAGGCTCAGAAGTCTCGTGAGAGTCAGTCTTGCTTTACGGCGAGAACTGCTACACGCCCCCAGTTAAAAGCATTCTCGTTGCTAGCACAGTGGCAATCTTTGTGCAGTTATGCTACGTTCACGCAGCAAAAGCAGCAAAATCGCGTCTGCTGCTTCATTTTTGCTGTTTGTACCAGTTAGTTCTGACGCGCGGCTGAAGCAGCTTTGCTGCTCTGGCTGCGCGGTGCAAAAGTGTGTCTGACGCGCGTTGGGCGGAGCTTCACTATCCTTTCTCTGCCTTGCAGCTATATTTGCTGTGATCAGTGGGAATAAAGTAGTTTTAATATGTGTTTAAGTGAGAAAATACACCTGAAAACGTAATCAGTGCAGTCAGTTCATTCAGATTATTATCCCGCCTTCAATATTTTTTCTGTCGGAGCCGCTCAGACCCCCACATACCAGGTATGCGCCGACAGCAGGGATCCCGTCATCAGCAGCCTCTGGCCGGGTTGCCTCCTCGCAGTTCACCGCGGCAGCTGGTAGGTGTTTTTCATCTAAATAATCCAAACTGCATATTCTGCCGGCAGATTTCTGCATTTTCAGTTAATTTAGGCGTCAATAAACTGTTTAAGAGGAGTGATCATCAGCGCTGTGTCTCTCTCCCTGCGTCAGATGCTTAAACGCGCTGCTTCAGCTGCTCAGACGTGCTGCGCCTGCATCTCAAAACGCGCTGCAGGACCTTTTGCTGCGCCTTGACGCGCATCAACCATTGACTTTGCATGTAAACTCGCTGCTTCTGTCGCGCCAGCTATGTCCAGTGTGAACGCAGCATTAGTCATTCGCTGCTAAGCTCAAAACAACCGCGCCTGGCTTGACGGAGAAACCAGGAGAACAGCTGAGCATATTTACGACAGTGCACTTTTACTTTCGCCCTCTGGGGGGAGCCTCCCTGGAAAATCAACACCGGTTGCATAGTGTACCTTTAAGTAATTTAATCTTTTCTATATTTCGTCTAGTGCTGAAACAATTAATAGTATTAATCTGATTAATCGATTATTGAAATAATCATCAACTAATTTAGTAATCGATTAATGGTTAAATGGGTTATAGTGACTGTAAAACATGACTTTAGCTGAAAGAGCAGTTATTATACCAAAATGGTAAGAAAATATTTTAACATTTTGCATTCAAGATAAAAAAAAAAAAAATCTTTCAATATGCTCTATCCAGAACTCCTCAAGTGGAAAAGTTTTATTTTCACCTGGCTTAATTCTTTAAAAAAAACAAAACATCTTCTTTAAAGCATTTTTGGCTATCCGATTATTAATCAATTAATTCAAAAAGTAATTGACAGATTGCAAAATAATCATAAGTTGCAGGCTTAATTTCGATGTTTTTCTATTATCATCTCATAATCTTTAGTGTTCATCTTTCTATTTTTTACAGGTCCATCATTTAAGGTTAAGGGATTTCTGTTTATTGGGGCTTAATAGTACTTTCTATTTTCTTAAAACAAAATCATATTTAACAATTCCTCTAAAGAAAAAGAGGATTTCCAAATAAAACACAGATAGAAGTTTCCATGCAGCCCAAACTACCTGATGTTCCTGATGTCTGCTGCTGATCTGGAGTGACTGCTTTGGTTTTCTGCTCTGCTTCTGGCAAAGAAGGGCCTGGGTTTGGCTTTCTGCTCTCCTGGACCTCTGCTGGGGTTTTAACTGGGACTTCCTGGGTCGTAGTCTGTGGTCCTTGCGCTAAAGACGTCACAGGTTTATGTGGTCCAGTTTCAGGTTTAACTTCTTCTTTGGCCTCAGTAGAATTCTGTATCAAAGCTGTTTCCTTCAGCTCTGATGATTTGGCATCTGTGCTACACTCTGGCTGAACATCATCTTTAACCATTTCTGCCTGTTTCTTCTGTTCAGGCACTGCTTTACTTCCTGTATCTGTAGCCTCATCCACAGATTCTTCAACTTTTCCAGAGACACAGACTTCTTTTTCTGAAACTGTAGACCTGGGCGGCACATTTCTGTCCTCTGCTTGAGTTGCTCCTGACTTTTCTTCTGCCCTAACCTCTGTTTCAGACAGGTTCTCCTTAGAGGTCAGTGGTGTTTTTGTTTCTGAGGCTACATCTTCTTTCCCTGTCGAGACCACGTCAGGATGCTCTGCAGGTTGTTGTGCATCAGGTTGCCTCTTTTCACCAGAGACATCAGCATCAGCTTCCCTTTTTCCAGTCCGGGTCCAGATGTCTTTGTTGTCCAGTTCAAGGTTGAGCGTGATCTCTGCGCAGTCGTTGAGACGCCGTTTCAGACTCTTCACGCTGAAATTAAAGATATTTTGTGAACCTAATCTTATATTAAAATAAGATAAAAGTTTCTTTGATAGTAAACCGGTTAAACAGTTGAGCCAAAATGGTTTAAAATAAAATACTCACGTTTCGACGCATCGAATGTTTGCCCTGTTTTGGGGGGAAAAAAACAGTCAGTTAAGATTTTTAGTGGCATAAAAGTGGTAAAAACACTAAACTTTAAATTACTTCTTCAGTTACGTCAATACATACCACTCCTTAGGGTAAGGCGCTTGTGAAATCCTCTCCTGCACTAGTGTTACGCTGCTTGGATCTTCCATCTCAATGCATATCTGACACAGAAACACAATCATGAGCATCAAAACAGGAAACCAGCTGCATCATAAAAAGTCTTTTACAATGAAAATAGCCCAAAATGTGTCCAATTCCTTTGGTTTTAATATCCAAAGATACTTTAAGTTAGTATTGAATATTTATAAGTCATAATGAGATAAAGCGTTCATTATGCATAAGGCTAATTTGAAGTATTATTAGTAAATCTAAGAAGCAATTAGTCAATTTTGGAAATAATGAAGTCCCTCTCTGTGTTTTATATTCAGTGATCCTCTACTTTATCAGAGAGAAGCTCAAGGTGTCTGTGCAGCTATCAGACTTTACAATGCAGCATTATAACTGCAATAACTAATGTGCAATTACTTCTTAATACCCTGTGCAATGATCCGGTCAAATACATATATGTGTCACCCGTTAGATATGTATATATGCACCTTTTCCTCCTTTTCGCACCTTATTTTGACTATGGAGCCAATGTGACAAGTGAATTTCTCCACTATGAGAACAATAACGTCTAATTTATCTGTTCGGTTTTCATACCCTGTTGGCGAGCGGCAGAAAACTGACGAGCGGCGCAATGGACGCCACTTTTCTCAAGACGTTACCGATGAGGTACACGGAAATCTCAGAAAGAACCACGAGCACCAGTCGCTCCTCCAGGGACTCCAGCTCTGGAACATGCTGGAAAATAGTGGACCATGTTAATTAAACAAAAATAAAAAAAACGGGTTAAGAAGTAATAAAATGTTGGTGAAGGAACAACCAACTCACAGAATTGCTCCATTTCATCAAGTTCCTGTACATTATCTCCTATAAAGAAAAAGAAACATAAAAAAATAAGGGAAACATTTTAGAGTCCCTCAAAGTTCAGATCCAAATTATGATTCACAAGAGATCCATCACCAAGAATATTATTTAGAAGATTATTCGATTCAGTATTTCTTTCAAATGGGTTCAAAACAATCAACAAACACTGACATAGTTTAAATTTCTCTTATTTCTATTAATATGGCCAATATCAAATGAAAAAAAACAACTTTTGTTTTCCTCACTATAGATCAATTAAGATTAGACGTTTGCCAATACAAAGTCAGATACTTTAATGCTAAGATATCTTTTATGACTTAGGATTAAAATGCTGTAAAATTTAATTTGCATTGTTTTCTAGGACAGGGCAAAATATATAAAAGGTAAAATATTGAGATTTTCCTTCAAAAGTGATAAGATGGGATTATGTTGTTTAAATCACAATAATCTGTGCTGCTCATACTTCAAATTGTATATATTTTCAGCCATTTCTAAAGCTGTAAGTCCAAAGTGTGACAATGGCAAAATATATATATATATATATATATATATATATATATATATATATATATATATATATATATATATATATATATATATATATATATATATATATATATATATATATATATATATATATATAAAGCTGTGATTTATAATTGCTTTATGAAGATAAAAACAAATCAAATATTGTAGACTGCAGTGCTGTTTGAAAATAATCATTTTGATCCTGGTTTCATGCCACACATTTAAATCTTTAACTTTATCAAATCCGACCCTGCATAGCAGCTATTCAGTAAACTCTCATGTATTTTCTACTAGCTGTTTAACTTGGTTTTGTAAAGCTAGAGTAGGCTATTGATACTCTGTTTTCTCTCCTTTTTGATTTGACTCATTGGTAAATTAAGCTTAAACACATTTACCTGGAATTCAAGTAATTTTGTGCAAAAAAAATAAGTGAAAAAAAAAAAGTGCACCAAAGCCTGGTGTTTCTTCTGCTGTCTGCACAGAGCAGGTTTAACCCTTTATAGGTCAAGTTACCATTTCTGATCACTTGCATAATGCATACCCCTTACAAATCGAGTCCCGTCCCTGAGTGAGATTTTTGTGTTTTTCATTAAATTCTTCTAGAACAGGGGTCACCAACCTTTTTAAGGCTGAGGGCCACTTCAAGGGTACCGAGACGTAGGAAGGGCGACCATTACTGACCCATGAGCTGCAAGGGTTAACGTTAGCCTAAACTTTGTACATTATCAACATTTTCATTGTTTCTGTTAATTTCTAAGTTTATTTAGATGTTGTCATTTTTGAAATCTCTATAAATGATTAAAAAGAAGAGCAACAGAATACAATAAAATTTTATTTAGAAGGCTCTGAGGGCCCCCCATGTGGTCCTTGAGGGCACCTTGGTGCCCATGGGCACTCTGTTGGTGACCCCTGTTCTAGAAGCATTTTTGTTATTTTTCTTAATATATTCGGGCAAGTTGGCGTTTCTTGTATTACATAGACATTAATTTTTGCCATCAAAATATCCATATTTTTGGAATGTTACAAAGGTAATAAGTTCTAGTCCTGGATTGGCTTAAAATGTAAATTTTCAAAGTTTTTCACTGAGTGCCCAAAAAGGTTTAAGCTTCATGTAAATGTAGCTGCATTTTTAATCATAAAAAACAGACTTTGCTAGCATCTAGAATTTGTAGCTGCAAAGCTTTTCAACAAAATTATTTTCTTTCTTATTTGTTACAGAATACTTCAGCCAACTTCTATGGTCTGTTGGAGCAGTGGCTACTCTGTAGCGGAGAGAAAGCGGCTGGATAAGCTGATCAGGAAGGCCAGCTCTGATTGGATGCCTTCTAGACTCTGAGTGCAGAAGTTGGGAAAGAAAAGGATCCTAATTAAAGTAACATCTCTGTTGGATAATGTCTCCCACCCCATGCATGAAGCTGGTGCTGAACTGGAGAGCTCCTTCAGTGACAGACTGCTGCACCCTAAATGCTCCAGTTAGCATTATCACAGATCTTTCCTGCTAATCATTCATGCAAATATTTGCAATTTCTATCTTAGTCAGTTCAATAACATGCTGCTGTCATTTTGCACGTCTCTGATGTTGCTGCTATTTTTCACATACCCATTACTGTAAAAATGTCCATAGCTTTTATTGATATGTAATCTCCAGATACACAGTATTTATATTTTTTAAAACACTGTAGACTACAGTATTTCATTTGTTTATTTAATTAACTCTTTCACTTATTGTGTTATTTTTATACACTTTTTCAAAAGTAAACAATTGTGTAACCATTTCTGCTAGAACCTTTTGCTGCTAAATCGCCACAATTTCCCCAATATAGGACAATAAAGGGCTCTTCTTCTCTATTCTATTCAAACCTGAAGTTCTGAACTGAAATGCTAAAACATCTTTTGGCCAAATAGGTGCCAAGAAAAAAAGACCTGATCCTGCACATCTCTCACAGGAGAAATGCATGATACAGACACAATTATTTTAACCTGTAGAATAATAGGGCAGCTTACCTCGCTGAGTCCAACAGGCATTTCCTGTAAGACTTGGTGGACGTACAGCTGCTGGTCTTTGATGGAAGCAGGACATTTGAGGAAATTTTCCACAAAACTGCAGCAAGAATTCCAGTCATTGAAATGCACAAAAGCCTGGAAGAGAGGTAAAGCATACGGTCATTTATAGTAATAGAGATAAGAAACCAGAGCTGGTTACCAGCTGCTTACCCTCCTCTGCAGAGGTAGAACCACAATGTTGTAGAGCAGAGTCTGAAGGTTCTGTTTGGGGAAATAGCTCCACACCAGCTTGGCAATGTCTTCGTGTTTGTAGTTTCCTTCAGGTAAACATGTCAACATGATGGTGGAGGACTTTTTGGCCTTAGAGGCAGGTGTCTGCAGAAGGAGGTGGTCAGAAATAAAAGGTTTTCTTTCAGGAACAGAAATCTGTTTCCTTATCAGAAGTTAAAGACATAGAGGACCATCATTTATTTCTGGGTGGATCATATGAATAAGTGGTCCTCCTAATTGTCAATCATTCCGGTTATATGTTTAGGTAAGGCCGTCCTTCATCCTAGTCCCATTAGCTATCTTTTTCTCCGCATGCGCAATTTCAGTCGTATATCTGTGATGAGCTACGGTTTCAGACAGTCATTAAAGCTCACCTTTGGCCGAAGGTGGTAGGAGAAAAAGTGTCTACGAAGTGTATGAGAAGAAAAGAAAGGCCTCAGAAGAGGCAGATATATCCCAGAATGCTTTGCACGGAGAGCTCACCTCGCATAGCAATATGGCAATTGCTGTCATAATGGCCCACTGTCACCATAGGCTGTCGCTACCCGACAGCGGCGACTATTAACAAAGATGGCGCAGGCACCACGCAGTGAAGGAGGAGTTATACGACCAACTGGGAGCAAAAAGCAGTGATCATCTGGTCGGTTAACCGAGTTCACTATAAAGTCCACTATATAGTCCCCGCTCTATATAGTAATTAAGGTGGACATTAGGGCACAGTAAGCTTGTATGAGCTATGAGAACACGAGGAAAAATGGGCTCATGGATGCTCTCACACACGTTTAATAGGCGTTTCCTCTTCGGAGCAGGTACAGGATTGTGCATGTGTATTTTTTGTTTTTTAAGTGGAAAGGGCAGAAAAATCCTCAAATATACCTTTAATGAAGGATACATTTTTTTGAAAAAAAATATTTAAAAAAATAAATAAATATGCTAAATACAAAAGGTGCTAAAATAACACTCACCCACATGTCTCTCTTAGTCTTGATTGTACTAAAATCTAAAAGAAAAGTGTAAAATTACTAATTACTTCTTCAGATCATACACAAGTTTTTATTTGCATCTTTAAATTTCTCTCACTTGGGATGATGAACCAGGGAGACGTGGTCGGGAAGATGAAGGGATCAGTCATCAAGGTGACTGAAAATGGTGCTATGCTGCCCGGTGGAACGCCAAAGCTTGTTACCGGGACGACTGCTCCGGTTACCATATCTACGCTGTCTGGCAGAGCCTTCAGTGCCAGCCGTGGTGCTGCGTTCAGAAACACAAAGAAAGGCAATTAGTGTGTTCAAATCAATCCTGAGATATAGATATAAATGAAAAGGGCATTTAACGCAGCTGAATTTAATTATCAATCATGACTGAGTCATTATTTCATTTATTGTGTACTTTTAGCGACATTATTACAGCTGGTTGGTCTGATATTCTTATTCCTAGAAACATGGATATCCTTCTTTCCAATAGGACTTCAATAAACAAAGGAAGCTCTGGAGATAAACTTGATGACGATATCTTTAAAAACCTGATTTTTGTTTATAAATGATGCCTTTACTTTCCTCATGAAACACAACCCCTTAAAGTTAAAAGTTAATTCTATATTAAAATGTTTTAACGCATAAAAATATATAAGTACTTCCTATTTTAAATATGCACCAACTGAAATTTTTCAAGAAAACATTACTGCTATTGTAATTTCTTTCAATAGTGTAAATTGTCAGAATGGCATGTGGTGCCACTTCGTGTCCAGCATAAATAACTTTCAGGTAAAGGTCATTAAAATGACTTTAAAAGTATCAATATGCATTTTCTTCCATTTTTGGTAGTTAATGTAATTTGCAGTCCCATAATTTCAAACTACTATTTCTATTGCTGTCATGATTATCATTAGGATATATCCCAACTTTTATTTAATTTGAAAATATCAAATGTGGGTTGAACAATCATCTGGTGCGGCCATTGCAGAGGCTTTAAGTTATAAATATGTGTCCTAAATTGGTCATATTTGTGCTTTTATAATGAACTGATAGTTTCTATAATCACGGCTTCTTTAAATTGGCCACGAGTTGTTTTCACTACTATTAAATATACAATGTTTTACCTCATTTCTACACAATACAAGAAAAAAAATATAAGCAGCAATGATTGGGGCCTGTAATTCAACTAATTACACTGCAGACTTTGTGACCTCAGGACTTGATGCTAGTTATTTTAAATGATTCCTCAGGCCAATATACAGCGCTCGACTAGGGCTGGGTATTTTTCGCCAAAGTCCTGAATCGATTCGATTTTGATTAATGCAGTTCTAAATCGATTAATTTCGATTCGATCTGTTTTTACAATAATGAAAGTGGTTCAACTGTGTTTTAAAATACTCATGTAATTTGTTTTTTCCTGTCACATTAAACACAAAGTGCAAACTTGTAAATCCGACAGTTTAAACATGAGATGTGAACAAAACTGTCTCAAAAGTGCGAAATTGTTTGTTAAAAGTGAAAAAGTGAAGCTTCACTTGAGCAAGCAGACATGACACAGCAGACATAAATGAGCTGCATTATCTTCAATGCACAAACCATATTTGTAGCGTTGTCTGTAACAACTACAGGGTGCTTTCTGCTCAACACCCATTTGTTAAGATCTTCAGTCAACCTATTGGGTATATTTGCAGCTGTCTGGCTTGAAGTCATCTTGAGTGCATCTTTCCTGCTTATTTGAATGTGAACGTCACGCATCTCATTCCTTAGACATCCATTTTGCAAAAACGTAAAGGAATCGATTAAAAATCGATTAAATCGTTTTTTTTTACCTAGGCCTACGCTTGACACTATCAATGAAATAACAACTACATACCGGTAAGTTGGGAGACGACACACCGTCGTTGGCTTATATATTCCTGGAGCTCAGGCTATTTTTCTGCCTGCGCTACGATTGGTAAAAGCTGAGGCAAAGAAAAAGTTTAAATCTTCTTAGGAGTCGTGAGCTGTATGCCAAAATCATCCATATTAAGACAATATAAGTCCTGAAATATTTCAGTTAGTGTGCAATGAATCTAAAATATATGAATGTTCAAGTTTTATCATTACATTATGGAAAATAATGAACTTCATCACAATATGCTAATATTTTGAGCAGGACCTGTAGTTCTTACATGATACGTGCTTTTCACAGAATAAACACAAGCAATGATTTCCCCAGATTTGAGGCTTACGTTGAGACTTGCAGCTTCCCCGGGGAAGTTTCATCCTCTGGACTTTATGTGCAGGGCAGCGTTTCAGGAGGCTGTACCAAACTCCGATTCGATCAGCATCACGGGCCGACTCAAACTCTACAAACACCTGGACATTCAAAAAAGTCCCAGCAGAGTCAGGCTGGATGAATTTGACCTGAACAAATGCAGTAAGGGTGTATGTTTGATTCTACCTTGTTGAGCAGAGGGAGGATGTTTTTAACAGAATCCATTTTTCTCAGAGTTTCTCTGAGCTTCAAGGTCTCACTCGGCGAGATGTTCTGGATGTAGATCGTACTGGTCCCATCATCTTTGACCGGCTGTTCAAGAAAGGAAATAAAAATAAAAAGGATTTTTTTTCTTTTTTTAACCTTAACAGGTTTATTACTTGTAGATTTTGAGTAACAGATTAAGCTGGGAGGCTGGTAGCCTGGTGGTTAGAGCAGTGCGCTTGCGCTCTGAGAAGGTTGCAAGTACCTGGTTCAATCCCTACAGCCTGCATTCTGGGTCCCTGAGCAAGAACTTAACCCTACACTGCTCCCCGGGCGCCGCACAATGGCAGCCCACTGCTCCCCAAGGGGATTGGTTAAAATACAGAGAGTTAATTTCTCCAATATGAGATAATAAAGTTCAGTTATCATAAGAGAAAATCCTTAGTGGATGAAAAAACTATGGAAAAAACTGATAAAATGGCAGCATTTTGAATTAGATAGTAGTAACCAGTGACGTGCGGTGAGGTTCATAGCTGGTGAGGCACTGACGTCATCAGAATCAGATTTGCAAATAGATGCATAGATTGACAGCAGTTTACAGGTTATGTTTCACTTCTGCATCCTTACACATACAAACTGTAGCTCACAAAACACACATTTCCTTAAAAAACAAAACAAAATAAATGTTATTACTGTCTTACCTTTACTTATAAATGAATAGAAGTCCTCCTTATCTTCCTTCAGTTTTAAAAGTCTCTCTGTCTCAATGGAGATCACTGCCAGGGAAGAAAGCCTTCCTTGATCCGTCCTGTTCCTGCCTTATGTTTTCAGTCTCTTGAGCACCCCCTGCCATGAGGCAAGAGAACTGCCTGCCTCACCTCGAACTTGTTCTCTGCCGTTTATAATCGCTCATTACACGAAACACGTTACACAAACACAGTTGGTGACAAAAAGCTCTGTACATTATATACATAAGCCAAATTATTAGAAATAAGTTCACATATTACATTTGTTTAAACCATTTTATTGACGCCGTACAGCAACATGCTCTCTCCGCTTTGCAGCCAGCGCAGAGCCAGGGGTTGCGCAATCCAAGGTGAGGCAGAGCTCGCTGCTGCCTCACCGGCATCGCTTCCAAGCATTTGAATGGGAAAATAAGAAAATTCAGCGATTTTGAACAAATAAAAATCGAAATTGGTGAAGCTACATGAAAAATTAATATTTTTTAGTACAAACCACCGGATGAATATAACAATTTAAATTACTTTATGATTATATATTTTCTTTCTTTCCATGATGGCTGGTGAGGCACTGCCTCACCTGCCTCCCCTGACCGCACGTCACTGGTAGTAACATTAATACTTATACAACCTAACTGAAAAAAAAGTTACGATGTGGTGAAAAGAACCACAAAACATCTGAAACTACCTTCTACAAAAACCTTTTTTCCAACCTAATGCAAACAATTTTCTGACCATATTGATATCATTATATCTCATTTTGTCTTCTTGATGCTAAAGCTAATCCGATTAAGCAACAGTTTCAATGTGACATTTTCCAACTTTAACCTTTAACCAAATCCAGATCGCAGTGAGGTCACAAAGGACCAAAATGATCCCAGTCTGGAGAAAAGGAGAGAAATATCTGGAAACAGACCAGAGCACAGGATGGGAAGAGCTCGTGAAGAAAGTCGTAGTTACTTACAAAACCGACCAGTTCCATCAGAGACTTGTAGAATTCCAACTGAAAGAAGAACAGAATCGTTTCGTGATTAATCCGGTTTAGTTTCTGCTGTGTTTAAACTACTTAAACTGATAAATGTTGATCATTTTGAAGTGATGCTTAGTTTAAATAGCATTCATGGAGAAATGATAGAACAAAAGAAGAGGAGAAGCTGACCATCACTTCCTGAAATAATTTCATTTTATGTTAGCTCATTCTGTTAATTTGCTGGTAAAAAAACACGTCCCCTCTCCTAATCTTTTATGACTTTTAAAAAGATAATTTCATAGAAAACAGCTGATGTCAGTTATAAGTAATCAAAACAGAAGCCGTTTGTGTGAAAAGTTTTGCTGTGTTTATCAAAGATAATTTAACTGATCTAGCATTTTGTGTTGCACCAAAGGTTGCTTTTTAAGTAAAAGTGACTAGATGGATGTGGTCTTATTATATTATTATTAAAATAAACAATACATGTTTTAACCTGATGTTTTCAAATGCAAAGAAAAATATATTTAATTAATTTGTGCATAATATTTTTCTTATTAAAAACATCAGTAACTTTCCAGCACTGCTCTAAATAACCATGTATCTATTTCAAATGAACCAATATGTTTGAAAATGAACAAAAATTTAGATTTAATACATTAATCTGACTTACCGGTTCCATAAAAATCTTGCTGGTGACAATCTGGACACAGAGTTTGGATCCAATTAGAGTGAAGGAACCACTCTGGGAAGACGTGAAAACATTTTGTGCGCATCGGAAATTGGGCATAAGTACAAATGCCTGAAAAGAAAAGAAAAAAAATAATTTGTTTAGGCTCTCCTAGAGCATTAAGATTAACCTATAACAACTTGTTACCTCTAGGGATTGACTTCTATAATTCTACATTATTAGCAAGTCCAGGAGATAGTTAAAAGCCTTCAGCTGATCCAAAATTCTGCAGCCAGAGTTCTGATGAAAATTAAAAAGAGAGATCATATCTCTCCTATCCTGGCTTCTCTTCATTGGCTTCCTGATAATTCCAGAATAGAATTTAAAATCCTCCTTCTCAAATATAAAGCCTTAAATGGCCAAGATCCATCTTATATCAGAGATCTGATTGTTCCTTATGTTCCTAACAGAGCACTTCACCTTAATCTGCAGGTTTACTAGTGGTTCCTAGAATTTCTAAAAGCAGAAAGGGAGGTAGATATTTTAATGATCAGGCTCCTCTCCTGTGGAACCAACTACCAGTTTTAGTCTTAAACTGTTTTATCAAAAAGGAAAAGTTTTAACTATCTCTATAGTTATGCTGCTATAGGCTCAGACTGCTGGAGGACATAGCATAGTCCTCCACACGTTCAGGTACTAGCGGCTATCCAGCAAGTACCCATATAAAACATACATCTACGGGTAGTAAAAGCCCCATATTATTTCACGGGTGCAGGCATGGGGATAAATGAACGAAATGTGGGTATCAGCATTAAAGCAATAATGAAATGATTCATTTACTCTACATCTTAAAATAAACTGATTCAAGAATATCCAGATAAGACAATTTTTTAATGCAACAAGGCAAACTTTCTTACTTCAGCCAATTTATAGATGTTAATCTGTGAGCGCAGTTCACACTGGATGCGAGCGTGAGGCAATGTTCTTTATTGCCTCTATTATTATAAACAGCTGTGTGTACACTTTGTGATCACGGGTCGGGTTGCACTTTATTATTTACGGGTCCTTGCGGTCCCGGCCGGCTTTTAAATGGGGATAATTGCGGCTAACAGGTCGGGTCTCGGTTCTGAAGTGTGCAGGTGTGTGGATACAGTTTTGGAAAAATCAGACCCATGCAGGACTCTGGGACATAGTGTTCCATTTTCATTATTCTGCTTCACCGTTCAGCAGGATTTGTTTGTTTAAAGGGGATGGATATTTCTTCCTATTAGAAAGGGAGGTTTTCCTCTCCACTGTTGCTGTATGCATGCTCTGTGTGAGGGATTGAGTCCATGATACATTGTAAGCAAATATCTGGTGTCACCGGATGAAAAAAAAAAACAATCTGACGTTATGACTGGATTGAGTAGTCTTTGTAAAGTGCCTTGGGATGACATGCAGAATTGTGAATTGGAACATATCAATAAACTGAACTGAATTAATGTTAAACTTGGGCCTACCATGCACGCCTGAGGAATCACGTAGATGTTTTTTTGTTCGTAATGGAATCCAAACTTCTTGAACAGATCTGCAACGTCACTTTCAGAGTAGCAGCCATGGTAATACTTTGGCAGGTTGCTTATTAATAATAGTCTTGTGTAGTTAGAATAAAACTGGAAGAAAAGAAAAAAAGAGTCATAAAATATTTGTTTTAGCTTTTAAACAAATCCATCCAAGTCTGATTTATTTGTAAAATTCAGAGCAAAAAAAGAAATAAAATGTATACAGCAAAGATATTATCTGTTCATTCAATATAGATCAACAGAGTTATGTACAAATGAAGAGAAAAGAATGAAGTTTAGTTATTTTTCAAGCTGATAGTTACAGTTTCTAATAAATCTGTTAAATCCCTGGTAAAAACGTATATCACAATAAATAAAGGAATCTTCTGTTGTAATAGGATAGTCTGTCTCGCTAATTTTTTTCTTTAGAGGATTCTGACCTTTATATATAGATTTTTTTTGTGGGAAAGAAATTCAAAACAAAGAAAATGAGCCTCTAACAGACAGACGGAGACAGGACAGAGTACTGATACAACGTCCTAGTGACACATTTCAGAGGAAAGCTTTTAGTACAGTTTATCAAATGAGAAGCCTTACTTTTTTTGACATGATGACAGATTTTTCAAGACAGACTGTAATAGAAAGAGAAAGTTAGAAAAATAAAACGTAAACAAAAAATAAGAAGCATGGCAATTTTTAATTCTAAATACGTTTCTCACGGATTTGATCTGGATTCAGCAGGGTTTCTAGCTTCTCTCCCACAGTCAGGTGGGGATCCGCAGCTGCTGGCTTCTGATTGGCTGGGGCTGCGGCTTTCGGCTGGGTTTTGACAACTGCTGCCGACGGTTCAGCCAAAACAGCGGAAACGTTACACACAGCTGCTGCAGGGGACAAAGAAAAAATGTATATATTATTGAGAATAAAAAGGAATAATTTGACTATTTTAGCCAGTCTCCTTTGGTCAAATTGACCTTATGGTTTTCTAAATAATGGTATATTGAGGAGTAATAAAGGATTTTTGGTTGTTTTTTATGCAGAAGCTGTAAAATAAGAACAAGCAGAAAACATTGAATAAACTATTAAATTCTAGGGAAAAATGAACAAGAATAGAAAACAGAACTGAGAATGAGTAAATTTCTTTTACAGATTCTTTTGAGATTAAAGATGGAGAAGAGCACCGGTCTAGTAGTAAACATAGACTCTAATGTTGCGGTTATGTTTACTCAGATGTGTTCCTGAACTCCTGCTGGTCTAAAATTAGGTTTAGTTGTTTAAAGGATAACTTGTGTTTTCTGGTGTTTTTTCCCCCCTGTAACACTACTACTGGTGGATTCCACTTTGAATCCTTTCTTTAATTTGAATCAATCTAATTAATTTGTCTATTCAAAAGCCTCCAAGTTTTTTATTCTGGTTTGGGCTCGTTTTTCCAAATCTAACAACAGCTTGCTACGATGGTGGCATGACGATGAACTGTGAAAAAAAACCTGAAGTCTAAGTTAGTCAATTTTTCTTCAATTAAATGTTGTTGTTTTTTTTTTTTAATTGAGCAGCTAAATTAGACACTTGACCAATGGAATCATACAATCTATTATTTCGAGTGCTTAATATCTAATATCTAAGGGTAAAAACGCTAATTCCTTTGGCAGATCATATTATTTACCTACTACAAATTAAGGCCAAATGCAATTATTTCAACACATTTCTGACAATTTTTTGTTTTTTTGCTGTTTTGCTCTGGGAATGTTTTTATTCAGCAGGTACTGCAAACTATTCTGGAATGATTGCAGAATAGATTAAATAAATTGTTTTTAAAAAAGACGGAATACCGGTGGAAGCGGAGCAGCCAGCAAGTAAAACGATCCTAAAAGCTAAAATAGAATAGTTTAGATCAAAGCAAAATGTCCTAGTCAAAGTTCAGACCAAAATCCAATTGAGAATATCTGCAACAATTGAAATTGTATATTTGTTATACTCTTATCTGTTGGATTTTCTAAATCCTTTTCCATGTTATATAGTTAAAGTCTTGTTGCTCTCTGCTATGATCCACACTGATGGTTCACTCAGCAGTATGGCTGGAGTAGAGCTAAGAGACTTTGATGCACAATTTCTCTCCTCTTTTGCAAAAGCTGGTGAAACTTGCACTGGTTCTGCCTGGTCTCTCTATTTATAGGTTAGGAGAGCAAAATAAACGTATTACTTTCCAATCTGATTTACTTTCAGCTATATTGTAAAGATGGATGAAAACGTCATTCTTTAAATCTGCAAAGCTGGGGGGGATGAACCCAAAACAATTTTGCTGATCTAATTACCACTCAATTTGGTTCTATTAAGTACTAACTAATAGACGATCCATATTACTTTGTTGCAGCATGACAAAATGTAAAAATTTGTGTACAAGGACACTTCAGCTTCACATTCTCCTGCAGGCAGACATACCTGCTGTAGAGGAGTCTTTCTTGCAGGGCTGATTGGCGGCTGAAAGCGTTTCTGGGCTGAGCTTATCTTCAGCTGTCTTCTCTGATTTAGGCAGAGTTTCAGGAGGAGTAGCCTTTTCTGAACTTTTAGAAACATTGGGAGCTTCAGCAGCTCTTTCTTTGGGCACATCCTCCTGTTGTGGAAGGCTGGGAGGATGTGGAGCTCTTTGCACAAACTCCTCCTCCGTTTCAGAAACTTTGACAGGCCCAGCAGAAACACCGAGGTTTGGCTCCTTCTCAAGTTGCTCTTCGGGTCTTTCCTCTGGTTTAGAAATGTCATTAGGGTCAGCAACATTTCCTGCAGGTGTTGCTTTACATTTCAAAGTGTTGATGTCCTCTCCTTTTTGTGACCAATCTGCAGCTCTTCTCTCAGTTTTAGAACCTTCAGTTAAATTGGTAAATCTTTCACCTGATTTTTCCTCAAGTCCAGAATCACTGGGAGCATCAACACCTCTTTCTACACGATTTTCATCAGATTTGGAAACTGTTGCCTCAGTGGATGAAGACGCCTCAGCAGATTCTGACTGAGCAACATTATGAGACGTCTCAGAAGGAGGAGGCAGGGCTGCTGATTGGACGACCGGAGACTCAGCTCCACCTGCTGAGGAGCTTCCTTCAACGTTTAACGGGACCTTCTCAGAGTCTTCAATGCGCTTTTTCAGACTCTTCAAACTGGAATAATAATAGTATAAATTAGCCAAAGAAAAAAATATTTAGAGAGATACAGAAAAATGAGGAACTGTAAGTAATATGGACAGATTATGGAACCAATGATTTCTTTCTCAGATTAATTTAACCTTGGATGTCTAGATTAAAGCATACTGAGGATCTCAACCTCATTCTAAGCAGTAAATAAAGTCAAAGATGAAAACAAAAGCTCTAACCCTACCCTAGCCTTTTTAAATTTAATGATAAATCAAAATCTTATCAGAATACTAAGGGAGATTATAATTAATAATGATAAAGTGAGGATAAAAAAGGAAAACCTTACTTCTTTGCAGTCTTTCTTAGATAACTCTATGGTGGTTTTATTTTACCAAACAAACACTAACAATACTCTTAAACGATATACACATCAAAATGTGGCTTGTGTATTTAGTTATTTTCTACAGATTTGTCAATGCAGCAATATAAATATAAAAATAAAAGAAGAAAAACAGTGAAAAAAAAAATTTGATTATTCAGTGGGTTTCTGGAGTTTTTAATCATCACTGAGTCTTATTGTTTAGAGGAGAAATCAAAATTGATATCATGATTATCATGTTAAGATAAATGATACAAAAAATGCCCAACACAAACAAGATATAAACAAAGTCCTTAGAGGAAAACACCTGTCCCACTGTCATTAATTAACATGCTCTATTTTAAGAAACTAAGAAGAGCAGAAAAGGAAAAATACTCACGACTCAACACGCCCAACTTTGCTCCTGATAAAAAAGAAAAAAAAAATTTCAAAGTGTAGTCAGTGCATCTTAATACATCTATAATCTAAATATTTCATTTTTTTCCCCAATTTAACTCAAATTTATCGACACATTCGACTTTTCAGAACAAGTATTTTGGTAAAATCATGGTGGAAAAAGTCCAACCTATGCATATAATAGAAGAACATATTTCCGATTACATGAAAATTCCCTTTTTTTTTAATGCTTTTCTTCTTTGTAGTTTGAGATTATCGGCAAAAAGAAATCACCTATAGATTTAATCTGGACAATTTTCAGCCTGATAAACCAGAGATCAGAAAGGATGACCATTAGTGAAACAGTTCTATTTCATCCCTACTGACCGCCAGAGGGCGGTGCTGAAAGCACTGAATGTTCCCTTCGGGCATGCGCAGTTCGAGTAATTATACCAACAGAGTCACACCTGTGACACCGGATGACCACTCAGAAGCTATATAGCCTGGTGTCATCCTTTGCTCTGCTCCTTTTTTCTTCTCGCAAGCGGTTCGCTAACTTCCCCGTTGTCTGAAGCCCCTGTCTCTTGACCGGAGTTGCGGTTATTCTCCGCCCTCCCAGGGCTGCAACGGGTCGATTCTGAAGATTACGGAAGGTAAGTGAGTTGTTTGCTGGTGATGGTAGCGTCCGCGCCCCCTCTCCCGGCTCACGACTTTAGCTTTTTACCTACAGCTTCGTGCTGTTTTGTTCCGAACTGGTGACGGCAGCGTTTTCGCCCCTACTCCCAGTGTGAATAACTTCACTGCCGAAGTTATATACGGCTAACGTAGTTAGCTTCTTTAGTTTGTTGGTGTTATACCTGGTGACGGCAGCGGTTTTCGCCCCCTCTCCCAGTATATTCCCTACTTTTGCATCCTTTTTTTCACCGGTCTGCGACCCAAGGGAGCGCACCGAACACATAAATGTGCTGGAGCTGCGGGCTGTGCACATGGCCCTCAGGTGCCTTCTGCCCCACCTAGAGGGAAGGAACGTGCTGATTCGGACAGACAACACCTCTGTTGTTTATCATATAAACCACCAAGGTGGCACCAGGTCAGCACGTCTCTTGAAGGTGTCGAGGGATCTCCTGGAATGGGCGTATCCCCGTCTGTGTACCCTGCGCGCAGCGTATCTGCCAGGACGGCAGAACCAGGTTGCGGACTCTCTATCCCGCCAGGCACCTGCTCCGGGAGAGTGGTCTCTTCACCCCGACGTAGTGCGCATAATCTGGAACCTCTTTGGGCAGGCAGAGGTAGATCTGTTCGCCACAGAGGAGTCGACCCATTGCCCCCTATGGTATTCCCTAACCGGGATGGCGGGCGCACTGGGCCAGGATGCACTGGCTCATCCATGGCCGCAGGTTCTCCTGTATGCCTTTCCACCCCTCTCACTGGTTTGGCCGACTTTACGGAGGGTTCTCGAGCAGGGCCACAGAGTGTTGCTGGTAGCTCCGTTCTGGCCAGCGCGGCCGTGGTTCCCGCTGCTTTGGAGTCTGTGTCACGGTACTCCATGGCGTCTTCCAGCAAGGAGGGATCTGCTGTCTCAGTTGGGGGGACAGATATGGCACCCCAACCCTCAACGTCTCCAGCTGTGGGCATGGCCCCTGGGAGGCTGACTGGGTGTTCAGACACCGTGAGACACACCGTATTGAGTGCTAGGGCTTCCTCCACTCGGCTGCAGTATGCTAACAGATGGCGCCTCTTTTCTCAGTGGTGCTCTGCCCACAATGAGAACCCGCTTTGCTCGGTGCCCACTATTTTGGAGTTCCTCCAGTCTCTCCTTGATAAGGGCCGCTCTCCTTCGACCCTTAAAGTGTATGTTGCAGCAATTTCATGTCTTCACCGAACTGTTGACAACCGTACAGTGGGGCGCCATGAACTGGTTTCACTTTTTCTGCGTGGTGCTCGTAGGTTGTGCCAGCGGCCAGCCCCACGAGCCCCAGATTGGGATCTGCCATTGGTTCTCACAGCTCTGTGCCACCCTCCATTCGAGCCTTTGGCACAAGCAGAACTCAAGTGGCTTTCCTGATGGCTATCGTCTCAGCTAAGAGGGTCAGCGAGCTACATGCTCTTTCTGTCAGCCCTAGGTGTATCAGGTGGAATCCAGATGGCTCTGGTGTTACCCTGTGGCCTAATACTGCGTTTGTGCCTAAGGTGTTGTCTCCTTTTCACCGTAACCAGCCATTGCGGCTCGCTCGGTTTCAGCCTCAATCTGGTACAACTGAGAATGAGTCGGAGTTGTTGTGCCCAGTAAGAGCGTTGGAGGCATACATTGCAGCCACCGCCAATCTGAGACGCTCGGACCAGCTTTTCCTATGCTATGGGGGTCCAAGGTTAAGCTGTCCTCTTTCTAAACAGCGTCTGTCCCATTGGATTGTGAGTGTCATCTGCCACGCCTACGCTGCAGGTCACTGCTCCCTGCCAGTCGGTGTGAGAGCACATTCCACCAGGAGCGTCACCGCTTCCTGGGCTGCTTTGAGAGGGGTTCCGCTGGAAGCTATATGTGCTGCTGCTTCATGGGCTTCCCCAACCACCTTCACCAGGTTCTACAGTGTCAATGTGGCTGCCCCTCATCCCCTGGGTCAGGTCCTTTTACAAGGTTCTGCTGGGCCTCCTCTGTGAGGTATGTGCTCAGGATTCCTTGTGACATCGTTGGCATTAGTCATTCAGTGCTTTCAGCACCGCCCTCTGGCGGTCAGTAGGGATGAAATAGAACGAAAGTTACGTATGTAACTACGGTTCTATGAATCCCGGATGACCGCCAGAGCTTCTCTGTCACTCAGAATCCTTGCTTTTGCGAGAAGATTCTGTAGGAGCAGAGCAAAGGATGACACCAGGCTATATAGCTTCTGAGTGGTCATCCGGTGTCACAGGTGTGACTCTGTTGGTATAATTACTCGAACTGCGCATGCCCGAAGGGAACATTCAGTGCTTTCAGCACCGCCCTCTGGCGGTCATCCGGGATTCATAGAACCGTAGTTACATACGTAACTTTCGATTTATCTAAAGCAATAAGCAGACTCTGTTCTCTCCTCAGAGTAAGTCATAAAAATTTTTATTCAGTATAAAACTGTGCACTTGTTCAAAACCACAAAGCTCCCTGAAATACCAAGTTTCTGATACTAAACGGTATATCTATATGCTCTCAATCATCTGGACCAAATCCTGACTGATAGCAGTCCATTCTTGCACAATCAATGCTTGCATCTTATCAGAATTCCTAGGTTTTCGTTTGTCCACTTGATGATTGACCACAAGTTTTAAATGGGATTAAGTTCTGGGGAGTTTCCAGGCCACGGACCCAAAATCTCTGTTTTGTTCCCTGAGCCAGTTAGATATCACCTTTGCTTTATGGCAAGGTGGTCCGTCATGCTGAAAAAGGCATTGTTCATCACCAAACTGCTCTTGGACGGTTGGGAGAACTTGCTAGACAAAGCCATTAAACATTGGTGTGCACGTTTATATGTGAACTACACTCTATTTTCTTTTAATTTTTCTTTGGGTCTGTCTTAGAAAATCCCATAAAGGTATGTCTACATAGAAGGTGATATTTGCAGCTGGAGCAAAGGATTTCCACATTATCCCTGTGTAGAGCTAAGCAAGGCCAAGATGAAATTTCACTTCACATTAAACAGTTCGATTTGCCTGCTTAAATCATCGTAGTAGGCTGTGTTTGTGTGAGTGCAGTTCCAGTAATAGTTCTGTTAATTTAAATATTTTTGATTTAGATATGTGTGGAAAATTATCAAAACATAACGGTGTCTTTTCATTTTATATGTAAAGGAGAAAAACCAGAAAGTGTTCCTCCTTTGGAAAGAATGCAGAGGCTCAGGAGGATCAAATTTAATCATGTTTTTTTGCTAAATGATTAGTAAAACTCTTTTCTCTCTCCTTAATCAATGCAGCTGTGTAATGCTGGTTGCTATATTTTAAACAAGCATGTGAGCTAGGGAAATGGTTTAGGATTTGCTTCCCTCCTAAGAGATCTGTTTTCATCTGGTGTCCTCTGGATGCGAGGAAGAAGTCATGTTTCAGGTGTTTATAGGAAAACTCTGGAGAAACCACTCCATTGTTTCATAGCCAGGTCATACTACAAGATTAGTCACTGAGTAAGTTTGGAAAATTGCTTAAAGTGTTTACACAGATCCAGGAAAAGTTTGTTTTTTCTCTAATTATATATAAAAGCCCAGTTCTGTAGGAAGTTCAGGATTGTGGTGATGGTCTGATGAGGATTATGATCTGCTTATCCCATAATAAACACTAATACTAATAAAAACTATAGATTTTTAGTTCCTTTTTATAAACATTTAGCAAATATTTTCTAACACTTCACCCTAAATAACTGTTTCCATTTTCTTCAACGTGATCCAAACCTACCAGATCCTGTGTTTTGACAAATCCTCCATGAAGGCAATTTCCTCAAGTACCTTCTTGACACCGCTGGATTCCAGCATCTCAATGCAAATCTGGGGGGAAAATATATAATTTGTTATTATTAGTGCAAACATTTAGAAAGGATTTTTATCAAATATATAAATCAAAAAATATTGATTAGTAACAAAGTATTGTGAAGATGAGAAACAGATCGCCCCACATGAATGAAAGATGCAAGTGAATGGCAAATATGATTTGATATAATTAGATATATATGACTGAGGATACTTAGAATGCATTAATGTGAACGTAGTTGAACCCAATATGGCGATGAGTAGAAGACTGGTTCCAAGTCAATTTTGGAAATTGACAGATGGAAAAACCAATAACTTCTTCTCCCATACTTAAAGTTTTATTATTTGTTCTTATAGGATTCACAGTACTGAATGTGCTTTAGTACATAGGGAGTTTTTTTGTTTGTTTTATGTTTTGTGTGAGTCTTTCTAAAACCAATAAATGAAAAATAACTTAATGGTTCTGCATAAGTGGGTTACTGTAATGTCAGCTTACCTTTTTAAAATAAAAAGGGGGAATAAAAGGTCAAATTTAAACTGATTTAATGATTACCCGATATTTCAGAACCTTTAAACCTCCTAAATCTCACTATGCTGTCACACAACTTTTAAAATGTACCTCAACAGCAACTATTTTGTTTTTCTTCTTCACATAACACAACTTTCTTATTCAATTGCTCTATATGATTCATGAACAGTTGCAAGAGAATCTGGCTGCAGATCTGCACTGTCAGGACCCAGAGCTGCACTGTCAGGACCCAGATCTGCACTGTCAGGACCCAGATCTGCACTGGCAGGACCCAGGCCTGCACTGGCAGGACCCAGATCTGCACTGGCAGGACCCAGGCCTGCACTGGCAGGACCCAGATCTGCACTGGCAGGACCCAGATCTGCACTGGCAGGACCCAGGCCTGCACTGGCAGGACCCAGATCTGCACTGGCAGGAACCAGGCCTGCACTGGCAGGACCCAGATCTGCACTGGCAGGACCCAGGCCTGCACTGGCAGGACCCAGATCTGCACTGGCAGGACCCAGATCTGCACTGGCAGGACCCAGATCTGCACTGGCAGGACCCAGGCCTGCACTGGCAGGACCCAGATCTGCACTGGCAGGACCCAGGCCTGCACTGGCAGGACCCAGATCTGCACTGGCAGGACCCAGATCTGCACTGGCAGGACCCAGGCCTGCACTGTCAGGACCCAGATCTGCACTGGCAGGACCCAGAGCTGCACTTGCAGGACCCTTCGTTGCAGACCTTCAAAATGGGGTCTCGTGCACTGTTAGAAGCAAAAGTTTATTCAAGAAGTTGTATTTGAAGCCTTTGGGAATAGCACACATCACATGTTTGCTACCAAAGTTTATAACAGTGTTAAACTGAGCATAGGAGCAGTTTAAATTATACAGAAAGCAAAAATCCTCATAGGATAGCCAACCTTCGTTGTTGTTTAGAAAATGTCTTATAAACCAAATGCCCTTTTACATCCAGCGATCCAAATACAGACTTATCTCAATGTAGCAATGTGGTGGGGAGTAAAATTGTGTGTGCACACAAGTTTCCAGCATAACAACCCTTGTTTGTAAAAGGAAGCTAGCTTAACGTAGAGTTTATCAATGCTATCTTTTACTTTAGAAAGGCTTCCAATCAACTTCGCTTTTACTTTTAATGTCTTCGAATAAACTTTGGCTACAGCGCAGAGACCTCACAGTGCAGGTCTGCAGCTAGGGTCCTGACAGTGCAGGTCTGGGTCCTGAAAGTACAGCTCTGCAGCCAGATCCCTCTTAACAGCAGAAATGCAAAAAGAAGGCCTTCTGAAACTTCATAGTCCAATATGGCTGCTATGCAAACAACTTAAAGTGAAACCTGTGTTGCTGTGCAGCTTATTTGCATTTCCTGTATGCAGCTTTATTCTCATAACTCTTTCCCACACTTATATAAATGTGTATCCTATGTTTCTTGAATTTTTATAAAACTCAAAAGAACAAATGTCCCTAACATACAAGTATGAAAACTCTAGCCTGTTTATTGAGTAAACATGTGGCAGATTCCTGGACTTAAAACTGGAAAATACAGTTTGATTAGTTTTGTTGTTCTTCTCAGATTCCTATTGTCTTCAGAGGTAAATGTAATGTAGGTTAAAGTTTAATAGCCACCTGGATATGTTCCAATAAGCTCTTTAATGTGGGGGTTGTGACCCCAAATAAGCAACTAATTAAGGATGCACAGAGGGCTGACAGATGCAGCTGTTGGACTGACTCACCCTGTTAGAAAGTGGCAGGAAGTTGACGAAGCTGGCGATGGAAGCCACTTCCTTCATTAGGTTCTTAACAAGGTCCACATTAAACTCAAAGATTTCCACACACAGTAGCCGGTTCTCCAGGAAATCAAGCTCTGGAACATGCTAAAAAAAAACAAACGGAAAACAGCCAGAATTTTGTCAAAGTAAGCCTTTTTATTTATGTGTTCTGATATAATTGAATAGAAAGAAGGACTCACAGCATTGCTCCATTTCATCATCACTCTGTACATGATTTCCTGAAATACATAAAATAACAGAAAGTGGGAAATAATTCTACCAAATCAGATTTGATCCAAAAACAACTGGAACCTTTAGCCCAACAATGTAAGTGTTTGGAAATGAAAGAAAAGTGGCTTGTTTTTATGTTAAGCCGTGTATGTTAGACCATAGACCAGGGGTGGGCAGTTCCAGCTCCGAGGGGGCCAGTATCCTGCAGGTTTTTTATCCATTTGGTCCAACATACCTGAATGGAATGGCTGAGTTGCCCCGTCAATAAGCAATCAGTTCCTCCAAAGTCCTCTAGGCAAATCTAAAAGCTGCCGGATTCCGGCCCTCAGGAGCTGGAATAGCCAACCCCTGCCACAGACAGTTCTCTGAAATATTTTCTACCAGTTTCCATACCTCACTGGGTCTAGGACGAATGTCCTGTAGGACAAAGTGGACCGTAAGGACGCAGTCTCTAATAGAAACTGGCTTTTTGACATGATCCAGGACAAAACTGCAGCAAGCCTTCCGGTCGCAGAAAAACACAAAGGCCTAATGGTGAAGAGAACAAAGAGACAACATCAAATGTTGATTCGGAGAGCTTCACCTCACATTCTGCACTTTTATCTCCAGCATACCAGTTTCCGGAACAAGTCATTTCTCATCCCTAAAGAGTAAAGTTTAGGACCTTTGATTTATTAAAGTCAAACTTTACAGTTTCTCAGAGTTTGTGTACAATCTATGTTTTTGTTTTCTGACAAAAATAAACCCAGACAGATGTGTTATTTTAGGACTAGTTGTGATGTTTATGGATGATTAGGCAACATTTAAGTGAATGTGGTGTCTATTGATGTGACCTTTTCCCTAAAGGACTTTTAAACCTTTTGCCTGACTCATTCTATCTATAAGGCTCTTTCCCACTGAAAATACCAGGTTTAAGCGTGATTTTCAAACATGGGTGACCCGCTGACAATCAGCATTTGGCTCCCATTCTAGTGGCAAAAAAAAGCTGAGACTGACCCCCTGCTGGCAAGCTGCGTGGCCTCTGTCCCCCGCGGCTACATGTCTGGTGACACCATCACACTGTGTTAGCATTGATGATCTCACCAGTGCAACAGAAATCACTAATCAAGAGCAAAAAGTAAGGGACTCAGGGCATAGTCAGTGTGCATCTTTTCCGAATCTCTCTCACTCGCCATGTTTATTGAATGTAAACAGAGTTATTTCGGCTTATTAGATCAGATGTTGCTGGCACGATGTGTTGACCTCCGTATGTTGTGTTCAATGGTGTCATGTAATTTAGATGGTCAACCCTGCTCTTGAGCCGGCATGCCGATCAGAGCCGAGGGGATTTTAACGTGGGTCGCTTGCCGAGTCATTTGACCGGGTAGACACGCGTCAGTGAGCAGTTCCCACTGCCACTAGAAGCCAACTTTTCCCGGGGTTTAAACAGGTTTTTAAGCCAGTGGGAAAGGGGTAAAAGTCCCAGTTTTGTGGAGTTGTTGCACAGTTATTTTAATTTGAAAGGGAATGTTCTCTGAGAAGGCAAAAGGAGAAAAAGAATTCTTGTCATAAACAGAATTTATTTCAAAGAAACATGATTAATACCAAGCTTACAAACCCAAAGGAAGCGTTAACGTTAGAGCGTGGCAGTTTAAACTATTTTCTGCCATCGACTCATACCACAAAGCCACCTTACTACACTGGAAAAATAATCTAGAAATAAGTAAACATTTCTTGAATTAAGTGTACTTACCCTTGATTTGAATAGGTAAATGAGATAGTTTGCCAATGGGATGAGTATTTTTTATCTTAAAATGATATAATTCGATAGTATGCACTTGAAATGAAACAATGCAATTGGGTTTTCTTATTTTAAATCTAAATTGTCTTGTTCCATTTTCAAAATGTCTATATTATCTCCTCAATTCAAGAACAAATGCACTTATTTTAAGAAAAAAATGACTATTTAAATTTTTTCCAGTGCATACATTCCTAAAGCAAAAACGTTTTTTATTATATGGTAACAGTGTTGCTGTTGAAATGTCTGTTTTTCAAGTAGTTATTTTAAAACAGAATGTCAATAGAAACAAAGAACTGAAGCAGTCTGCAAGAAATAGACAGCAGTACCTCAAAGAAACACAATGAATAGCAACAGAAAACAATGGCACTGAATGTCCCTCCCTTTTGCAAAACCTTTCCAAAGGAGCCTTTCCGGATAGATACTATGTGAATTTCAAACTGATCTATCAATCTGGCTTCAGCCAGCTTACGGGAATCAAGGAGCACCAGGATCTCCTTACCCTCCTCTGCAGTGGAAGGACCAAGATGTTGTAGTAGAGAGTCCTAAGGTTCTGTTCAGGGAAATAACATCCCACCACAGCCACTATGTCTTCATGCTTGTAGTTTCCTTCTGGTAAACCCGTCAACATTATGGTGCAGTGTGCAGAGCCTGGATGAGGTGTTGTCTATTGGAGGAGCAAAGTTCATATGTAAACATTTTAAGTTTAAAGTATGCAACATGTTTTTTTAAATAACGTCAAGTCAGACATTGCACATGGGTGCATCTAAAGCACTCTACACCACACTAATGCAACAATAGCCGCTTATGCTACAGGAGGGTAAAGGCACACTATCTTGTGTTAGCATACCAGCAGTGGAGAGTGAGCCAGGAGTATTTAGCAAAACTTTTCATCACATATTTGTGCATTTAGGGCAAAATTTCACATATTTATTTCGCAGCTTTGAACTTAATTTTCCCCCCACATTGTCAGTTTAATAAATAGTCCCATTTGCTTCAATGTGTTGTACCATAAAACATAAAAACTTTACCTGAAATCCAAGCTAATTACCTTGAATTTGGAATACTTGATTGTTAAATTAAAAATCCCATAGAGAAGGAAAAGGTTTAACTTCATGCCATATGTGTAAATATATTTATATTTTGGGTGAATACCTTTCAGAAACTAATGTAAACCGTATTCATACGACAAAAATCCGACATGTATATTAACTGCTTACCGTAAGGGCTTTCTTTCCACGGATCGTCAGAAAATCTAGGGGCAACAAAATTATTTAAAAAGAGTCAAAGATAGTTATGTAGACCGTATTATTTCCATTTTGTCTCTCTAACCTGGGATGTTGAACCAAGGGGAGGCAGTAGGGAAAACGTAGGGAATCGTTGTCATTGTTACCCAAAAGGGTGGATTGGTGCCTTGGGGGATGCCATATTTTGCGTCTGGCATTTCCGCCCCGGCAATGATCTCGTCTTCATCGGGCAGAGCATTCAGTGGCAGCTTTGGTGCTGCACGAACAAAACAAGGACAGCGTTTGGTTCGAATATAAATGGAGAGAGAATTAATTACCTAAACTAATATTCTGTTACAAAAAAAAAAAAAACTGAACGATCAAGATACAACATCATGACTATGACAGTTTTCCTCACAGAGCATTCTTTCTTATCCAGAAATAATAAAAAAAAAGAAACCCCAATAATTTGTTTGAAACTGAGTTTATGATTTCTAGGTTAAATTACTAATTTAACCGGAGACAGGAATAGATTTCTATGAGCTTTCTACACGCACTTCCACTTATAACAATTTAGTTTCATACCCTAAAAAGCTCCTAAAATGTTTACATTTGATTCCACACTACTTGTATAAAGCAAGCATTTCCTTACGCTGTGATTTCCTGTTGCTTCTCGGCAGCCTCAGCCTCTCCACCACGTGAGTAAACCCTACTTTCATGAGGCTGTACCAAATTCCCAGTCGATCAGCGTCATAAATGGAGTCGAATTCAATGAAAACCTGAAAACACAACGAAATGTTAAGAGGCTTGAAATCCTGTAGAAGCGATTTGAAACATGAACTACTGTAATGTTCATAACCTTGTTGAGCAGAGTCAGGAAGTTTCTGACAGATTTAATCCTCCCCAAAGCCTCTCTGACGTCGATGGTGTCACTTGGGGAGATGTTCTGGATGTAGATGGTGTTTGGTGCCTCGACTTTCTGCTCGAACAGCAGACAAGAAACAATTTAACAAAAAATGGAAACTGCTGCAGTTCTTTATCTCATGAGCTAAAATAAATTGTAGCAGAGAAAGATGTCTTAAATTACAGTTTTTATGCTTCTACTCATGACTTAGATATTTACACTAGGGCTACGTCTATTTGATCACACAGGTTCATACATAAAGGCCGTTTCTCAATATGTGTACTTGTGCATTCTCATGTGCTGGTGTTCTCCGAGGCTAACAGCAGCCAGGGCTAACGGCAGCCGGTCTCCAGCAGCCCTCTCTCGGCATAGCCGTGTGTGAAGGACCGCTGGCTCTGATAGCGAATTTTTAGTTTTATTTGGCAAAATGTTCATTTGATTTGTGTTTATCAGACTGTGTTAATTATTATTCCCCCACTAAATGAAAAAAGTAAGAATTTAATATTATCCAGAGACTATTCACAACAGGAGGTGAAATACATACTTTTCTGTGTTCCTCTCTAGAACATACTCGGCCAGGACACGAGTCCGTACTCGCGCTCTAATGAATTGACAAACAGCATTAGTCTCCCCCCTTGATTTACATAATTTGTGGAAGGGTGCTAACGCTAGCCCAACTTGCTTTCACCATGCCTGTCTCTACTCCACCAAAAGGGGCCAATCCAATAATCAAAGATTCACCTGCAGGCAGCCAGTAGCATTGCTGCTTCTGTAACTTTTTACTTTTTGTGTAAAAGATGAAGAAATGATGGTAAAAGAACCTTGGCAAATTGCTAATGTTGCTAACGTTACATGCCCAGATAGGCATCCATCCACCACCGACGACAGATGATAAAATAACTGCACTGATCAACTTTTTTTGTTGTCTCCAACCACAACACGCTGCAGTTTTGCCTCAAATAAAATACTCTGAGTAAAATAATAAAATGGCTTTAGTTTTATTTTTTCCCTTGGCCACCGTGTCATTTATTTTAGGCTTTATCCAATTGTTCATTGCTCAACCCTCACATTCTGGATAAACAAATTATTTTTTAATCTCAAGAGAATATTTAAATCTTTCTTGAATGTTTGTCTTTCTAATTGTTTCAAAAACATTTGAAAGATCTATGCTGATGAAGATTCTCAGTCATCCAAGTCATAGTCATTCCGTAAAAGTTTAAAAAAAACAATCCACTGGACTTGGTTTCCAAGATTTGAAGACCTTTTGTTTCCCCTCCAGGAAGCTTTCTCAATTCTGAAACCTGTCTATGATTCACCGACCTTCAGAATCATAGACAGGTTTCAGATATTACAGGCCAACAATAGAACCAAACGACCCATTCATCAGTTACCATTCGCATGTTTCCAAGCAATACAAGGCCTTGTCTATATAAGACTCAAACTCACTGCGGATCCAGACATTTGAATTGAGAAAGCTTCCTGGAGGGGAAACGAAACGTCTTCAAATCTTGGAAACCAAGTCCATTGGATTGTTTTTTAAACTTTTACGGAATTTGAAAGATCTTAAATTAGATTTTTATCTGGAGAGTTAAACCTACATAACTCTCACATCTGTATTCCAACAAATGCAATTTCTGTAAAGACCAAACCAAAAGAAAAAGGCAGGGAACAATTCAATTCTTATGCTACTTACGAAGGACATTAGCGCCATGATTGATTTATAAAAGCCGAGCTGAAAGAAAAAAGAACAACAAAAGCAGAATAAACAACAGTCACTGTTCCTTATAAGATAATTGCGGGAAAACTCCAAAAGATCCCTTGCAATTTAAATTAACATTACCATACTCACCGGTGTCATGAAAATGTTTTTCTTCACGATGAACAAACAAAGTTTATGTTTTTTGAAGATTAGATGGTTGTGCGCTGACGCCGAAATGAGTTCAATCACTGACCGCTCATTGGGCATCAGCACAAAAGCCTGAAAGGAGCAAGAGTAAAAAGAAAAAAGCAGACATTCACTTTTACTTTTACAGGCAAAATATTTGGCAGTTATTTGTAATTATGATGCACCACTAAATTAGCCTTTGATTAAAGTCCCTAAGACTGATATTGGTGGCTGGGCGAATGCTGAAAACCAACAATAAACCATGTTTTGTGTTAAACAGAAATCAGATACAGGTTAAAAATGGCACATTTTACAGGGAAAATAACATTCCTAATAGTTGTTGAAATTTAATAGACAGATTAATATCAACTGAACTTATGGGTGCAGAAGATTAAACATGGTTTTTCAGTTCATGTTTTAGGGGTTTCCCTTCTGCTTCACAACTGCCTTGAATAAAGGACATCATTAACAAGCTTTTGCAGCTCTAAAAGATATGCTGTGTGAATCCGCTGTAGCAGAGACCCATCTAAACTTTGTAAGGAATGTAAGAAATGATGACCAAGAAGCAATAAACACTGACATTACATATATTTATGTAAATAAAATGGGAATTTTCCTGCAGCAAGTAGCCAGAAATGGCCAGAAAAATATGCCCTGGATTTAAAACCGCACAGTGCTAAAACAAATAACTTAGATAACCCCAAAGTCTGAGTCATTTATGTTGCAAAAAGGCATATAGAAAAAAAAAAAGTTTAATATGTTAAATGAAAGTACAACAGTAGATAGATAAAATATATGGACAGAAAAATGAACAAAAGATATTCTACAACAGGTTGAGCTAATAAAGAAATAAAGCCAGGGGCTCACCATGCGGCCCTGAGGAAAGATGTAGATGTTATCATGCGCGTACTGAAAGCCAAATTTACAAAGCAGCGTCACAACTTCCTCCTCTGTGTAGCGACAGCTGTTGTACATCGGCAGGTTGGTTATCAACAGCAGCGTTGAGTCAACTGTTAAAGGCTGCGAGGAAATAAACATAACAACAGAGTAAAGGATTAATGCAATCCTCAGAAACTAGACCAATAATTCACAGCTATGAGAGCAGAAAATGTTCCTATTTTTTGTAGAAACCAAGTTAATTTTAATTTAGTGACTCGATTAAAAGAAAATATGAAAGGCAGATCCTAGTTTTATCCATCCATCTTCCTCCGCTTATCCGGGATCGGGTTGCGGGGGCAGCAGCTTAAGTAATGAGGCCCAGACTTCCCTCTCCCCAGCCACTTCTTCCAGTTCTTCAAGAGGAACCCCAAGGCGTTCCCAGGCCAGCCAAGAAACATAGTCTCTCCAGCGTGTCCTGGGTCTTCCCCGGGGCCTCCCCCCGGTGGGACGTGCCTGGAACACCTAACCAGGGAGGCCTCCAGGAGGCATCCTGACCAGATGCCCGAGCCACCTCAACTGGCTCCTCTCGACATGGAGGAGCAGCGGCTCTACTCCGATTCCCTCCCGGATGACCGAGCTTCTCACCCTATCTCTAAGGGAGAGCCCAGCCACCCTACGGAGGAAACCCATTTGGGCCGCTTGTATCCGCGATCTCGTTCTTTCGGTCATGACCCAGAGTTCATGACCATAGATGAGGGTAGGAACGTAGATCGACCGGTAAATCGAGAGCTTCGCTTTTTGACTCAGCTCTCTCTTCACCACGACGGACCGGTACAGCGCCCGCTTCACGCCAGACGCTGCAACAATCCGCCTGTCGATCTCCCGCTCCCTTCTTCCCTCATTCGTGAACAAGATCCCAAGATACTTAAACTCCTCGACTTGGGGCAGGACACCCCCCCTAGTTTTATACTCAGTAATTTGTGCAACTATGTGGGAAAGAAGAAGAAACTCACCCCAGCCGGCAGGATGCTTTCTGCCAGAACAAACTCTGTGGGGGGGGGAAGAGTCAAAGTGAGGACAGAAAAGTGAAAACAAGTCCCAGTAATTAGGTTCCAAAATAAAAAATCTGACAATCACCTTGGCTGTTCAGTTTTAGTCGATTCAGGACAGGCACAATCTGCTCGCCGGCGGTGATTGACGTATCAGCTGGACACGTAGGAACAGTTGACTTCATCTTGCTCTTAGCAAGGCTGGTTTTAATGGCTACACTATTTTTAGCCTCTTTTGGTGATAAGGTTGGAACGCTCGCCTGTGGGGGCGTCGTCTGAGTCTTTGCAGTGGCAAAAGTATCTTCAGAGGACAAAGAAACGTCAGACAATAACGTTAAAGACTTGCTGACAAACCAGTTAAAAAGGAAATAATTAAATTGTGTTTACCAACCGTACCGATTTGCTTTGCTTTTGTCTCCTCCCTTTGGACTGTTGCCATGGTCACAGCAGGTGTTTCAGCAGAGCTTCCTCCTGTCTGTAATGAAGTCAGATTCTGTGCGGTGGAGTCTGGCTTTGACACAGCTGTCATTTGGACCAAAGCTTTGGCAGACATCTCTGGGCTTTTGGTGATCTTCTCTTGTCTTAGAGGTGGAGCAGGTGATGGTTTATCCGCTATGGTCTCAACTTTATCGATTGGCAGTTGGGCGTCTTTCAGTTTAGGTGGTGAAGCCTCATCGGTGGATAACTTCAGTTCCTTTTTCACAACAGGATCTACTTCCATTGACCCTGCTCCTCCAGTTTTTTCCAGCTCTAACAACTCTGCCTCTTTTAAATTTTTCATCTCAGTAACTTTGCCAACATGGCCCTGCTTGGTTATCTCCCTTATTCTTGCAAGGACTACTACAGGGTTTTTAGGCTCAGCAGCAAATTCTTCAATGTTTGATTTTGAGATTTCAGCCTTGAGAGTTGGCGGATCTGATGTATTTACAGACTTTGCTGCAACGTCTTCTATTTTCTCCATTCTGGGTGGATCTTCTTCAATGGGGTCAATTTGCAGAAAGTTTGTAACGGATTGTTTTTTTGCCTTGCTCGCAGAAGATTCATTATTTTCTTCCAGCCTATGTTTTGTTGCAGTTTCTGCTTTAGTAACGCTTTCCTTGCCTGGATGTTTTTCACCAGCTGCCCCGTTTGATGGCTTGCCAGTTTTCTTCTTTACATTCCCAGAATCCTCCCCATTAGCTTTGAGCTTTCCGTTTGATTTTTGTCCAGAGTTTTTTTTAGATTTAGGTATCTTTTCTGGCTTTAAAGCATCTTTTTTTCCTTTAACTGACCTCAAAGACCGTGTTTTAGCCAAAATGACCGCTTTTAAAGTTTGGACTCCCTGCTTCTTGGAAACACTCCTTTCTTTGGAAACTAGGACCTTTGCCTTTTTCAAAAGCTTCACTGCTGCGACCCTTTTGGATTTTGATTGTAATGATAAAAGAGTTTTACTTGGTAGGTGAACCAAGTTTCCACCGGAAACAGGCTGACAGGACACAGTAGGCTTTCTGTGAAGGAAAGTAAAAGACAAATGGTCTGAAATGGTCCTAAAAGAGACACCATCTCATATATTTCCCTGTGAATTAAAGCTACAAGTTTACAGTTCACTCTGAGTCATCGAGTTTTAAACCAGAAGCAAAAGTAAAGAGGAATGAAACTCGTTCAGAAACTACAAAGAGCTGTAAAATGCTAACAATACAAGAACATTAGAAAGTCCTGATTATTGATTTGTCAGCTGTTTTATCCATCAGGATATAAAAACCTTGATTCACATCTGCTCGAGCACAAAGCCGTTACACTTTCAAATCTCCAGGACCTTTTTTCTGAATCCTGTGTTCCAAACCCCGGTTAAAACAACAAGGTGGTAAATTACTGCATCAGTGAGCATTAAAGTTGAGTCTGTATGAACCAGAACTTACTCTGGGGAGGGATTCTTCTGATCCGCTGCAGCCGTAGAGGGAGGAGACCCGGAAACACTGTCCTATAAGTTAAGTGATGGTGAACTGATCAGATTATTGATTAAAAAAAATAAAAAAAAACAACAAATAGATATATTTCCAAAAACACCCCAACCCGACATACCCAAATCAAGACATACCTGTTTAGAGACAAAGGTGATGGGTACTCCTTTTATCTCAAAGTTTTCTGTGCTTTTAAGTTTGGCTGCATCTTCCTCCTTTTCAAAACAAACAGTTGCCTATGTGTCCGAAAACAAATCAACAGTAAGGATCAATTTACTCGTGTCAATGCGGTTTAAACAACAAAGAGTTTACATGCAACAAAACTGCTTAAATATTTATACATTTTTGTTGCTTTACAATACATCTTGTTTTTGTGTTAATCCAGAGCAAAATGAATCAATCTAAATCTATTAATGATGGTTTATCTAAAGGCGAAAGCTGGTATAAATGAAAATGGTTTGTTAGTTTACTTAATATATAAAAGTAATCAATTTTGAATTAAACTTTAGCCAAGCCTAGCCCAAATTCATATCTGAGTTTTTTGTTTCTTTTTGAACACTTTATTATTGCAATTCGTATACAGAACAACTAACATTGCAGTTTCCTTTTTTGACAACAACAATGGAAGGAAATTAATCCCCCCCAAAACATAATGAATAAATTAAATAGAAAAACTTGTCTACAAAATATCAGGTTGACATTATATAATATGAACCTTATTGAAAAACCCAATTATCTTCAATTATTGAAGAATTATCTGCCGTTGGTCACAGCCTTAATTATTTAACTAATCCTTTAATTATTGCCGTCATGCAATAAATTAAGTCACTTTAATGAAAACTTGAACTAATTTTCTATCACCTACTCCTGAAGTCAGAGACCTCAAAAGATTAACTGTTAGTTATTACGCATAACTTAAAGAACAACTATTTTAATTTTGGCCTAGTTTCCAAATAAAGAAAAACCTTAGAAGATTTTTTGTGATCAAATGAATAACATTTCTTCAACAGAAATACATTTTTTTTTTATAAAAAAAGGTTGAAAAAAAACCTCTTAAAAATATTTGATACAGTACGCTGTTATTCCTATATAAACATGTTTTTTCATAAAAAAAAATAAAAAAGATTCTTAAGCCAGCATTTTTTTTTTATTTAAATTCACATTTAAGAATATATATTTGTTGAACCAAAGTAAGTAACAGCCACCGTTAAAAGAGCCACATGTGGCTTCAGAGCTATGATTTACCAAAACTACTCTAAGGCGATTATCTCTTCAATAAACCAGATCCATAAGATGGAGGTTTTTCTGCCTCATATTTCATACTGAAATGGTTAAAATGAGGATAAAAACCACAGCTAATTTAAGTCATATGAAATGTTATGTAAAACTGTGCATCAGATCTGACCATTTTGTGATCTTCTCCATAATTCCTGAAAATTGACTACCGTAATAGCCAGCAGTTTCCATTTAAGGAAACGTCAAACAGGTAAATAAATGGAAGTAGAGGGGATGATATGAGACAGACCTGAAAATACCAGCACATTTAATCATTTATCAAACCTTACTGTGATTCTTTGCAGGTTGAACAACTAAAAAATGGTCCCAAATGTTTAATTTTAATTTTTTTAAGATTTTCACAAAATAATGCAAGAATATTAAAGAGCACCAAATAAAAAAAAACACATTTATGATGTATTTTCTTTTTTATACATACCTCTTGCTTAGACTTAAACAGTAAGAGAGATTTGGTTTTTCCAAAACATTCCATGGAGGCAATCACATCACCGTGAGAGAGAGAATCAAAATTCCCCTTGAGTCTCAACATGGTTGGAGGGGATGGTTTACCCAAATAAGAAAACTGAGGCTGGGGAAAACAAAACAAGCTATTTTTAAAAAGAACTGCAGTTGATCAAAGGTGTTGGATCTAAATGTTGTCCACAGCAGGGTTTAGAAGCTGATATCTTTAAGAGTTTTTCCCTCTTTCATTGCTGAGCAAAGCATGCAGAATTAGCAATAGATACATAATGAAAAAATAACTGTTAACCAGAATTAAATGACTCTCATCAGGGTTTGCATCGACTCAAAATTAAAAATGCAAGTCAATAAAGTGATCTTCACACTGAAACGGTCAACCACCAATGGGACCAACAGCGTTACAAGAAGAAACTAGTTACTGTTGGTTCATAGGCAGAGAGATAGAAGAAAATGAAACATTCTATAACTCAGAGTAGGGACTGTAAAGTCGTAGGGAAACGGCTGTTCCAACGGTTGCATTTCGGAATTCTCCCGAGTGGTGCACGACTTTACACGAGTGAATAAAATGAATGTTTTTGGTCGTTTATCAAGGGGGAAGGATTGTTGTGGTGGAAGGTTCACAAGCAAGTTTGGTTTGTCGGAAGCATCTTGCTAACCAGTTAGCAACTTAGTGCTAGTAGGTTCCCAATGGGAAATTATGTTGGGACCAAGTAGCACCCAATTGGTGACTTAGACACAACACTGTCAAGGAACGCTATGGACAGTGGAAACATGCAAGAGGAGGAGAGTTTTGTGTCGGAGGTCATGGATGAGTCTCCTCCTACATACATTTTTTATTTAGAGGAGGAAAGTGGGGACGATGATGTTGTGGAAGAGGACACCAGGGAGGCAGAAGCTTGGTTTGGTGTAGAAGGCTTACAGCCCTACATGTTTGAGCCCTTGCCTCAAAACGCTGCCAGTTCTGTTAGCTCTACGCCTGCTGAAGACACAGAGGTCCATCCCCGCCCATCACGGAACTCAATGGGAAAGGAAATTATTTTTATTTATCATTTCAAACGTTGCGTATATTAGCTACGACATAACAATCAAGACGCTATGACCGAAAAAATTTGATTGACAGATGAACGTTGATATATGATTGGCTGAACTTGGGTGTACAGGCTGACGTATACTTAACTGGCCTGCCTAAGATAACAGAAAAAAAACAACAAAGATTTTAAGACAGGCCTTTTTTTTATTGATTTTTTTCTAACTCTTGGGACAATATAGTCTGATAATTTATATAGATGTTTAAGCCAGAATGATCTGACATTTAAATATGATTTCCCTACGACTTTAAATGTCGGGAAAAGAATAACTCGACAAACCTGAAGAAATGCAAAAGTAAGGAGGCTGACTTAAAATGAGCCCGTCTACATCTCATTGATGCGTTTCAAATGAAGACAGAGAAAGAGCAGAGGCCTAAGAAGCTAAATAAAAAATGTAGATTCTACTATATATTGAAACATGTGTGAGGGTGTCAATGTTGGGTGGAATTTAGCTGAGAACCCAAATGCAGAGATGAGTTCTTGCAGATTTTACGGATGTAAATGGCCAAAGAAAAAATTCCAGGAACGGTAAACAACTAATTAAAAACAGGAGATGCCAGGGAGAAACACAACGAGGATCAAAGCAATGAAGAGAATCAAGCACTGAGGAACTGCACAGGAGTATACATGGGAGACAAAACAACGACTGTGCTGACAGCTGACAGGGATAGAAGGAACTAGAAGCTAGGGGAAAGGAGACTGGCACAAGTGGGAGAGCAACAAAAAAAAACACAACATTAGTCTGGCTATCTTGGACTGACTCAAAGATATTTAGCGAGTTGGCCATTCACATTGTGCCAAACAGAAAATAGAAAGTAGACTAAATAGAAAGTAATTCACTATGAAATGTCATTGTAGTAATTCTTTATTAAGTGGATGATGCTGTCGTTTTTGTAGTGTCTGTTGTATTTCTTATTTGAAAAAGTCATGTGCTTATGTATATTTCATGTTATATTGACGAACAAAAAGCAACTCAAGCATTTTTAAAGGCTAATGCACAGACAGACAGACACAGCAAAAAAGTATTTTGCATCATGCATGTTAGGAAGGCCATGTTTAGAGTTTTTTCATAATTGTTCATTTATATTACGTTTTCGGTGAGATGTCATATGTCTGACGTTCATGAACATACCATAGGCATTCCAAACTCCATTGAACGCACCACACCTGCATGTGAGATGGCTGAAAGTTTTTTCTACCGTCGTTTTCTACTGTCGTTGTTTAATGCTGTAGCATACGTTAGAGTCCTGCACGGGTCGAGTTTTACCAACCTGCACCCGCCCAAACCCGTTAGGATGACTACCGAACCCGACCCGTCACCCGCGGATATCTTCAATTCAAATCCGAACCCGACCCGTTGATATTTAACCCGCAACCCGACCCGTTAACACATCAAGTAATAGGCTATAGTACACTGCGCTGCAGAACAGCGCCATTAATAGGGCTGGGTTAAAAAATCTATTTAATCGATTTTAATCGATTTCCCTTTCAATAGCCCGATATCGATTCATAAAAACCATAAATCGATCCATTATAATACGTCTTTCCATACATTCATGACTTCTCGCGTCCCGCGAGATCTCGTCACTGCGCGAGAGGAGCGCACCAAAACAATATGGCGGAAGCTCTGAAATCACCGCCAAGAAGTTTGAAGGCAGATGTCTGGAAATATTTTGGATTTAAAAAACAAAATGACAGCAGTGAACTGGATAAGAGCAAAACGGTTTGCAAGATTTGCTATGCAGAAGTGAGGTAATGTGGAAACACAACTAATCTTCGAAACCATTTAACGAGACACCACTCAGCACAAACACAATCTGATTCAGCCCCGAGGCAAATGCAGCTCGAGAAGGCATTTGATATGAAGTTACCAGCAAACTCCCCACGTGCCCAGAAAATAACTAAGGCTATTGCTACATACATCTGCAAAGACTTACAACCATACTGCATGGTTGAAAATGAAGATTCCCGTGGCCTTATGAGGACACTGGAGCCACGCTACGTTATACCCTCACGCAAACAGTTTAGTGAGGTAATAATCCTAAACATATACGCACTATTCAGTGTGTTTGTTGCCATTTTATTTACACAGCCTGCTGTGTGGTTTGAGTTGATTTGGTCAGGTCATGTTAAATAAAACATACATGATTAATGTAACTGCGTTGGGTTTAATTCCTAATGTAAATATGTAAATTTTTTAGTAATGCTCCAAGTTTGAGCTAGAAGTTTCTACTATTTGCAGCATTGGTTCTTCTGAGAATGTCTTCCATATCAAGAAAACGAAACAATAATTGTGAATCGAATCGGGCCCTTGTGAATCGAATTGAATCAATTTGGAAAATCTGAATCGATACCCAGCCCTAGCCATTAACACTGCAGCAGACGTGTATGCACTGACTGTGGCCTTTTTGGAGGGAAGCTCACACTGCCTGCAGGGCTTTAAGCTACAACAAGGGTGACCCCAGTGCCTGATTAATATAACATTTCTGATGTCCATAACAACACACACGCAAAAAAAAATCACCAACTACCCGCCCGCACTAAAAAAATATCTGCCCGACCCCCGACCCGTTTATTTTTATTTATGTATTTTTCACGCGCAAAAGAGCATTTTAGCGGGTGACCCGTCGGGGACCCGCGGGTACCCGACCGGTTGCAGGACTCTAGCATACGTATTGTTTACATTCAGACGGGTCTAACTAGGGATTACCAATATGGTGGCTGGTGACTTCATTCTACCCAGTTATTTCAACGGGCAATCCAGTGAATAAATTGAGATCAGTGATCCTGACAGAGGTTTCAATCAGGCCAAGGCAAATTGAAATAGTGTAAGACTAAAAGAAAAGGCAGCAACAGCAAAGCAAAGGAGCCTAGTTTGATCCTTTTGATTTCCAACTTCGGTCTGGATGGAACTTTTTGGTTTCAAATCTCATATCCAGGAAAACACACGTCACACACAGTAATGCATAATTTCAATGCTGCTAATATACTGGAAATATAACCTAATTTCAAAAATCTTCTAAAAGAGGAAATCAGTTAGGCAGAGTCAACAATGAGAGTGCAAAGCTAAGGCTGAGGCAAAATACGATTAGTATTTGAAACCCAAACACCAACCTTGGGAACAGTTGTTTGTAGACTTGCTTCGGTCCTTGGAACATTAGGATGAATCTGATCCCACTTCGTATGCAACTTTGACTTTACTGGTTTGGAAGAAGGCAATGAAGAAGCAGAGGTTGGGCTGCTTCCTCTTGATGATGTGGAAGCCTCTTTCTTATTGGCCGGTGAGGTAAATGATGATTGTATTGGTGAAGGTGCCCGTATTTTGGCTTGCTCTACCACTGCAGCATCAACTAAAGGCTGAATCAAACTGGTGTTGTTCAGCTGCTCTGGCACTGAAATTAAATCATAAATCAAAAACAAGGCATTAGTTCTAATTAAAGACAATACTGTACAAAATATCATTGTAATGTTTTAGTATAATACTCAATTTAAAGTTGTTCGTTCTTAAAGGTTTAGAGGATTATCTTTTATTTCAGGGTGGATTATATAAATAAGTGGTCCTCTCAATTATCAATCATTCTGGTGATATGTTTACGTAAGGCCGTCCTAAGTGCTTGTCGCGTTAGCTATAGCTATATATCTGTGGTGAGCTACGGTTTCAGACAGTCATGAAAGCTAACTTTTCTTTCCCTGGTTCTTTGAAAATGGCCGAGGTTCTTAGGAGAAAAAGTGTCTATAAGGTGTATGAGAAGAAAAGAAAGGCCTCGGAAGAGGCAGATATATCCCAGAATGCTTTGCACAGAGAGCTCTCCTCGATAATAACGATGATATCGAAATGGAAGGAGTATCCGACTAATGCTAATCTCTGAAGACCCGGTCTTCACTCTAAATCTTCAGCTCAAACATGGAGAAGACTGATCAGAGGTGCCAAGAGGCCCATAATCACTCTGGATGAACTGCAGAGATCTACACCTAAGGTGGGAGACTGTCCATAGGACAACAAATTTGGCATTTATTGAAAAGAGCCATTTCTTGAAGATATCTATAAAAAGTCTTGTTTAAAGTTTGCCACAGGCCTCCTGGGAGACACAGTAAACATGATGAAGAAGGTACTCTGGTCAGATTAAACCAAAATATAACTGTTTGGCAACAATGCAAAACAGTTGTGTGTATAAGTACACAACCCATCAACCTGACCACCGCATCCGCACTGTGGATGGTGGTGGTCGCATCATGGTTTTGACCTGTTTTCTTCAGTAGGGACAAGAATGATGGTTAAAATAGATGAGAAGATGGATGGAGCCAAATACAGGACCATTCTGGAAGGACACCTGTAGAAGTCTGCAAAAAACCTGAGACTGGGACGGAGATTTATCTTCCAACAAGACAATGATCCAAAATATAAAGCAAAATCTTCACAAATACACATATCCAGGTATAAGAATGGCCAAGTCATAGTCCAGACCTGAAACCGATCAAGAAATCTGTGAAAATAACTAAAAACTGGTGTTCACAAATGCTCTCTATCCATCCTAACTGACGTTGAGCTGTTTTGCAGGAAGAATAGCCAAAAATATCAGTTTCTCCAAAACTGATAGACATACCCAAGCAACTTGCAGCTGTAAATGCAGCAAAAGGCGGCGCTACAAACTATTAACTCGAGGAGGCTGAATCATTTTTCACACCCAATTTTTCATTTTCTTATTTGTTAAAAAATGTTTAAACATCCAAAAACATTTCTTCCCACTTCATGTTTGTGTCCCACTTGTTGATTCTTCACTAAAAATTACAATTTTATATTTTCATATTGGAAGACTGAAATGTGGAAAAAGGTTTAAAAGTTCAAGGGGGCCCAATACATGCGCAAGGCACCGTAACCCCTACATCGGTAACAGACTTAGGCCGGGCATACACTGTACGATTTTTTCCCTTTTCAGGCGATTCTTCAGTCGTGCAAGAATTATTTTTGATTGGGCCGAGTTTCATCGTCATCGTGCATCCTGCGTCGTGTAGTATATAAGGCGCGATCCTCCTGGAATCGTAAGTTTGGGAGAAACAACAATCAAACATGTTTGAAATTCAGTTGGCCCTCGTAAGGTGAGCATATTCTGCTGTTGAAGCAAAGTTACGAGCTTCTACGAGCCGATTTACCAGAACCTCACGCACGCCAAACAAAAATGTTCTTAGTTTTCCTGATTGTCAAATCTGACCAGCGCCATTTCTCGGTGATGAGTCTGACATGTGGTTTTTGGACGTGCAGTGTGAGAAGGTATATCGCATCAGAGCATCGGGCCCTACAGTACTTTTTTAAAACCTGCGATTTCATTGTACACTTTGAGCTGTACGTGAGTACAAAGATTAAAAATATTGTATAGTGTATGCCCAGCCTTATCCTATTCCAATCATTGTGACTAATGATACTTATTTAAATAAAACAAACCTGAATTCAGAGCTTGGTCTTTTAGAATGTCTTCAGTGCATGACTTCTTTTTTTGAGAAGATGATTCTTCTAGTGATAGCTGTCTCTTACGGCTTCCATTTACTGAAGAGAGCTTCTCAGACTTTTTTGATGAGGTCTGTTCCCCATCATTTATTTTTTGTAATGACTGTGTCTTACAACTCTTCTGCAGTGAATGTGGTCGGTCATCATGTACCGACTGCGGCGCAACAATCTTCCCTGGTGACTGTTGTTTCTTACTAGATGCTTTTGGAAGGTCTTGCTTAATGCTCTTGTTTGGCAAACATCGTCGCTCACGACTCCTTCCTCTGGACTCTTTTGTCTCATCACTTTTGGGAGACAACGGTCTCTTGGGACTCCTTGACCGTTGTTCATCATCACTCCCCTCCAACCTTGGTCGCTCTTTGTTTGTATGTGGCGTTGGTCTTAGCTCAGCACCCTTCTTAGGTGACCGTCTTGGTTCACCACCCTTTCTTGGGGATGATTTTTTATCATTTATTCTAGTAAGCGACTGTGGCTTAGAGCTCCTTGTTGGTGAGCCAGGTTTCTTATGACTTTCTTTTTGTAAAATCCGTCTCCCAGAAATGTGGCAGCTGGTCTTCGGAGAGTAAGATCTAGAACGAGACCTGATTCAACAAGGTTTAAATTATTCAATGAACAAATAATACAATTTAGCAAGTATTTATGATCTTAACATCTTGAGAGGAAAAACTTGAAACCACATGATGAAACTTACATCAAAGTTATGTAATAAAACATCTCAATATCCAACCTCAGATTTAAAATTTTCACAAACCTGCAAATTCTCCTGGGGATGTACAGTGATTGTGTCCTGTTTTTTCGTTTTTCCCTTTGATCTTCAGAGCTGTGGGTGTTGCGAGTGTTATGAGAGCGAGAGGTACTGCTGGAGGAGCCCATTCTATGCCTCGAACTCTGGCATCGGCGAGGGCTGGAAGAGCTACTGCTGGAGGAGCCTCTTCCATGCCCAGAACTGCGTCGCCTGCGAGGGCTCCGAGAGCGAGAGCTACTGCTGGAGGAGGCCCTTCTACGACCAGAACTGCATCGCCGGCGAGGGCTCCGAGAACGCGAGCTACTGCTGGAGGAGGCCCTTCTACGCCTAGAGCTGCGTCGTCGGCGAGGGCTGCAAGAACGAGAGCTACTGCTGGTAGAAGCCTTTCTACGCCTAGAACTGCGTCGTCGGTGAGGGCTTTCAGAGGATGAACTACTGCTGGTAGACTCCCTTCTGTTTCTTGAGGTGTGGCATCGTCGAGGGCTGCGAGACCGAGAATGGCAACGACTCCCATCACTGGTTCTCTTTTGATGACCCTGGGAAGTCTGGGCAGAAGCTGAAGGTGAAATCCTGGATTTTCTAATGACATTACTGTTAAAAAAAAAAAAAAAAAAAACACACCAAAAGTTGCAGTCAGTCATAAGTGGAATGGTGGATTGTACTTTTATTTCAAATAAAAAAAAAGAAAATGTACCATTGCTGTGGTGTTACTTTGCCATCCCACTCTGGGTATCTGTGGGAAATGTAAGAAAACCAATAAATAAAAAAAACCATTGTAGAAAACTGCACATTTAACCAGATTTTTAAGTTACCCAAGTTCAATAGCTTTATTACACAAAATATAAATAAGATTATTAAAAGTCAGACCATAATTTCGTTGTAATACAATTACTTAAAAATCACCAAATTTTATTCCAATACAGGACTATTTGAATATTCCATTTTCTTTTCAACACTTTTCTTGCATTTATGTTCTAACTTTTTACAAAGAATGTATCTGTAACGTAAGAAATCAGCCAATAAAATAAATGTTACTAACTGATCCCGTAGAAGTTTGCAGTTCCCGAGGTGCAGGATGGTTTGCTGATGACCAATCCAATCCTACAGTTGACATTTAGATAGAAACATGTAGAACAGTGTCATTATCATCAAATGTTTTAAGTTTACATCATCATTTCTGATGGTTGTCTAACAAGATCACTAATCTGAATTTACGAAAAACTGTCTCAACATAGTGAGAGCTGAGAGGCTGAATCTAAAGATTGATCTAAGAAAGGAAGGAACACTCAAGCCGGAGCAGAAGAGTGTGTCGGCAGTCGCAATGATAAGTACTGCCCGAATAGTGCAGGCAGCAAGGAGGAAGGGAGGAAAAGGAGTATGAATGCCTCCTATCACAGCATAGGAACCTAAACTCTCATGGTCATTTCAATTAGGTGGCCAAGTTTCTGTGTGACAACTAGGGTTGTCACGATACTAAACTTTTCAACTCGATACCGATACTAAGGAAAATATTCGATACTCGATACCATTTTCGATACCACAAGGATAAAATTTCAACAGAAATATTTTGATTAATAATTAAAATACAATAAATAAATACAATAAACAATAAGAACAACATTTTGAAGTTGTTTGCTGTGCACAGTATTTAGCAAGCTTGATAAAAAACTTACAAAATTAAAATTAAGTTTTCCTTACTTGGCTATGCTTTGCACACATAACAATGACACTAGCCAGACCGGTTAAGAGACAAAAATAATTCTCAGCAGCTGCAACTGTTACAAAAAAAGTCTGAAACTGAAAAGTGCGTAGAATTATTCAATCACAGTGTTCAGAAAGTGCGTTGTCCTCTATTCTGCACTTTAGATGAATGACTGCTTAGGTGCGACTGGTACTCGATACTTTTGAAAATGAGTATTGTATCCGGATACAACATTTCAGTATCGATACTTTTTTGAGTATCGATACTTTTGACAACCCTAGTGACAACAAATTCAGCCTTCTGATTTTTTGTGTAAAAATTTTTGAGACATCAACTAGAACAGCAGTAAACCATGAGTATGGCCACATGAAAAGATTTCGTTCTGGTTGACATATCATGTTCATACATAACACAGATGCACCAAGCCGAAATGAGCATGCGATACAAGATACCCACGTTTTCCTCAAAGATTGTTTCCTTTGAAACTAGGTGAAGATACAACTACACTAAAAAGTCCCTTCTAGAATGCCAAGGCAGTCATAATATGAATGATGTTTCTCCAGGGTAAGTTGTCGATACATCAAACATGGAAGATCCGCCCTAACACAAATCCATTTTTACCTTTTCCATTGAGATGCAGTGTCTCATATATTAGTAAACATAACCAGTTCTAATACGTAAGAACGTACTTACATGATAATGGAACAGTTGGAGTAATTTACACACACAGATTCTCACATCGATCTCACAATTTAATTAAATCTGCTAATCAGTCTGAAAACTTTGCGGCTTAGACACCCTTCATTTAACACACACTTGAAAAGACCAAGAAAAGAAGGCTATTTCTATTTTTTCTTGTCCCCAAATTCACATTAGAGAGAAGAGTGCAATTGTTGACTCACCTTTATATGAGAGCAGTTTGTTCTACATAAAGAACAGGTATGTGGAAACGTCTTCGGTTTAGTTGCAGTATAATCATGCATTTTAGCTAGTGATGGGAGACCCTTGAAGGTGGCGGGTTTTGCCGCAGACTGTTGAGTAGATCCTTGCCCATCAGTGGTCTTTACCAGATCCAAGCTTGGGATGTTTGGATAAACAGGACTGATACCAGAAGGTTGAATGGAATGAGAAACATCTGTGACTGTAGGGGTGCAAGAGTAAGGGGAAAGTGATTCCAAAGCAGTGGTCTTCTGAGGTTGTGTCATCTGCACAGGGGTTTGCTTCGGCACAGGTTTCTGTGGAGTTTGCTGTGGTGTTATATCTAAGGTCTTTGAACCTTGGTCTTGAGTTTTACTTTGAGCTTTTGCATCTGTGCTTTCCGTGTGTGTCTTTGTTTTAATGTGGGATATTGATGCTTTTGCAGGTGGAAATCCAAAAACGTCAGACTCTGGTTTTGAAATGTCCCAGTTTTTCTTTTGTACAGCCAAAGCTGGGCAGGTTGATTGCAAGGTCTGGTTTGATTGAGTATTTACCAGTTGGGCTGGAGCTACCACATTCTTTGCTGAGCTCAAGCTAATAACAGATGTTACATGTTCATTTGATGTAATCAAACCAGTGGGTTTTAACTCTGAATTTTTTTCTGGCCCTTCTTTATTTTGGCTGTTAGTCTTGAAGTTGTCCACCAGCGAATTATTGCCACATGCCTGAGCCTTACTGAAAATATCAAAAGTCTTATCCTCAACATGTGGAGAACATTCTCCAGTATGTCCATACTGAGTCATTTCAACTGTCTTTGAACTGTCTGATGGCATTTCATTATGAATTGTTTTTGGCTGTCCATAACTATCCAATCTGTTTAGTCTATCTGTAGTTGGTTGAGATGCAGATGCTGATGTGACTGCAGATGAAGCCCTATTGGCGTTCTTCATACGAATCTTCTGCAAAGTGTAGGGTAGGTTCTCAGCCGTAGTTTCTTCATCTGGACAGTTTATGAGTTCATACAAATCCTCTTTTTGAAGCCCATAACTCAATAAAATCTTTTCAGCAATTGCAGGTGTGCACACAGGTGCATGGGATAGAGTTTGGCCAGTTGGTTGAACTGCAATAGATTTAGAGTAGTTATAAGAGCTACTTCCACCACAATCACCACTGGGTTGAAGATGACCTTGAGTAGCTGATGAGGCCAAGTAGCTTGTCTCTGTTGTGGCTGAGAGTGATACACCTCTTTGTGTGCTGCCAAACAGAGCACCCTGGCCAACAGGTTGATACATAATTTGCTCTCTGGCGCAGATGTTAAAGGTAGAATGTAAATTGATGTTCGAAGTGGTTTGACTTGGTTCAGGCCAGTTTCTCACTGGTAAACTAAATCCACCAGCAAATGGTCCCACATTTGGGATTATTTCTCTAGTCCCAAAACTGCTGGGATTACCAGAAGCTCCAATGAGGTTTAAGCTGGATCCAGGTACAACATTAGGCAGTGTCCTACATATACCTACATCTGTCTGTCTAGTAGGAAGTCCATATTGCCCCTTAGTTACACTATCATTCAAAGAGGGAGTATTCATGGACTGAGACATGGGGGTCAGCAGCTTTATGAAAGTTTGATGAATTTATGGGCAAGCCAGCTTGTGAAAACAGTATTGTTGTTATGTATGGAAATGTTTACATTCAACAAAGAACACCACAACCCTTTTTTGGGCTCCAGATTAACCAGCTACACGGCTGCAGTCTTCTTGATGTCCAGTAAAGGACATCTAGGAATCCCAACAACAGCTTGTTCCGGGCCCAGAATCTGTACGGGAAAAGTTGTAGAGGAGACATGTTAAAGGTCCCATATTATGCTACATTATTATGGATAAAAAAATGCTAATTCATTGTTTTAAATGTAGTTAAAATGACTGTTGATAGAGTTAGAAAGTAATCTTGCCTGTTCACCATTTCCCTCTTTTAAAGTTGAAGCCGTTAACAGATTTATCTGGTACAAAATTGTCTACTGAGACTTCCGGTGGTGACGATGTAGGAGAAGGCCGCTCGAAAGAGGTCTCCCGGGTAAACTGCAATATATTCCTGTAAACACTACGTTTTGTTTTGGAAAGACGACGGACTGTGAACTGTGTCTAAAACTACCAGCACGTCGAGCTGTCCTGTTACTCGCGGAGGGGCGGCTACTGTGGCTGGCAAACTAGCTAAAATGGCGGCCGCATGTTCGGATACAGGTAACACGGCTGGTCCTGCCAAAGACTCGCCAGATATCTTGTCAATGAGCCAGCTGGTTTCTGAACTGGAGAAGCAACGTGCCTCACTACGGAACGACATGCTAATGCTAATCCAAGAGTCTATTAAACCACTTCAGTCTTCTGTGGATACACTGTGTGAGACTGTAAACCACTTTAACAGCCGCCTCACTGCTGCAGAGACTCTGGCTGGGGACAACTTTGAGCGCATTACAAACAGCGAGAAGACCGTGAAAATACTAGAAGCCCAGAATAAGTCTCTTCAAGACCGCCTCGAGGATCTCGAAAACAGGTCGCGAAGAGTTAACCTCCGTATAATCAACATTCCTGAGGGCAGCGAAAAGGGCAGAGACCCGACCGAGTTTATCTCGGATTTGTTGATGGAAAACCTCGGTCCTGACGTTCTCTCCAAACCACCAGAGCTCGAAAGAGCACATCGCTCCCTAGCCCCTAAACCTGGACCCGGAGGCAAACCCAGGCCGTTCGTGATATGCTTTCATCGTTTCCAGGAGAGGGAGAAGGTGCTTCGGTGGACCAGACAGCACGACCTTAAACACGGAGAGACAACACTTCGAGTGTATCCAGACGTGAGCGCCGCTACCGCAAAGAAACGAGCTGCTTACAACCGGATCAAGCAAGCCTTCTACCAGAAAGGTGTGAAGTTCAGGCTCCTTTTCCCTGCCCGCCTGCAAGTTTCATATGAGGATCAGTCATTCACCTTTGAGACCCCCGAGGAGGCGCAGACTTTTTTCAACAATCGAGTGCTGGGTAAAGAGTGAGATGCATTATATTCCTTCCGCTGTCGTCGCTGTGTTCGCTCTGTTTATTTGAATGAAACAATCTGCCTTTATTGTACACCGTTCTGCGGACTCAGCACGGGCACTCAGAGGACATCCTTGGGCATCACCGTAACCATGGAAACTGGTAGGCGCAAGGGCTAAATCTACTCTGATCACGGGACGTTGTTTACTCCCGACTGCTATGACATGAGAGCTGTTCTGCTCATCTCTTCTGCTCAGTTTATGACGGTAAATATGTTAAGGTAACATGGAACCCTCAATCTGGCTGATGTACCTTTTTACAGATACTATATTCACAGGAACCACTTACTTAGATTTATTTATTTATTTTATTTATATATATTTTTTTTTTTTTCTCCTCCAGCTTCATTGCTTTTTCTTGTAAATCTTTAACTCCTATGTGTATCTCTGTGAACTGAAACCTTTTGGACGGAATTAAATGGCTTTTTTTTTTTTTTTTTATTTATTATTATTTTTTATTATTATTATTTTATTTATTTATTTTACTTATTTATTTATTCATTTATTTTTTTATTTTATTTTTTTTTTTTTTCCTTTTGTAAATTTTTCTTTTTCTTTTAAACACTTAATAATGATCAACATATCACCTTAAGACAGAGTGGCAAACTGAGCGAGAGACCGTTAAGACTGACGATTATGGTTATAACTTGTTCTTCAAAAAACGTTAAAAAGTGGTGTAAGTTTTATTTTCTTTTTCACCTGGGTAACCTCTTGAACAAGAGGTCATGGAAGCAGAAAGTGATATCCTGTTGGGATTGAAGGTGTGGGGATACTTGGTTTGTATAAGACTATTGGGGATGGGTAAGATGCAGAGGAGTGCATTTTTCCTTCTGTGTTTTTTTTTTTTTTTTTTTTTTTTTTTTTTTTTTTTTTTTTTTTTTCCTCCTTCTTCTCCTTTGGGCTCAGGAGACACATCAGACCGGGAAGAGGTTATTCTTAGTTTTTCAAATATATGACAGCTCAGAATAAGAATCTCCGCTTTATTTCCTGGAACCTGAAGGGCATCAACCAGACCATTAAACGAAACAAAGTAATGGCCCATTTAAATCAACTCAGGGGTGATATTTTTTTTCTGCAGGAAACTCACCTTAGATCCTCAGAAGTTAACTGTATTAAGCGATCTTGGATAGGACATGTATTTCACTCTAAATTCCCTGTAAGGGCAAGGGGCGCAGCTATCCTGATACATAAAAGTGTTCCTTTTGAATTATCAAACTCCATTGAAGACCTTAATGGTCGATTTATAATAATTTCGGGTAGACTATGTGGCATTCCTGTGATAATGGCCTGTATTTATGCACCAACAGTGGATGATGACGATTTCATTAGATGCTTTTTTTCCTCTCTTCCTAAAGTTGATGATCACTACTTAATTATTGGCGGTGACTTCAATTTAATCCAGGACCCCTCTCTAGACAGATCTTCTTCATCTCCCCAGATGTTATCCAAATCAGCCAAAGCTCTTGATGTGTACAAGACTAGTCTTGGTTTATCTGACCCATGGAGAGTTAAATCACCTTCGAATAAAGTATTTTCCTTTTTCTCTCACGTCCATCATTCATATTCACGAATAGATTTTTTCCTTCTGGATAATTATTTTCTGTCTAACATCCATTCCTGTGAATACCATACCATTGTCATTTCTGACCACGCCCCCGTATCGGTTGATCTTACCTTTTCTAGCCTGTGTCCCGCCCCCCAGACGGTGGAGATTTAATTCTGCCTTACTAGCTCAGGCTCCCTTTAAAAACTTCCTTAATGCTCAGATCTCCTTGTTTTTTGACACCAATGACTCCCCACAAATATCAAGATCCACACTATGGGAAACTTTTAAGGCATATATGCGTGGACAAATTATATCATATGTTTCAACTTTGAAGAGAAGAGAAAGGGAGGAGTCGGAGGCTCTCACTAAGGAAATACTGAGAGTGGATCATTTGTATGCTTCAGCTCCCACACCCACTCTTTATAAACAACGTCTTCTGCTTCAGTCCAAATTTGATCTATTATCCACGAGTAAAACACAAAAACAGTTATTCCTGACTAAACAACGTTTCTTCGAGACTGGGGATAAAGCAGGAAGATTATTAGCACATCAAGCACGCGCAGCCACACAATCTAGGCTGATCCCAAAGATCAAATCCGCTTCGGGTGAAGTTACCTCAGACCCTACTGAGATCAATGAGATGTTCTGCTCCTACTACTCCAACCTTTACTCCTCACAGTGTCCATCGGATGTCTGGAGAGACGATAACCCGCTAGATAAGATAACTTTCCCTAAAATTAGTGAAGACTTGTCTGGAGAGCTGGGAAATCCCATTTCTGTCAAGGAGGTACAGGAAGCAATTTCAGCACTCCAAAACGGTAAATCTCCGGGCCCCGATGGGTTCACTGCTGAATTTTTCAAGTCATTCTCGGTTACCATTGCCCCAGCCCTTCAACAAATGTATAATGAATCCTTTGCGAAGGGGTTTTTACCCCCCACCCTGTCGGAGGCCTCAATTTCTCTCCTGCTAAAGAGGGATAAAGACCCTCTAATGTGCAGTAGCTATAGACCCATCTCCCTTTTAAATGTTGATCTAAAGATTCTGTCAAAGATTCTTGCCCTCCGTCTACAGCGTGTCCTCCCAAGTATAATTTCAACTGATCAAACAGGTTTTATGCTAGGTAGGCACTCATTCCACAACACAAGGAGACTCCTTAATATTATTAGTGATCCTAGTTCAAACGTTCCCGAAGTGGTTGTCTCACTTGATGCAGAGAAGGCCTTTGACAGGGTGGAGTGGAACTTCCTTTTTTTTGTTTTGCAAAGATTCGGTTTCAACTCTGAATTTATATCTTGGATTAAACTACTTTATGCCAACCCAGTTGCCACTGTCCACACAAATGGTCTTCAGTCAATCTCATTTCCCCTCTGTCGGGGAACTAGACAGGGCTGTCCTCTCTCCCCCCTCTTATTCGCATTAGCAATCGAGCCATTAGCCATCTGGCTTCGTCAGGAGAGTGGGTTTGAGGGCATTACCAGAGCCGGGAAAGTCCATAAATTATCGTTATATGCTGACGACCTCCTTTTATATATGGCTAACCCTGCTGCGTCTCTTCCTGTAACTCTAGATATCTTTAAAAAATTTGGATCTTACTCAGGCTACAAACTTAATCTCCACAAAAGCGAACTTTTCCCTGTTAACTCTCTGGCCAAAAATATCCCCCCAACTTTTTTCCCTTTTAAATATGCTAGGGATGGATTTAAGTATTTGGGGGTGCACATTGCAAATTCATTCTACCAACTTTTCTCCCAAAATTTCTCTCCTCTCCTTGAGAAATGTAAACTAGACTTTGACAGATGGTCTGCTCTCCCATTATCCCTGGCAGGTCGTGTTAGTTTGGTTAAAATGGTTGTGTTACCCAAGTTTCTATATCTTTTCTCACATATCCCTGTGGTTATTAACAAGTCCTTTTTCAGATTGCTTGATCAATCAATAAGTTCCTTCCTCTGGGGCAACACAAGTCCACGTATCAGAAAGTCAGTGCTACAGCTTCCAAAGGCGCTTGGCGGCTTAGCGATGCCCAATTTTTTACACTATTACTGGTCCTGCAATATTCATAAACTCTTATATTGGATAACCAACACAGCCGATGATGAAAGACCTGCCTGGGTACACATGGAACTTTCATCCTCTAAACTTTCTCTTCATTCCCTGATTTGCTCCCAACTCCCGTTAACTATATCCAGTTTT